ATTATAAAAATTCTTTTTTTTATTCTAAACTTACAAAAGACTATGAGAATATTCAGTGGGATTTTTTCATGAATGATACGTACTTTTTTAATTTGGAAATCGCTCTAATTAAAACATAGGAGATACTTTTGAGATGTTAGTTTTTATGTAGAAGAGAAGCATGGTTACCACAATGGCAGAAAGGAATTGAACCTTTTTTCGCATAAAATACTTATAACGCCTCTTTTAATTGAGTCACACAGGGCCTATGACATCATCGTTTGCCACGCAAAACCATCTCTAGGCAAATTCTAAGTTCGCCGTACATACATTAGTTTAGATCAACGACATCTAGTTTTTCGGACGTGAACTACATTTAGACATTTTTTTTTAACAAAAATAAAATAATGTATTGTTATCAAGCTGCAAAACTTGTTTAATTAAATGTAAGCTTTATAGTATTGTACTAAGATTGAAAACTGTATGGTTACAAATTGCTAGTACATAGATACATGCTGTTCTTTTTATTCATCAAGGAATATTATATTAAGTACGGCCACGATTAAAGTACAGTTATGTACCTGAGTACTTTACGACAGTCATATAACCTAGTATGATAATTAGTGCCTGACAACTTCGCGAGTTCTAGGCATTATACAATTACTATTAACAGAAATCCCAAACTATCCTATAATTCGACATAAATAATACATATAACACCATAGATACCATCACATCAACCTATACGACTATGCCAAAATAAATTTCAACCTTATTTAAATAGCATAAGATTGAAAATTATAAACACAATTTTATGGAATCGGGATATTTCGATCTGCGTGATAATTTTTGTTATCCCTTGTCATTTGGTGCTTTGAGCCCTTTTCATTTCCCTTGAGTCTTCTGGAGATTGCAGCTTGGAAAAAAAACGCGTTCTGAGTTGAGCACATTATTAGAGCTTGAAAGGCTTTCTGATGAAAAAGGTTACATCACCTAACTGTGAGGAATGTGGAGTAGTCGAAGACGTACAACACGTTTTGATGGAATGTGTCCGGAACGAGGCTTTAAGACTTAACTTATTTGGATTTGCATATAATTTCAACGTTGGAGAGTGCAATTCTATCCTGGCTTCGCCTTTTTCAGAAGAGGCAAGAAACCTATATAAACTGGCATTTTTTGTATTGAAGTAGATATGTATTTTATACATCCTTTGTAATTTTAGTTAGTAACTATTTTTGTTGATGTTACAGGGTGACGTTATCGCTCAGCGATAAAGCCCTTAAAACTGAGAATAAAAAAAAAAAGAAAATTATAGCTTGAAAGGAATTCATAAGAATAGTATACGAGTAATATGGAAACAATAACAGGATGGAAAAGAATATCCGTTTGTTTATCTAGATTGTTAAAAGATAGCTGTATTAATCTAATCATAAACATTTTCGTTAAATGTTCACAGTTTTTAATCAGCCAAAGACATATGTCCAATTGTTATTTATTTTACCTATAACTATTATAAGTAGAACTAGACAAAACATAGGCACTATGTATCACACAGTATAAAAAATATGTACACAGTATAAAAAAGTAGCTTTCTCTGTCCCTATGTCCCTGTGGATACTTAAACCTTTAAACTCGCTTCCTTTTTAGTCACTCTATTTATCAAAACGCGTCAAAATCCGTTTATAAATTAGTATTGGACGTTTAGGTTGGTCGACAGTTTTTAAAAGCGTATTTGGAATAGTTTTTTTTTTGTATTTAGAACGTTCGTTTCAAATCGATAAACTACAAAGATATATGTCAGTCAAATACCTAGATGTGGCCAACTTTAAAATGTAATAGTACGTACCTACTTCAGCATGTAATACATAATTGTGTAATATATTTTTTTACGTAACATAAGTGCTACTATTTCATTATAGTATTATTCTTTGACACTTTCAGTTCACATGAATCTTGTGACGTTATTCTCATTTTTATCCTGAATAAATTGTTCCATTTCTCAAACACTTCATAAAATTATGACGTTTGGTGAAAATATAACTGCATATAACTGTAATTCAATTACCTTGTCCTACCTTTTGAACCTACATAATGCATGTTTTTTATAAAATGTGACAATCAGGAAATAGCTGATTAAAAATAATATCTTTAGTTTTATAAAGAGATTTACATTCGTTCAATTTTGTAACTAATCAAACCTTTCTGTTTTATTACGTACTAGCTTTAAATTTGTTTGATCAATGAATGTAAAAATACTGGTTTATGGACAAATAGCAAAAACAAACAAAGCGCATCCAGTTAGTTACTTTGTTTAGGCACTCTATGATATTGGAAGCAAACATTTTTGTTTAAAAAAAGAACAACGAATCCAAATTGATTTTAATACCTAAATGTAAAAATAAAATTACAGGTACCGGTATACCGAATAAATGAAACCTCTGAATGTATTTTTTTTTCTAAATTTCTAATTATTGTTTAGATCTGAAGATATTTTTTCTTCTTTTAATCTTTTGATTTGAAAATTGCAAAAACAGTTTGCTATGAAAATAGCCATTAATAAATTGAAACACTTATCCATAACACAACGCATGACTTTCATTTCTAATACATTAGTATATTTACAAGTCAATCACATCAGGTGTTAAAGATTCCACATTCCGTAGCAAATTAAAATGTTTATCACGATCTTACTATTTGGTTTTTCCCACAAGAGGACCACTTTATACCAAGGTTCAATGATCTTGAATATTCGACAACTATTTTATGAAAAATCGCATAAACACTTTTAGCCTGTTTGTAATAAAACCGTAGGGAAATGCAAATAAAACTTGTTTCTTGGAAAAATCTAAAACACGTGAGCGTTCAAAAAAAGAATGGATAGTCAACAGACGCGTTCGTGAAGTACCTAGACACCAGTACATCATCCTACCCAAAAGTGGCAAACTTCTTCAAATGATTTTCTACTCTATTACAAACTGATAGAGTTAAAAATTTGTTGCATTAATACAGATTCAAGAAGTTTGTTTAAGGGGCAATAGAACTTGCGCTTCTCTTTTTAAAATTCGCTCCATTAATTCAGACGTTAGACGCCGACACACACATACTAAGTACCAACATGCAGGTACTTAAAATATGGCTTTCTTTTGCCTCTTGCTTGGACGTAATGTCGGAAGCTCATCAGGCAGTCGGAAGGCGTCCGGCAGAGGTCGCCGACCGTGTTCGGCTCCATGGCCGTTCATTCGCCTCCTCTATTAGTACGGTGCCTATTTACACTCACTGCCAAGGTGAGGGACACGATATTAAGGTGCACATCGATTACAACGTAACATAATCGAGATAGCTTTTTGCACTATTATTCCAACCAGCCAGTCTTAAATAACATTCCAATTTTAAACATCAATTGTTTTATTGTAATACAAAGGTTCAGTAACAAAATAGGTACAGAGAAAGAGATAGCTTTTACAACTAGACCGGTTTTTAGAACTAGTTTTTGGCTAGACGGCTTTTATTTCGGGTTTTGTAAAAGGTTTATTGTTCAAGTCATCTAGATAACCTCGATGCGGGTACGACATGACATGTTATATTACAGTCTGTCTAACACTGTGTCTGTTAGTAGTGAAAGTTCTATTGTTTAATTAAGAAAGATGTCTCCAATCCAATTAATCGTAGATGTCATCAAAGCGTGAAATAAAGATGAAGAGTTATTTACAAAAAAGAAAAACCATTGTAGACTTGAAAAAAAATAATGTAATAAATATCTAATGGTTTACCAAGCACGTTTTGCGTTCGAAACTCAAATACATACTAGTGTGCTAAGACCTTTACAACCGTTTGAATTGCGAATTACTAAACATTCAGTCTATGGAAGCAGAGCGCTCAACTTTATTGCTGTTGATTATCATTGGCAATAATAGTCATTTAGTTTCAAAAGAAAATTGTACTGAAGACTAGAACCAAATTACTATATAAATTTCATTGTCTTGTAGAATTCCCAAGTGGATAGTTTAATTACTAGTATTGATTATTCAAAGCTTAAAAGCGACCAAAGGGCCAATTCATTTTATATTCTAAGCACAACAAAAATACCATTATTCCAAGAAGTACAAATTACTAAACAGAGATGCTAATTTAAAGTACGCCTCTACCAAGAAACTATAAGAACACCATTCAATTGAATTATTAGCGGAAAATCCCAATTGGTATACGTGCGGTATTTCCAAAGAGTTTCCATACGTAATCGAGAAAACTAGGACTCATAACACTGGCCATCAAATTCCAAGTTCAAAAAAAGAAACCAAAATAATAAAACGCAACTGGAAAGATGAAAAACAAAAACAAACGATAATAAACTCTAAGGTGTTGCAAACACCGTTCATACATTGTTTTTTTTATCTTTAAAATGGCGTAACGTTTGCAAGTTTATTGACCGACGATGTTCACTGCCACATACTTATGATCGAATGTAGCAGTATATAGGTAAACAAAATGGCTCCCTGGGAGGTTAAAATACAGATAATGGGGCATTATAGGACTTGTTTTTCGTCAGGTTCAAGGTTAGTTGCCAATTCTAAAACGGCGGAAGAATGTTGAATTATTTAAAAAATTGTGTGTTATTATTGAACAATTTTGTATGTAGCTTTAAGTAAAAAAAGTGTTTTATTCAATTTTATATTTAGTTTGTAGTAGGTAAAATACTGAATTAAATAAATACCATAGCTGTTTATTAATAACATAGTTACCAAAAAATACTTAAAAAACGAATGGCGTCATGTTTTTACATTTTAATTGTGTTGCATTAGCATTAATCGAAGCACCGGCTTCCACATCTATAAATAAATAGCAAGATACACATCTTGATACTAAAAATAGGTTCATTAGATTCATAATTTGAACATACTAGTTTCACAAAACATTAAGTACGTTAATCAAGAACTTTTTTATCGCGGACTTTTTACTTTGTTCGAAAAAGAACTTAGTATACATGTGCCAAAACACTAACCAACCATTTTCCTCTATTTCAGGAGATGCAAGATGTATTGGAAGAAGATTCCGAAATGACAGACTGGCTGATTGAAAGGGATTCCAAGTCCGGAGTGGTGCTGCATGACAGGTTGATGACAGACGCGGCCTTGGGAGCCGCCCCTATCAAGACAGAGCACTCGTACAGTCTACATTCAGATGTTGAATCCGCACCCTCCTCGCCACACCATACCAAAGTTGACGGTAAGGGTAGACATTTTTTCTAGCCTAGTAGGTTAGCCTGCTTTTCCCTATTTAGATATCATGGAGGCCGATTTCCTGATTCTCGTGTTCTTAGAGTGGAGTAAGTAATCCTAAAATATCCTTTCTTGAAACAAAATCGTGCCAAGCGCCATCGCCATAAAGTTTGTAACGAGCAAAGGACAATGGCTACTAAAGTATCGGCTAATGGTAATTTTGCTGGCTACTCTACAAATATCAATAGATTCACACCGTTTATATTTTCGTATCATTTACGGAATCTAGATTTAACTAGTAATTAGACAGTTAAGTGTACATGAGAATTACTATTTAAAATACTTAGGGCTGTTTTTTCAATGTTTAGATAAAAGTTGTCAGGGAAGTTATTATGATGCTGTTTGTATAAGACAGTGACAGAAATAATTTTATTCCTCATATAACATTTATCTAAGTATTGAAAAATCAGCCCTTAAACTGATTTATTTATCCATTAGGTATAAATTGTGGTACCTAAGTGTAGTTAAAGCTTACATTTCCTAATAACAAACGTTAATAATAATAGAATCAAGTAGTTTTAAATACACAACTACACAAAATCCTCCTCAAACAGAATCAGCATTAAATTTATTCCATAAAACCCGTACATTAGAGAATTAATGAGCTACATCAACAGATATCGAAATGTCTCAAAGAAAATTTGATAAAAACGAGTTTAAAAAACTCGTTTCACGGTTGTGAATATCGACGATTTACATAATAATACCTTCGTTGCGTAATTTTTGTAATACGCCCCGTTTTGGGAACGAGATTGTATTCCTAATTTTATTTGACTTATACCTACCTATATTTATAGTGTGGTATGCTTTTCAATGTTTAATTACCAACTTGAGGCCTCCTCTTATGTCTCTTTGTCATGGGTTGTTCGACAATGAGAAGTTTAATTCCTTTAAATATTTTTATTATATTTTTTAAAGGGAGTTAAATAATCAGTCCAATCACTTCTCTCACCCTTTCCATCATCACCATAATCATAATCCACTGCTGAACGAAGGCCTAAGTCTACAGGAAGAAAGTATGCAGCCGGGGGTAACCTCAAATGCAGCTTCACCACATATGTTTCGATAACTCTACACAGTCTCAGAATCATGAATGATATTGTTCCACCTTGCTATAAGATATCCCTGAGATCAGAGGTGAGATGAGTACAATGTTGTAACGCAGTCCCGGATATGCACTGATAAACTTATTATGTTTATTTTTTAAATAACAACAATAGGTAAATATCGATGATAAGTATTATCGAATCTTTACTTGATTGACATTTACTTAAATAGGTACTGTTAAAGAGATGAGGAAAATATATGTTTAACTAGTTGCCCGTCCCCGCTTTGCACGGGTCCAACTATTTCACTTATAATAAAAGGGTAACTATTTCCTTATTTTTCCCTACTACTTTTCAAATATTTTCTTTAATAAGAACCTTGTCCTGACAATAATAAATTCAACAAAAAATCAATTTCCAAAATTGTCTCTAGGCGTTGTTGAATTATGCACTCACCAACACTTTTTGCAATTAATTTTTTGTTTCGCTTTAGCTTGCAACTCATACACTAGGCTTGTAGGTATCCAGATTCTGACATCATTTAAAACTACTTCATTCACTGATTGGGCTTATCTAGAAAATTCTCAGTAGGTATTGACACAGTTTGGTATTATACTCGGTTTATAGCTAAAGACTTAACTTCTAACCACTTCACACACATATATAACAAGTGAAAAGTGTCGAAAGTGAGTGGGCAAATCATCGAATGGTTTCTCTTGCCTCCGTGGGGCGAGAAGGGATTTCAGACTCTTACTGGCTAAAAACCGCCTCTTTCCTTCTCCTGCTCTAGGCCAAGACCGTGGTACATTATTAAGCTTCAACTGCAACCCTGGCTGGGACTTCTTTGATTAATAAAAAGCAAGACGTGTTATTGTGTAACACTTTCAAATTACATATTTATACGCATGTGGCCAAAAACTAGTTCAAATACAAAACCAAAAACTCTAGCACACTGAACCACAAATTAAGGCTTGTTTTTATTGAAATTTTCAAACAATATAGTGTTTTTGACCTTACAAATTGTGAACAGCCTCTAACCTTGGAATAGAACGAAAGCGAATAAATCACTATTGTTATACAAAACACTATTTTATGTGAATTCAATCGCTTTATGGATTTTTGATAATATCGCTGCGCGGACGCAACCGTGAGAACTTAACTACTTTTGTGCGAGTAAATTTTATGGATCATTTTATGTTTTTTTTTTTATATATATTTGTGAGTACATATATTTGTATACAAGGTTCTCTTCGTTAAAATTGGAAAAAGTTGTTTGTTATGTTATGAAAAGCGAATAGTTCTTCACAACACCTGATATGATTCTACACAAAAACAAATATAATATAAATATATATAAATTTTTTTTCATAAAACTATACCTAACATACCATGTTAACTCCATACAACAATATTTTTCTATATTAACGTGAAGGTCGACACATAAAAGTCATTTAACTTGCATCCTTTTCCCTCCAAGTAGAACAGAAAGAGACAACGATATGTCGCTAAGTATCCAACATAGGTTCTTCAATATGACTTATAATATAATTAATGTTTCAGTTGAGTTTGTACAAGTACATAGCAATAGTTTTAACAGCTGGACTAACAGTGAGGAATAACAAAATATGTATGGCGTCATAGTTCTTAAGATTATTCGTCGGATATTTTTTATTATTATTGCTACTATAGCATATCAACCAACCCTATTATGTTCTTCATAAGTAAGTAAGTTTCAGACTTAATCACGTTATAATAAAATTGAAATTCTTTTAAATAGATAATATAATGTGTATTTCATGACGATTCAAAGTTTGATGGAATATAAAAAAATCACAAACGGGAAACTTTATACCATACCAATGCTGACAAAGTAAAAGGCCACACGAAATAATAATCATAACGATCCAAGTAAGAAATCTATTTTTGGTAGAAGATCTTTAAAAATAATTTGGATACAATATTATATTACTACCGACTACCAACCTACTTATTCATACGAAATTTTTCATTCAAACAACGGCTTAACCTTTAAAACCTACAAAAATAACGCTTATCCATTTCCATCCCTTCTGCAACCTAAAATAACAGCCCTTACGCATTAACAAAAGAAAGTATACCTATCTAAAAATAGCAAAAAACTACCGAGAAAAGTAGTATATAAAGTAAAACCGTTTTAATTTTACCAAAACAAACCAAGTCTACTATCAATATAAACACAAGCATTCTCATGTTACACACTGTTATAAAGTCACGAGGCCTTATCAATTTCTCTAACAAAATAGATAACACTATTTACACTATGAATCACTACCTTGTAAGCCTAACATGTGTTAAATACCAACAATCAACTAAACACTCTAATTCATAACGCATAAAGTTCATAGTACAATAACATGGATGACCACGTGTACTTCGATAACCTTTGACATTTTATAGTATCCTAGTAATTCATATTTAGTTTGTTTAGAAATAAACTGCTGTTTGCGTAGTCTATTGTCAATCAGTTTGTTTAATTACATATTAATAAGTCAGGTAACTTTCCCTTGAAAATTGCATTGCTTACTATTTTTAATGTCTTAAGTTAAATACATATGTAGTTTAGGCAATAAAGATAGAGTTCTGTAGGCCTACGATGGCGTAAAAAGCGTGACTCTTCTGGACGAAAAAGAGGGATGGAGCTATACACCTTTCTTAGCTCCATCCCTCTTTCTCGCCACGTCATGGTTGGCCCTCTGAACTTACGTTTTCCAAAATGTCAATAGTAGATATTTATCCTTGATTCATGACATTTGCTATGGAATCGTATCCTCAATGGAACAAGACTAAAGAAAAAATCTGAATCATAAATTAAAATATTAAAAGGTCTTCTACACTTAAAGACGATTACTTTAATGTTATGCATAATGAACAAAATTATGAATGATAAGTGTTAGATCCCCCAATCCTCGTAAACCAAGCCCTATTTCCATTCAAATGATCTTTATGACCTACGGATCACTTGATTTATGTTTAACTCACCGTATTCCATATATTTTTATTTCTATATTATCTCACAAAAGATCATAAAGTCACTCAAACATAGATTTTAACGTAAATTACTTTTAATATTTATTTTAACAATAATGGTCCAAGAACAGAACCTTGCGGTATTCCAGGTTATTTTTGTTTCAAACTAGACTTAAAACAACTGTTCATGTGTTTGATTTTAAGTTTAGGTCGCATTTAATATCTAGTTCTATACCTGTTTCCCAATAATTTATTTTATAAAATTATTAATGAATACTTTAGCCTGATTTTTGCTGACATTTGGTTTTGAATCCATAAAAATGCAAATTTGTTTAATGTTGACATTTCACAATAAAAATAATTAAATGAGAATGAATGCAGTAACAATAATTTACCTACTGAATGTATTTTTAATTTTACTGTTATACAGGCAATTATTATAATTCCTTGTCCTGATATGGTGAGACAAGGTGACAAACTTTGACATTTAGGTAGGATTATATTAAAGTGTTACATCATTATAATGACTCGTGGCTGCGTTTAGCATGTATTCGTAGAATCCTTTTTTGTGAAGTAAAGTAAAAGAACTGTGTTTTGAACTACTTTAACATTTATGATAAAAATGAATGAATAATTACGCTACTACCGCGATCTAGTGGCACAATTCAGTAAACACAGTTCTCGTAGAAATAAATACAAAAAAAAATATATTTCAATACACGATATCAATACTACAACCAATATCGTACACTCAAACAAAATTAATAAAGATGAACAAAAGATAAAAAATATCGCAATGTGAATTCCAGTAAAGTGATATCGTTGATAATAAAATATAAAATAATACATTCATTTGATAAGTATGAAACGTCACCAATGAAGAAAATCCACAAATAATAAATGTTACACTTCATTAACTTTCTGAGCCTCTCTAATTACCAACTATCCATTAATTAATGGTCGAAACTTTATTAAATACTAATATTACCTACCATGTAATTGCTTAAATAATAGGATAAGAATAATTCAAGTAGATAAGTTAGTACAATAGTAGTTTCTAGAATCAAATTTTAAGAATGAAATTCCTACATCTGAGTGCGTAATCTATTATTTTTTTCTTTAAAAAGATTCGAAACTGTTATGAAACCACTTTTATACAAGCTAAAACAAAACAAACATTAGTTATCAAAACAAATATATATGAATGAAGTTGCTAAGCAAATAAAATTGTTCACTAATCCGCCCACAGAATTTCGCTATTTATTTTCCAACTTTTTATAGGTAACTCAAACCGTTACGCGGCGTGTCGATCATTAAAGTTAATCATGGCCGCTTGGTCTCTTCAATTTGCAACAGATTTTTGGTGAAAGGAACCTCCAGGTTAACGTACCGCGATGGTCTGAAGATATATCTCGAAATGTCAAGTGTATTTAAAAATCTACGGAGTCATGGTCAAACCACTTAATAGAGTTGACAGTAACGTTTAAATTGTTTTGTGGTTATAACCATGGTTGAAAGAATTCATCTTGATTGTAGGAATTAAGTAGATTGGTGTAAATTCAATCAAACGGTTGTGGTCTTTGATTTGTGTTGCATCTTTAGACCTTTGTTGTTGTTAATTAGATATACGCAAGATGGTAGCCAAATGCTCCTGGTTATCATTCAAAGGTTTTCTAATTTTCAAGCTCTTTGTATTTAGTTAGTTTTAATTTGCCTATAGGTTTACGGTAACCATTGAATATGTTGTGTTGCATCGCCATTTATACCTAAGACGTCGATGTTGTATTTGATAAATTATAAATCAAACTAAAATTTCTTGGTTTTGATCGATGTAGAACGAGTCTCTCAAAGAAAACGTCCAGTACCTACAGCAGTTGCATAACACAAGATCCTTTATAAAATAAACTACACTTGTCATTGTGTAATGCATTTCTTCTATCGATAAATCAGCCGATTGTCCAGTCCCGTCATACATCATCATGACATCATCTATTATGGACGACATCATCAGCTCATCTATCTCAGTTGTCGCTATTTTGATAGGGACATTAAGGCCTATTACGTATTCGTACGGAACTAACGATGATTTAGAAAGACAATGCTGAAGATGGTTATCGCTGTTCCTAGTTGTTGGTATAGAAATGACAATTTATTACTCTACTTAGGCAGGTATGTCTTTTATAAATGTTAAAATTCATTTTTTATATCTCTCGGAATATGATTTTTGTAAATGCACTTTCTTTATTGTAGATTAATTACTGTATTACTGTTCTGTTATGCATGCCTTTGTTTATGTTACTGAATTGCTCCTAAACTGCTTAACAGATTTCGATAGAGGTTGATTACGTAGGTTATATGTGTTAATGGGTTCTTATAAAGTAAAATTCTATGTTATATGGATAAATAAGGGTATTCCCTAGCAAAATTCACAAAAAAATTCACTGTGGCCTAATTTCTTTTGTATCAGATATAAAATTTACATTATCAATAAAAGCGTTTCAATTACAATAAAGATTGGACGCAAAGATTATATTAATACATACTTAGTGATAAATCAATTCATTTAACTTCAACATGCAAACGATGTGTTAACCAGATGAATTTTAAGGAGAATGTTTATAGTTAAATACTTTTCTTTCCGTGTTTTATAATAGAGTCTTCTGTACTATTCAGTTACATAAAAGTTCTCGATTCTCGTAAATCGACGTATTGTATCAATATGATACTGATACTGTGCTGTTTCTCTAGATTTGGGTTATACTTAAGGCTGTATTAAATAATAATTATGAATTAATAATATTAGATAATAAATAATTTCACTGTCTAAAGTTTTTTTTAGCTGATATGCGTTCTGCGTTTAGTAATATTTTATTTGAAAACGACAAACGAAATAAAAATACTAGGTATTAAGTTATTTTAATTTTTATTAACTTTTTAAAAACATCACCTCTATCAAACACTAGATAATATAATCAGACAATTTGTACGCAACGTACAAACACTAGAACTAATTAACGAATTACAAAACTTTACTTGAGGTGTATTCCGTTCTAGAAATTAACTGGAACTAGTAATTTATGAGTTAATCAAGCGTTCATGTTCAATATTCAATGATGTAACTGTAAAAACTGGGTAATAACCGCTTAGATGGACGTAAGGCTGCGTACAATGTGGTTAATTAAATTATGGCTTGAGTGAACTACTAAGGTCAAAGGGGCGAGCAGGATCGAGACTGATATTACTGGTTGTATCGTCTCTTTAAATCTGTTTTCCTATACTTTGTATCTTCTTCCTAAATACTAGAAGCTTCTAACTGGAAATATGGTAGAAAAATGAGAAGACCAATTATATTGGTCTTTGTGAACTATGGTAATAACCTGACGGCAAGCAATCAGCGCCGCCCATAGGAACCGACAACACTACAGTAGTTACGAGTGCGTTATCGGCAGTTTTGGGGATTAGGCTTTTTGAGTTTTGGAAATGGGGAGGAGATGGGTTGGGTACTGTAACTTCACTCACACGGTGAAACAAATCACTATAGTTTTTCTCCGGTCTAGCTGGCCCATTCGTTCCGAAGCACGACTTTCCGACACTTTGATCACTTCCATTAAGTACATTTTGGTTAAATAAAATTAATTTGCTTTAATTTTGACACCAAACAGTACTCAAACTTAACGTACATTTAGAATAGGAAACAAAAATATCCTCCTTGGTGGAAAGACTTGGATAAAATTAAAAGTACAGTTGCATTTAGAAACTGCTACCAAACAGCGTCTGTATAAACGTCGGGTGCAAGTTTTCCTACAGAACCTGTAACATGCCCACGTGGTCTAAAAATAACTTTAAATGCTGTGTAAGTGAGAATAATAGGAAACTGGTACTAGTGCACCCCACGCAAAGTCTAAAAGTCACAGTGACTCGGGGAAAGCGTTGGGAAAACTGAAATACGTGGGCGATACAATGGGGACCTGTCCTTTTTACCTAGAAATAGAATAGGTCTAGTGACTACTATGACTAGGCCTTCTTTTGTTCTTATTTATTATATAGAATTGTTTTACTTATTTTTGCCCAAAAGGGTCATTGTTCTTTGTATTTATTTTTCGTTTGCCATACTCAGAGTCGTTTGGTGCGCTGAGTTTTCGGAAAAAAAAATCGTTGCTATTAGGAATAGTTTAAGTAATCTGTCTGAGTATAAAAACTTCTGTCTGATACTTAGTTTGATAATGAGCTTACAATCTTGTATTTATTCTAAAAGTTTTACTTCTTATTAATGTTTTAACCAATTCCGTAAAACCAATGTGTAGAAACTGCTTTTGAAGTAATAAAATATTTTAAGGTAGCAGTACTTATTGTCATCACATTTTCGCTCTTGAAGTTACCTCTAATTAATATGCAAGAGCAAAGATAAACAATAAACGTCTGTCATTAATACATTTTAATAAAATATTCTATCTGCTTATTAAGCGTGACCAATTTAAAACGTTTTGAACTTATTATTTACTTGATCGATATAATGTAAGCAGTCTAAGAGCGATTTTATTATTTTCTTATTATGCTTTTAGAAAATTTTGCAATTTCATTAAAAAAGCAAGCAATTAACGTTTAACAAACCCGATATTACTGGAAACATATCCTCTAAAATGGCCCATAGTTGGCGATTACTTGCCACCAAGCGACCCGTATGCTCGTTATTTCAATTGTCCTCTTGAAAATATTCATTAAAAACTTCGTACCTACTTCACGTATGCAGCTGATTTACTTAATAACCAAAAAATTATATCCTACTTATAATGTATATCTACTACAAATTCATAAATCTATTAATATGAAATCGCTACAATCATACACACGAAAACCGAAGTGCTGGAACACGCAATGTGCATGAAACGCAATTGCCACCTTAACGTTCCAACTCATAGCCTGAACCAAGAAAATTTTTCAAGAAAAAGGCCTTTCAAGGCATTTGATACTTCGAATAAGAAGATCCAATATGAAATAGGCTCTATATCTTTAAATTAATTACTTCCAGACATGGAAGACGAATGCTACCCAGCAATGCCAGCTAGCGCATGGAGCAGCCGACGAAGGTCCAGTGACTCCCCCCCACGGGAGGTGAAAGCTGAACCGAAGTCTGAACCAGAGTCCCCAGCGTCATCCTGCCCCCCCTCACCTACCCCTGGAACACCAGTCACACATCTCGACTATGTTATTGACCACACGGTAAGGATGTTCTTTTTATCAAGTCACAAACAAATCAGGAGCCTTTATCTAAGTAGCAGGCTCCTTAATTTTTCAACTAAATCCTTAGGTTACTTCGTCAATTTTTTTATCTGTCATCAAAACCACGTTTGAATTTGAAAAGAGAAGTATGTCTTTTCATATTTTTTTCGCCTTCGTTGCTTTGTGGTGAAGGTTTAAGCTTCTGTTTGAAGATTGTCATGTAAAAATGTTGTCTATTAAACAGACACAATTATTGATCTAATCTCAAACAGCTTCCTAACATAACCTAAATTAATAGATATTACTTAATGCTCTAAGTTAGACAACAACTCTAAACTGCACTATTAATAATTGCATTATAGCAGTCTTATTCATAGCTTTTTGCGCTATTTCAACACTTTCTAATGCATTTTCTATTGTGCTTTAGAGTAAAAAGGTGTCTAGATGATCTTTCTTTATTTTTTTGGCGGAAATCTTGCTATACGTCTTCTTTGGTCAAAAATTTGAATGCTGGATGACAGACTTGCTTTATAATATCTGCATTATCATTTAATTTAAATGAGATACACTATCTATCACTTCTCTTGAAACAAACGAACGTGATATTATATCGCTTCCTATGTTTAGAAATGAAACGATGGGAAACATAGTCTTAATTGAGTATTAAATTGCTACGTGCGAGGGCACGCCTCCTCTCAATAGATCACGCGTCGCGTCTTCATTTCGATTTGTCAGTACCTCACGACTCGATAACTCGACAAAAACTAAAAGGTCGTTAAAGTTCAAATATTTATTTCGTGATCCTCAACTTTGCGGCTTTCTCGTACAGACAGGAAAAAACGGCTCTTTTTAAAATTGCCGATTTTTAGCATTCCGCAATTGAAGGGTCCTTATACTCATTGCTTTACAAATAAAATTATTAAGACGATGATAACTTCAGACACTTAGGGTGTGGCAATTTCTAATACCAAATTAAATTAAAAATGAATTGGAAAGTAAGAAATGAAAATGCAACTTAATTGGGTCACAACAGAACATAAATTCGGAAACGCACTAGAACGCTATACGGAACTAAAACTGCTTATTTACAACTGACACGCACTCGGCATGTTTTCCATAGCGTGCGTGACTCTTTGGTCATTATGTACGTAATTATTATCTTTAAACGCACAGTCCGGAGGTTTTCGTTTTAACATTGTCGGAGTGGAATCCTCAACGATTATTGTGAAACAGCAAACAGTTTTTACAACGTCGTTTACATTCCTCAGATATGTTTCAACTTGAGCCATTTCTCGTGTATCTTTTTATTTTTAAACTATGTTGAATAAATATTGTAAGTTTTGAATACTCGTTGAAATCTCGTATATCCTAGGTGACGCCAAACTTCCCTTAAATAGTTTATGATTGCTATTCCAAATATATAATTTCAATCACCATTGCAAAAATCAATATCTTTTAACTAAAATCAAATTTTTAGAATAATTATAAAATGTAAATATTTTCTTCCACAAATCTCCTAACACATTCTTATAGTCTCTCTCCTTGCAGACCGGCACAATCCACATGCCACAAGCAGTTCTACAGAAGGTCGGCGCAGCGGGAATGCCTCAACTGCTGCTCAGCGCTGCGCCGCGTCTAGCCACCTCGCTCAACTCCAACAAACTATCCATCAAGGTCACTTCCAGCTCAGGGGCTTCAGGTAAGCATGCCATCTACCAAAAATAAAATACCTTTAAGGCCATTGACAAGCAAATTTCAAAAAGCATGTTTCCCCTCTTAAAAACTTTTTAATACCATCCTAAGACAGTGTTCTGAAATTTAAATTTTGCCATCATTAGCTCTTTTACCTCCATTGAAACTAAAATTTTATTCAAATGAAGAAATACTAACAAATTCTTTATCAATTTCAGGTTTCAACCTCCCTCCGACACCTCCATCATCTCTGTCATCATCAGACAGTGAGGGGGCCTTGTCTCCAGCTCACGAGGCGTCCCAGGCACCACTAGCACCACCTGCAGCCCCCGCGCGTCGCTCGCACCTGTACGTGTCTCACCACACTCGGCAGCCCATCAATACACCATTGATTAGCAGTCAACCGGTAAGGAGAATTGAAGCTTCTTTTTTACTAATCGGATAGTAACTATCGTGAGACATACTTAATTTATTGAAAATAATGACTTATTCCCGTAAATAAACTTAGAAAACCTCTATTGGTTGGGCGACGCGCACGCTGCTCATGAATAAGAGTCCCGTTGTGACTTGAAACTAGTAGAGCTTTTCACAGTTTATTCACGGGAATAAGTCGTTATTTTCAATAAACTCTTTCCTACTGTTTCGATTTGTGTTTTTTAGAAAAAAACTGTTCGATAGTTAGCGCACATATTTCGATCAGTACTTTTTTAAACTAAGCACCAATAAATTTAGTAACATTGGTGTTACTTTATAAACCCAACTTATTTTTTCTTAGTTCCTAATTTATTTATTGCTTTGTTTTACAGAAAGGGTCAACTGGGACACTGGTGTTAACAGAAGAAGAGAAACGCACGTTACTTGCTGAAGGCTACCCAGTCCCGACCCGCCTGCCCCTTACCAAGGCAGAAGAAAAGTCTCTCAAGAAAATCAGGAGGAAAATAAAAAATAAGGTACATTTATTTACATTTAAGACCATGCATAAACTTCCTTTATGAATCGTCTAGTGTTTAATTCCAATATTTCAATTTATTGAAATCAAAAAGGAACTAGTACATCTGTTCTCGAAAAGTTTATAGCATACACAAGTTATTATATTAATTATTTCATGCAAAATACTTTACATCACATCATTCAGCCTACAAATCACTGCTGAGCAAAAGCCATTTCTCACACGGAGAAGATTTGAGCATTTATCACCACGCTTGCTCGAGGTTGATTGGCGATTTCAAACTTATAGTCCAAGTTTCCTTACGATGTTTTCCTAAGAATTAAATAAAGTTTAATAATGAATCCTTATCTTCAGATATCCGCACAAGAAAGCAGACGCAAAAAGAAGGAATACATGGACCAGCTGGAGAGGAAGGTGGAGATCCTGATATCCGAGAACACGGATTACAGGAAGAGGGTGGAGACGTTGGAGCAGAAGAACGCGAGCTTGCTGAGCCAGGTCGCCTCGCTGCAGGCCATGGTCGCGCGCGGCGCTCGCAAGTGACGCGTCCCGCGGTAACTCGTCGACTGTCCAAGTATAACGCTGTCCCATAACGGAATCAATGTATATTTTAGATGTATTTACATGAATGAGTGTCCGGGGAAAGAACTGTCAGCGTTTGAATGGTTGCTCACTGTAATTGTTAGTAAATAGGTATTCTGTGGTGCTGGATCCGATATACCCGCTGCGTCGGTATACAAACTGTCAAGTGCCACACTAGATATTTATTTTATACAACTCTGATACAGTTTTCGTTCGAGACGCGAGGGATGACTTGATAACAGGGAATTATAGTACTGGGGTTTAGATATGTATCGATAGTTATTTACGCGTGTTGTTTGAAATCTCGTAATATATTATCATAGCGCTCTAACGGCGATAATTAGTTTGTAAGTTTTATTTTATGCGTGTTTTAATTAAAATGTGCAATTAGGTTAAGGATTTTATTGTTACCCAAAGCATACATTGTACTTGTGTGGCCTGATCATGTTGATGGTATTGACACTAGATTATCAATAGGGACTACTAAAGTTAATATAGTTCGGGACATAGCGTATTGCCGGATACCTATGGAACTGACTCGCGTGTCGGTGCGTTGTGTTATCGGAATCTTAGTAGCATAATAATGTAAGGCGGACAATGTACCAGCGTGCGTCTTACCGATTAATATTGAATTCCATGAATTTGCATTTATAGCGAAATGTGTATTGTCCTAGAGATTTTACCTTGTATTTAAGATAAAGTTAGTTATGTATCTAATAGTGGACCTATTTAAAACCGATTTGTGTGACAAGTGTTTTCGGTTATGTCTAGTCTCTTGTAGAACCGTCAGGCCTCGTTCTGGAGGCCTTCATAGAAACATTAGCTGTATTCTCAGTTCTGCGCTCTATATCGACAAGTACAAAATAATGGCATGCCTTCAACGAGAATAACGTAACTAACTCTAATGAGCTAACTCATTTATTTACATCCAGTATTTTTACTATAGAAGGGTTGCCAGCTTACAGGAAAGTTTGCCAGCCTAAAAAATGTAGATAGATATAAAATATCAGTAATCTATGGGTTGGTTAACTATCTTGTTTTGTAGCAAGGCACCTAGAGGATTAATGAATAATTAATACATATGAAACAAGTTCTAGCAGAATCTCCAGATGAATAGTCGGTGCACTAGTATGTTCGTGGTCTTGCCAGCTCTGCCGTAGCTACCGTTCAGCGTGATAGTTCCATATAACAAGCTGCTAGTGATCTTTCTAACATTCCATTTCTTAGTAATATGAGTGACTTAAAGTGAGCTCGAGTACTTATTATAACTAATTGTAGACTTTAGCGCCGAACACACTTCAAACCTTTGTTTTGCGGAGACGGTCCGATTCACAGCACAGAAGCAGAATTATATTCCACTCATTCGCAATCTGCTATCAAAAATGCTATCATTAACGTCCTCCATAACACGAATCGGAAAAGTACCGAAAATAAATGTTTCCAGTGCGCATCGACTTTATTTAACTAACTTTGTAAACAAATTAACACATTTTTTTAATAATAAAAACAAAATGTGCTGTTATAAATTTTCTTTTGAATAATTTATAGGACTAGCCAATCAAATGTTAGTTGCTTCTAAATTTTTATATTGTCATTACTAATCGGCTTGTAGAAATGAAGATTATGAACATGTTTGTTAACCGAACTACAAAAAAGTAATAATGTTAACAAAAATGTTAGTAATTTAACAAACTTATTTTCTACAAATCGATTGATATAATCGACAAATTTGTATATTAAATTTAAACATATGAAAATATATATTTACCTGAATGCCTGTATATAGGTAATATCATTGTTTCGTGTTATTAATACACTGTTTGTGCAATTAATTTTTTCTCTTATACACTCGTAAATGTTCTTCCTATTTAGTAATTTAAGAAAATGTTCTATTTATATAGCGCTGAAATAATATATCGACATGATGGTCCCCGACACCTCGGGGGGAGTTTTAAAGAATTGAGATATATTTTAAGAGATTTTTTCTAAGGAAATTTTAGATATATACATATATATATGTGAAACACTGTTTACATGTCTTTATCACTATACAAGTTAGGTCTCTAGTTAAAATATCGTTAGTACCTACGATTCTACATACAAGTTTATTATTGAAACTGCAAATTGTGCCTGCCTATCAGCTATTTGATTTAATAAGCAAGGATAGTGAAGATATCTTTTTTAAGAGAAACATATTATTTAAAGTAATGAAATATTCAATTCCTAATATGGCATTTACCGTCTGCAAAAGTGATTTTATAGGAATTATGGTGAAGTAACTGATGTTAGTAATATATTTAACTTATAATGGAATTAATATATGAGAGAGGTGCATTCGCGCCGGCTTTTAATGACATAATAACTTGTAATGTAAATAAAATGCCAAACATACTTACTTTTATATGTTATTAGGCACCATACATATTTGGGTGACAATGTTGCGATTCATTCGAAGTTGTTTCTATTGGATGTCTGAGTTGGGTGTTTATTGTCAGTGAGCCGTGTCATGGCGGTCTCTGGTGGATCGTAACCACGCGCCGGCCGGAGCCGAGCGCGTCTTGTTATTCATTATAAACTAATTTTATTTGATAGTTTTATTTGTTAAAACTATACGTTACCTTGAGTCATGATTTGTTAAATCGTTTGTTTTATTATTATTTTTCAATGACATTGCGGATTTTACTGTCACCCTTCTAATAAAACGTCAAATATTGTAATATCATTTGTTTCTTTTATACTACCCTGTTGACTGATGTTAGTTTTGATATAAATAACAAATATTTTTAAACAGGTTTCCTTCAGAAGTGCAGTACCTAGTACCTACGAGTATTGTACTATTATTCAATGAAAAAGTCGACTCGTAATCGATTTTTGTGCTTTAAGTAAACATACTTTAAACATTATTCTTCTTACAAAGCTTACTTAAAACGTTCATGGATACATGGATAGGTACTGATTTGATAATAGAAGAGCCTACCCATGTTAGACTACAACATAACAGTTTAAAACTAATGAAAGACTGCAAAAATATTGAAACTTTTATAATTGGATGACTTTTACTAGGAACAACTTTTAATTTTAATTTTTATTAACCGACCAGAAGAAAAATCAAGTAGGTATCGTTTCCAGCCCTGTACTTATGCATCTCGTCTACATAAGAGAGGTTAGCTAGAGTCTGAACGCTTAGCAAGTGGATTGAATCAGCTTAACAGGGAGAACGCTACCTTGCAGTCCCTGCTTAATATATTTCACTCTTGAGAAGTCCGCTGAAAGGGATGGTAACAAAGGTATTTCTTGTCTGCAGGGCTAGTTATTTTTTAAGCGTAGCCCCCTCGTTTTGTTTACCTTCTGTGCCATGGAGTGATAGTTACAAACATACAAATCCACAGACACAAGCCATTCAGACTTGAATCAACAATTTGTGGAACACACAAAGTGCATAGCAGCCAATTGGCCAGCCAAGCGTGCAGTCATTCTGCCTGTTCTCTTGTTATGATATACATCGGCAAAAGAGCAGATGGATCACCTGATGATGAGCAATCGATCGAAGCCGCCTATAGACACCCGCAATACCTTTAGGTTCTAGCCTTTGCTACCCCCACTGCTTTATAGGTCGTTACAAAACATGCACATAACCGGGTATACTTTCAAGGATATGTACATTCAAAACGAATACATGTACCTAAACGACTACGATGACCAGGGATATCCCGTTTTTAAATACCTGTCATATACAACATGGATCTCTAAGTATCACAGGATGGATGGATATGGATAACTAAGTTTACCATAACCTTTATTACCTCGACCATTTTTATGTTGTACGTATCGAAAACTTTTTTCAAACGATATCAGAGTACTTTAAAAGTGGGCCATCTCCTGGCAAGGACCTCTCCCATTCCTTCTCCCATTTCACTATAAAACTGTATAAAAGATTTGTAGATTTTGTGTTGTAAGGTTTTCCAAATGTGTAGAATAATCCTAAGCTATCCAGAAAATTGTTAGTATTTGTTATGGTAATGTATTTAAATTATTATAACTGAGCTCATTCCAGCCCAAGGACTTTTCTACTCTGTCTATCGATTGGCAAATACATCTTTATGAGGGGCATAAAGTGCTACACCTGCAAAATTTTCATAAAATATCAGTGCTAAGTTTCCTTTACCTTTCGATCAAAAAATAACAAGTTTGCCAATTCTTAGATATAAATACCCGTCTCTAGAACAATACATAGGTTTACAAATAGGTAAGAGGATCCGAAGTCCCATAAAGGTGATGACGGTGATTGTCGAATTGGTTTTCGTGAGCTGATAATTCTACACTCTCTGGTTTATCTCCCCAAAAAGCTAGAGCAACATTCAAATAATTCCCCTTCAATAAAAATGGTAGTAACCTTTAACACAAACACTCTAAGTATCTACAGATTTGTTTTTTCAATAGTATCTAACTATCGTGAGACAAAAATACTAAGTTTCTCTTCAGACACATACGATGAATCGACGTCACGAATGAGAGTCCCATTGCGAAACTAGTACAAGCTTTCCACTTTCTCAGTTACTAAGTCTAGAAAAAAACGATTATATATTGTTAAGTACAATAACTTCTTTTTTAGTTTATGCAAAAAAAAGCAACAAAACTGTTAAATCCTTTATTTTTCTTACAAAGCTTAATTATAACGCTCCTGCATACAAATCCATACAAAAATCTCCAGATACACAATTAAGACTAGATTTTATATTAGCAATAAAATACATTTATTATTATAATTATGTAAAAACCAAAAGATTACATTGAGAACTATGGGAGCACCTATGGTTTTTCTATCGCTCAGTCTTGGTTTAAATATCTACACTTAAAACTAAACTTAATACTTAAAATATAAGGTTTCAAATCGTGAATTATTACAATAGAATCTCAACAAAAAGATTTCGTATATAGAATCTTGTTAACGAAAAAATATTTCATGTAACAGCGACATCTATGATAGATCGAATGAAATGCTATGATCAGATTTACAATTAAAAAATAAAACTTATATTAAATCAATTCCAAGTGAAATGTCTGCAATACGGTTTCAAAGTGTGACGAAGACTTTTTTCTTGGCCATTATATGGGCTATGATGACCCATAAAGCTGTTCCCCAAACGGCTTCAACCAGACTTATTGCGTGGGTCCTCATTTCTGGAATTTTCCAGTGGAATGGGAACAGATGAGCGCAGAGCGAATGGCCGACGTATAGCGCTATAGCGTTGAGACCTGGTGCCCTGAAGGGACCGCCTCCCCAAAACCTCCAGGCATCGGTCAGAGTGTAGCAGAAACAGAGGAGTATGAGGCAGCAAGCTGATGTTACGAGGACGAATGACATGGACCTGGAAAATAAACATTTTCGCTATTAATATTAAGCAAATTCTATCTGAGATTTGGAAAATTGGTTTGGAAAAATTCTGTATTTTTTGCGTGAGACAAGTCAGTAAAAGTAATAATCCTTGTTGGGGTTGTTTCAAAACTTTGTTTACCTACATTTTTTTTTCAGAACCGTTAAGTAATGGAATTCTTTGCCTTCGGGGAACACAGGCTTTAGCAACACAGAACTTTTCACACCTTATCGAACGCTTTGGCTAGGACCGTTTCACTCCGTCCTTAAAGATATTCCAGGACCCAGTATCGAATCGAATATCTTCAAGGACGGAGTGAGTGAGTGATGAGTGAGTCGATTTAATAGGTTGCTTATGGGTATGCGTGCTCCATCAGAATCATCTCTTACCAACGAATAGCCGATGATATATTTTGGTTCATCATCTATGTACGTTCTAGCTATAAATGCGAAAAAAAAGGTACTATAACCATATAACTTAGCATCACTTAGACGTCAAAAACGTTAATAAGCTCTATAACAACACTTAAACAAACCTACCAAAGATTCTTATTAATAGGTATAACTCCATGTTCTCTCGAGAATCCAGCGAGTAGAGCCCCTGCCAACGCGAACACTAAAGCCCAAGCCAGCCAGCGAGAGATGCGAGCCTTGTGTGATCGCTGTAGGAGCACGGTGGCACCCGCTTGTATACCCAATAGTGCTTGCACGGCCGATGTTAGGCATCCTAAGGAAAAATACGTTAAATTTGATTTCATATTTTATCATATGGAATAGTTGATTGCACAGTTGACGCAGTTGTTGGGTAATAAAGTGCCATGCAAGGTGACTGAGCAACTTTTTATGTGTTCCATAAATGGTTGTTCCAGGTGTGGATGTGATGTGTTCTGAAAATCGTTTGTTTGTCATAACCACGACTGTACGACAACATAAGAGAAAATCGTGGTGTAGAGCAGTTTAACAAAACATAACTATAAGTACTATATGTACCTTCATTTACTACATTAACATTTATGCTTTTTACTACCTTTATAGATACACAACTTTTTTGACTTAGTAGTACTCCTAAAATGCATTTTAAATATTAAATATTTGTAATAAAATAAGTTATAAGTTTCTAAAGTTTTGATGTTGAAGAAGTCATCATCATTATCATTATCATGATATCAGCCTCAACAGGTTCACTGCTGAATGTAGGCCTCTTTGTAATAAATGTGAAATAATAAATCAACACAAAATTAAGCGACAATCGATGTGCATGAATAAAATGGTAGTTACCTAAAAGGCCCTCAGGATCAGTAGGTTCTCCTCCATAGACGCGCATTGCGTCACTACGCTGGAAGACGTGTGACCGGCCTAGTAGGAGACGGTCGATGTACCCAGCTGCACCGCCACTGCAGTTAGCAGCCACCCAATCGTCATGTAGACCTCCAGGCCCCAAATAACCCCTGAAAAAGATGATCGATCAGATTAAAGGAGCTTTTGGAGCAATCAATTCCCTTTTTGTTATGGGAACACTGAAAAAACATCGAACTTACTTCAAGAATTTTGTTAAAAGGCATTCGATATATGCAAACAATGAAAAAATGTCACAATAAATTTCCGAAAATGCAAAACAAAACAGCGATGGGCAACGTGAACTGGACAACTTATACGCCACAAAGCATAGCAACATACATGATGATAATAATATTTTAAAATATGTTACTAAGCAATTATCTCGGATATTGATAGTCCATAGTAATGGTACTATACTTACATGGGACAGTCAGGATCATGCACCACGAAGGTGATGACACTATGAGCAGCCACGAGAATACCAGCTAGCACCCAGCACCATACACATGACAGTACATCCTTTAGCGCCTGGCCACATGCACCCTGAAATAAAGATCTCCGTCTTCATATATCGTAGTGAAACTCTTATGAAGTTTTGGGGCTATTATGACTAAAACATTGACAGAGAAATGTTACGACGTGTATAGCATATTGTTGATCGTGAATATGAACCCTTAACGTAGCTTGAAACTTATCGAGGTGCTTGGTCAAAAATTTACATGAATAACTTACTTTTTTGGGTCCCTAACCTTCAGACATAAATAATAAAAAAAATCCGGATGATAATAAAAAAATCGGTTTATTTCTATGAAATTTTAATATAATAGCTGCTGTACAGACTGTTTGCATTTAGCAACTTCCAAAAAAAAAAAAAAAAACTTCCTTTCAAACCGGTGACCAAATGTAAGAGTTTGTTAATGTTCAATACCGAAACTTACAAAACCTTAAAAATACTTAAAAAAAAACGAATAAATACAAAATCTACACGTTTTTAAGTTTTTTTTTTCTATTATTAAAGGGATTTTTATATTTTTTTTATTGATTTTTTGATTGAATTTGATTGATTTTTTTTGATATTTTTAAAGGGAAGAATATTTATGTTTAATTCATTCACCCCGTTTCACCATTATCATAACGGCACTAGAGCTATAAGTCAAATTAAGTCTTTCAAAAAGAAGTTTTTATATTAATATGTAGTAGAAGCTGCCTTACATGATCTATATCAGTTCAAAAAACAAGTCCAATATGACTATGTCGATATGTGCTTTATAAAAAGCGTGTATATAAATACAAACCTGCTAAGTACACAAAAAACATCGAATGCTAATTAACCGAAAGTGAACCTTGACTCCAATATGTTAAGCATGTGTGTAGCGCTCGAATTATTTATTGGTTTTACTTTTCATAATCCCTGGTACAGTTACCTTTTTTTGGCCAGTCATATTTTTTGCTCAAACGATAACAACGTCAATCTTGGTTTGGACCGTCATTATTTAAAAATTTTAATATCGAAAGTGGACAAAAATGAGGCTAGTTCAAAATAATCTATTACTAAATAATACGAGAAATAAATCATTCTAATGTGCTGTCCGTTTTGTAATTCCATATTATAGTGTTTTTCTAAAGGTGCTGTAATATTTTATTTAAAGTTGCAAACATTTAGATTTATTTATTTCTCACTTAATATTTAGGTACACCAACCTGTTTTCCTAATAGTATAGTGTGATCGTCTCTATCAAACAAATATATATACACACACTTGCAATATTGTTTTTTTACCACCATGCCGAGATTTCAGACAAATGGCCCGCCTGCAACTTCGCTATGCATATCGATCATAATGTCACTAACGTGTCATTATTTTATTTGAAATTCATTTGCAGTTTCAACTAACCTCATCTTCCAAACACCATGGCTATCCCTGATAATTTTAAAGTGCTCTAATTTTGTTATACCAGAGCGGTGCAACCAAAGAAAATAACAGAACAAACAACAAAAAGATCTTACACTCACCCGCGGAGGTGTGTAGTATTTGGGAGCGGTGAGGGCGTAGAATCCAGCAGCGATGAGGTAGGACACTGCCAGCCGCTGCAGGACCCCGAAGATGCGCAGCTCATACAGCATGTTGGAGCCGTAGATAGTGTTCAGAGACATGCCAAGAATGAACATAATGATGGATCGCTGAAAAAAGGAGAAAACTTTATGCAATTTGCTAGGACGTCAAATGTTGCAAAATCGTTATATGAAACCGATTTAAATATCTGTTTCAGTAAGCAAAATACAAAACCAAAAAAGCAAAATAAAAGATAACACGTTTAACCAACAATTCCAAAACATAAAAACAGTCAAGAAGAACAATCTATCGTCGAGATGAAATTTAAATGACTCGTCTCTCAACAATTGACATAATAAAAAATGCAACTAAATGATATTATTTTTTCTTATTGGTCTAGTACATTTTATGTAGCCATCTCGAGCCTCTGAGAATAGTATGCCTCGTAACCATCAAAACAATAACATTCTTTGTCATAAGTGCCAAAGTAATAGATCGGTCAGCTAAATTTTAAATTGTTGTATGTATCAAAACGGTAAGGAAGACTAAATTAAAGGAATTTTAATGAAACTACTCAAGTTTCACGCGGAAGCCACACGATGAATTACGTGATACCGAGATAAAACATTATCATATTGTGATCACAACCCACTTTCTTGATAGTTTTGCCTCCAATGGAATTGACAGATACTTCAAGTTAAAGATTAGATGAATATTAACTTCTTCACCTTGTCTTACGATCTTTACTTTCATATATCAAAAGATCTTCAATTTATCCTCATTGTTGAGAAACAAAACACAATAGAGCATTTTGACATTAAAAAATAAGTTAAATTATTAGCCTGAGTTACAATCGTAAAGAGGCCTTATTAAGACTAATGTTTTAAAAATCGAACTGTATTGATTGACACATCAATGATTGACAATAAAAGAACATACAAATTTGTTTATGAATCACAAGACATTCATGGAAGCCAAAAAGTAGAAGTCATCCAAAACAATGAAATGTTTCTAAATCAACAATGAAACAGTCATAATGTATGTATACAAACAGCATTGACCAAATCGTAAACGTAAAAAAAAAGAATTGTCTGTTTATAAGCCTAATTATGACGAGGACGCACGAAGAAGAAAAGTTAACCGCATATGAACAAATCAATTAAAGTAATAGCCGTGGTTGATACACCAACAACTATATCTCAAGTGCTCACATCTGCCGAATAACGGACATTAAATCTAAGACCGCATTCATACACGCTACAGCTAGAAACACGACCGGCAATTAGATATGATTTAGTTTTTGAGGACACAAAACCGCGATGACAATAGCAATAGGCGATATCGATCCAATAATAAAATTGATCTAAGAAATTCTCTGAGAAACAATATCGTCAAAATACCGGTGCCAAAAGTATCGCACATACATTAGGCCTATTATACATCAATCTTGTGACATTCACACTATTCGATTGTTCCAAAAGAATCATAATAGCCTCCTCTTCAATCTAAACCAGGCCATGTCCGTCACTGGGTTACTATATCGAACAACTAACGATGCTTCCAATATAAAGCGAAGTGTTCCCATTACCCACACGCATGTGCAATTCATTGACGGTAACGTTCACTTGGTGAAGAAAAATAAACGAGCAAAAGAGGACATGGATAGTGTGCGCGGCAATGTAGCAGATTGAGTTGGAGAGAGCTATCTGAATGTTATCACGCAAACAGAATTTCCAATGAAATATGTAGCAAAAAGTCGGCTTAGTATTTGTAGCGGGCGCGTTGATGTAGTACTCGTATGCATTGGAGATCTGATCAAGGTACACAATGAGATAAAATGCGGAAGTCAGCAAGTTGAAGTTTGTGAGGCAACGAAAGTGAACGGATCGCGTGCGATGAATACAAATATCTGTGAGTCTATTGAAGAGCATTAATCACGTATTACGATTAAAACAGTGTGAGATAATTTTTAGTTCCTCGTTATTTAACTCGATTTACTTAAGATGTTATTCAACACAGTGAATTGCCTCAGACAACATACTTAATGACAGACACGCAAATAGTCTATCGAATTTTCTATTGTATTCAGATGCTGACGAGATTTTCTATTGTAATGGTCTGATTCAGAAGTTTCAAGTTAGCACACTAAATCAACAAAACCATATTCGATACCTAAATGCTATTCACAATCTCTAACAAAATACTTTTTAGTAAAAAAAATGACAGTTAATCTTTCGCTTTGATTGTTTATTACAGCCAATTAAAACAGCCACAAGTAAAATACACAATGCATCGAAAAAATTATCCTCATCGATTTCAACAGAGGAACTACCCCAGACACTGGCATAAAACTCAATATCATTTCTACAATTCACGTACTTTTTGAGGCATATCTCTAAATAATTTTGCAAGACTCTTTCATATCAATTGCCTGAGTCACATCCCTCTCATCGGCGCACCTCTTGCTTTGGCTCACCTACTTTATTGTATCTGTTATTTGCATCACAATGTAACAAAGCCTTTCACAAGGAACCAACGTGACCTCATGCCCAGAGATCACTTATGCACCAACCATCCGATACATATCAATATAAGTAACTCTACTTAAGTATTTTGTCCTCAATTTCACTATGGCGATCCTTCTTAATCGAAAAATATAGGAATGTTTATGAGTAAGAAATATTTGACATATCGAATCCTATCAGATGAATTAAGATATTAAAACTTCTCAAACAGACTCGACTTCATTGGCTAAAGACAAAATCTCTTACGAAATCGAAGCACGAATATTTAAGTATATTAAATGTTTATCTGGTCAAAAATACCTCTTAGTGGATTAACACACAAATGTGTGCTTCTCCGTTGTCATCTATGGGGATGAGGAGTGAATAGAATCAATTGAAACAACGACACCACAGATTATTAGGATCAATATAAAAAATTAGTAGAGTTCACATCCACACCGTACAATTTTATTGTATGAACGAGCAAAATTAATTGTTTGGGTTATGCAATTTGTTTTAGTGGAATGAAGATAAATGATACATTTTGCTCTTTCAATTGCCGTTTTTCATTTAAAAATTTATTTAGTTTAACTTCTTTTAACGAAAAAAATACATCATTAAAACTACATAACTCTTAACCCTAACAAAAACATTTTCTCTCAATCGCCTTCGAAAAAGTCCGGTCAAAATTACTGCATAAAAATATGCCTTGAAAAAATTATCCTTTTTAAAAGCTGCACTAACAAGACATTTACCCTGCGCGTACGCACCGGCATCGTTCCACGTAACGTTTACATAATAAGACTGGTTCCAAAGGTATGACCTTAAGCACCCCTTTCACAGTTAGCGCTCAGCGTGCGCCTGCGCCGGTTACGTAAGCAAACTGTTACAAGTATTACACCATACGATTATTAATGCGATCTGATATTAAAAACAATGGCGAAAATTATTATGAAGATGGATGATGATGATTTGTTGAGAGTCAATGAATTTTATTAATGGATAATTTTGAAAATTTAATAATAATGGATACTCCAAGTCAAGCGATAAATAAATGATAAAAAAAAAACATCTTAATTGATATTCTAGCTATTACCTACTTAGTAAAAAAATCATTTCTGCTTATAAGAATTAAAAAAAGTTCAATTCCGTCTAAAATATTTTTTTTATAGTTTGACTGGAATTCGATTTTTAGAAAACTTCAAAACTATTCTTCTTAGAAAACATTAAACCACCATTGCGTTGCCAGCCTTAAAAAAAACGCTAAAATAAACCATAAAAACATACCCTGACTATGTGCATAACAATTTTCCATCTGGGCACACCTTTGGCGAAAGCACTCTTCACAGATAGAGGGATGCAGACGCCCATGATCCACAGGAAGGCAGGGAAGACCAGGTCGCCAGCTACAAGGCCATTCCATGTGGCGTGCTCCAACCACCAGTAGCCTCCAGCACCATCATTTACGAAGATCATGAAGACTATTGCCATTCTATACAAAATAAAAAGATAAATAAATACATTTATAACATTTGTGAAATAAATACTATAGCAAAATATTCTAGCATTAGTAGTTTCAACTGGTAGAAATGAGTAGAATAGGGTATGAAGAAAAATGATACTTTTGGAGTTTTTGAGACTTCTTACTTAAGGGGTTTTTGAGACTTCTCCAAGCCTTTCTTCTAACAATCAAATTGTTGTTGTATTATTAATAAACCACGAAACTGTTAAATATGCCATATCTGTCTGGTTCGTCATTTCATTTTAATGGCATACTTACATAATATTACTATATAGGCTTTACACAAAATAAAAGGCAAATTGTCATAACTATTTCGCAATGCCATCCTACTAATATTATAAACGCAAACGTATCGATGGATGGGTGAGTTTTGTTGAAATATTGCATTGAAATAGGTTATAATTTGGGATAAAATGTAGTTCACTTTTTTTGGGCATTGCGGGCGAAGCCGCTGAATGACGCATAGCACAAATTATTGCAATTACTATTACCTCTTACTCAAAACGCTAAGTAGCCCAAAAACTCATCTGGGTAGCGTCAAAAAAACGTGTGAATAGGGCCATTCACACGTAGCATTCTGGTCGTACTAGATTCAGTGCTAGGTACAGTGACTTTTGCTTATACTCTCTAAATTCTTATGTTGATCTAAATCTATGAGAGTTTTATTAAAAAATGTTTTGTCATGTAGACTGCATAATAGAGGTATGTTCGTTGCGATCTCTAGTGCAATTATATTTTTATGTGTGTTGTATTCTTTGTTTACAATGTAGCTTTGCTACATAACTGGAATGTTTTAAATCATTGTGAGATTTTCACTAGACAACAAGAAAACATTTTTACAAGCAAACATTTTAATTTCTGCGGTAACTGTTCGCAGTAGACTTTTAAACTATTTAGAGAAACGCATAGAACCTGATGACATTATATTCGAAAATTTTCAGGTTGTGTCGTTTTTTAACAAAAACTTCATACAATTCGAATCCAAAATCGATCTCAATCAAAAGGTACGTACTGTAGCATCTCATCTTTAAACCAATATAAACTAAAAACCTGTCTACCTAAAGTATAAATCAGTTTATCACTCACCCTCTGAAAGTGTCCAGTGCTCGTAACCTCTGCTGTATCGCCAGTTCCTTGTCTCCGTACCTCAGCTTGCCAGTTCTTCTCACTCGTGACATGACCAGCTTTATGATGCCGTACAGGATCCATATTCCCAATAAGATGCCTAGCAGCAGCAGTAACGCTGGTGGAAGAAATAATAATCAGTGAGTTTCTTATGGGAGAATGATAAAAGTATGAGATAATATTATCGTATTTTTTATGGAATATGAGACAAACGAGCAGACGGATCACCTGATGGTAAGCGATCGGCGCCGTCCATGGACACCTGCAACACCAGAGGAGTCACAGGTGCGTTGCCGGCCTTTTAAGAAGGAGTACGGTCGTTTCTTAAAGGTTTGAAGGTTTTATATTTCATCTTAATCAAATTGATGGACCGTTGACAAATTTTAATCTCAAACTTTTCGAGTCATCTGAGCAAATGTTACGTGAGTTAGCCTCCTTTTTTGGGAGCATAAAATCATCAAAAGACTAAAAGTATTTCTTTAGTAAGTACCTATCTACAGTTATTTTACTGAAATCCGCAATCCGTGTTATAACTAACTTTCAGTAACGGTTACAGTATAATGTTCGAAGGAGAAAGCTGAATTATATCAGATGAGAATTATTGCCATAACTTGTATTAGATATTTTATGATAACTTAATTGGGTATAAAATTGTGTACTTTCCTTAGGCAATGGATGAACTATGACGACTTTTTATATATCAAATCCTTTAACGATATACCAATTTCTTTTCTAAACTTTCCAAAAGCAGTACCTATGTATGTGACCTCACCTCACAGGCACGGTCTTGTACAAAAAATATTGAAAACTACTGATTTTGATTTAGGTTTTGAAATTCCATATTCAAATGCTACTCGTATTTGTAGCACTTGGTGTGAGATTGAATGCACATGTTGACTCCCTACTTCTCCAAATCAATTGATCTCAAAACAATACGGGATACGTAATCAGTTCTCGAAAACAAATCATTGTTGCAAATGCTGTTTGTTTTCAAACATCTTAGGTTTGTCTGTATACTCGTCAGTACTGTTATTTTACTGTGAAACTGCATGACTTTATAAACATTACTATGTAGGTACATTCATCTTCGCCAAAAGTGTAATTAGATACATATACTGGACCCGCAGTTACAGGCCAGGAGTAGTAATAAACCGCAGTCCCAGCAGGGTATAACAATATAGACTCTAATCTAGCCACACAGGACAAGAGATAAAATTTCATGATATTTCCCTCAGAAAAAAATTCTATAAATACTAGCCCTACCTAGAACTTACTACTTAGAACCTAGCATTTAATAAAAACGCTTAGCTTTGTAAACTGTTTTTAATAAATGCTGATTGTTTACGATTTACAATATAATGTCCATGAAAATAAGAAAACCGATTCTGTATCAGAACATTAAACTCCATTTAAATTGACCATTCACAGATTCCAAGCTTTGTTACAAATCAATCATGGCTGCTTTGGTCCGACGTCCGACGAATAACAAAGTTACCAAAACCTTGATAACATCCACGCCCTAGTCAATGAAGTATTGTGGATTCAAACGTTTATAGTAATCGACATTCGAAGCGACCTCAACAATCTGTGTATGCAGGTATGTATATTTGGATTATTACCATACAAGGAGCCTGATAGCAATTGGCATTTACCTGGACTTCCCAACCGGTTTCTGTGTCATGGTCAGGCTGCTTGCAGTATGCAGATATCAAAGATCGATGGCAATAACAATAAAAATACTGAATTTATGAAGGCCTCTTCACCATTCGGTAATGCAAATGAGGTCTATGAAGGCATTATGCAACGCTGATCAGATAAAGGTTGGATTAAGATAGCTATTATCGTGACAGATAGAGAACAGTCTTTTATTGAGAAGAATTTTGAGGAAGAAAACTATAAAACTCTTGAAGTAGTTGTAGAAGACTTAAATAATGGACACAATAAAGGTTTAGCTTTGTTTTGTAAGTTTTCTATACAGAATCTACAAGTCAAACAATCAGTAAAAACAGCGGACGAAATCATTTCTTGTACTACTGCTCCAGTTTATCGTGACAGTGACGTAACCACTCCACCTATCCGATAAAGATAATCCAAATTCATCTCATCGAAAACGTCCAGATAAAATAAATATATAACGATAAGCCATCTTAGTTGCCACCAGTATTTGGAAGATACTCGAGGAAAGAAGAAATTTATAACATCAAAATGGAGAAAATCATCTTGTGTGTGTTGTTCCTAGTTGCTAGTGCGTTCGGTGAACCAAGAGTTGATCCCTTGGTCCTAATCAGTAGTCAAGGTTTAGTTATGGGTCATAGAGCGACTGATGGTGACTATTCCAAGTTTCTGGGCATACCGTACGCCCGAGTGGATGCAGCAGATCCTTTTGGTGTAAGTAGTTTTTTAAAGTACCCAGATACAGATAAAATGCATATGTTGCAAAAATATTCATTGAAAGGTGAATAATCAAGATGAAAAAATGTGTAACTTAAAGTTAGCCATAAACGTTCTTAGATAGCTAATAAATTAAATAAGGAAAGACTATCAATTTATTTCTTAGAACTACTATAGTATGTGAAGATACTTTAAAATCTGTATGCAACATTTCAACGGTTGGACACTCCTCTGACTTGTCTCTCATAAGTCACAACAGACTGCATTCCATATTTAAATCTTTCAAAGTTTAAAATTAATTTAGCGCTCACATCTAGCCGTCTTCACCAATAGTTCAATGTCAGACTGAGAATAGAAATAGGATTTCAAATAGAGAACGTTGCTATTTTATTCGTTTTGGAATTCCTTGCCTGCCAGTTCGTTTAATGAGAGTATGTTTGAGAACAGATAAAGCAAAACGAACCTATATCTGTGATAGACGCAAACTATTAAAAACTTAACAGATTACGTGATTGAATTTTAATTCATTTGCTACTTAGAATTACTGTTTTTATATAATTATAAACCAGTATATTAACGACAAAGTTATAGATACAGATAGACCAAAAAAAATTGTAATGTTTTGTCTAATTTGTGATTCATACCGTTTTACTAGAACCCGAAGCCTTCTGGGCACTACAAGACAAACAACAAATATGAAGCTTATCGTACTCCTACTTATCCTCAACTAAATACATTTATTTATACAATATAAGTAATCTTCTATTAATATGACTGCGATAACCCTGGTAAGGTCATCAACCCCAATGCAATGGAAAGTGTTTTATTTTTATAAAAAGGCATGTGTCATCTGGTTCGTAACCAGCCATTATTCTCTGTGCAGTTGATTAAGTATCAATTTACTAACAGAGAGTACAATATTCATAAATGGTACATAAGTTGTAAACAGGAAATATTAAATGAACTGAATTGAAATTACATCTGAAATTTATAAATACACTTATTTTGTTTACGATTTACATATAAGTTCCTGTATTTGCATAAACGACGTATATTCTAGAAAATGATACTATTTATGGCCATGACACTACAACCTATTGTATGACATTGTTGCTGGAAGACAAGAGCGGGTAAAATTTCAATTATGACAAATTGTTAAATTACAAAAGTCTGACTGCACGTTTGGCGTAGTAACTGGCTTCACGTTTCAGTGTGTGATCCACAAATTGTTGTTTCGTGTCTGGGTGGTTTGTGTATGTGAATTTTATATTTGTAAACGCACCCAAGACACAGGAGAAAATCATAACGAGGGACAACGTTTAATCTTTAAAAAAAGTTTGGCTTTTGTAGTATTGTGTTTAAATACCTTGAATGATTACGTCACAACACTCATCAATGTATCAGACAATGGTAGTGACAACATCTGCTGCATATCTTTGATCACTCGTAATCAATACAAAGATAATCAAGTCAACGGTCTAACAGACTGAAGTACGAGCAAATATCTGACAACAACAAAAAAGTACTATTTCCAAGAAGCAATAAGTGTTTATACAATAAGAAAGAGATGCATAATATCCAAAGTAGGTAATCCCCAATTCAGAATATCAGTTACCCGAAACGTTTCGATTAAATTTAAATAGATTTACCATTTTCCATTATCTACCAAAAAACGAGTCGTGAAATTGTAACAGAATTTTAAATCAGGTCTTTTTATATTTTTCAGCCATCTCGAGAAATTCAACCTTTTGAAGAAATAATCTTCAATGCAAACGACGGCACAATCAGATGTCCGCAACTGGAAGAGTCGACCATTGACTGCCTTCGTCTGAACATCTACGTGCCCTTCAAAGCAAGTTCTTCCAACCCACTGCCAGTACTGGTTTGGTTGCATGGTGGAAACTTCGTGAGTGGAAGTGCAGGAGACTATGGTGTGAGGAACCTGGTCAGGCATGACATTGTAGTGGTCACTGTCAACTACCGACTCGGCCCATATGGGTTTATGTGCTTAGATACACCTGGTGTACCTGGCAATCAAGGCTTAAAAGATCAATACACAGCACTTAATTGGGTAAGAAAGAATATTGCCTCCTTTGGTGGTAATCCATACAATGTCACGATATCAGGTCATGATGCTGGAGCCACATCAGTTCTCCTACACATGTACGCGGACAATTTAAAACTTTTCAACAAAGTCATTGTTGAGAGTGGCACACCACAGAGTGAAGGGATGTTTGTCAACTCTGATGAAAACATGGCTATCAAAATTGCTACACATTTAGGTATCAACACAACTGACAGTAATGAAGCTCTAGAGTTTCTTATCAACTCTCCTCACAGTCTCGTTGTGGGTGCCGCTCATGAACTGAACTTGCAGTTGGGACCTTGTAAGGAGAAATCGTTCAGTGGTATTGAAAACTTTGTTGAAAACGATCCCTACGCTTTGACAAACGCAAGGAAAGTGAGAAACACGCCCGTACTGATTGGATACACGAGCCGCGAACGTGACTCGCTTAGCGAAGATTACTTTGACTCAGATCCATTTTACGAGAAATTGAAAAATAATTTTAATTTAAATGGACAACAGTTAGAAAACGCGGCTACTTTTGTTAGACGGTTTTATATCGGAGATAATCCAGTTACTCCAGCGGTTTCGACACAATTGGAGAATTTTGAATCAGATTTCGTTATCAACCATCCGTCAGAGAGAATAATAACTAGGTTATTGGAAGAAAATGTCGGACCTGTCTACGAGTATTTGTTCAGTTACTCTGGAAATTCAGCCAATGATGGTGCACCGCACTCATCGGAACTTAATTACCTATTCAACGATGGAAGCGGCAATATAGTGAGAAGTGAAGAAGACCAATTGATTGCTGACCGCATTTCAACTTTGTGGACCAATTTCGTCAAATTCGGGTACGTATTAAAGACAAATTGTTAGCTATTGCTATTTGTCTTATTGTCGCTTATTGCCCCATGAATTGTCGTAAAAATTAAAAAAGGAATTGTAAATTCAGAATACGTACAATTTATTGAGAATTTCTTAATCTAAATCACTAAATCAGCATCTTGAGATCGATAGGTCGAAAATGATTCGAATTTATAAAAACTAACAAAATCTCAAATTCCAGAAATCCAACGCCGCAAACTTCAGACTTGCTACCTGTGAAGTGGACTCCAGTTACCACCAGCTCCAGGCCGACCTTAGTTATTGACACTGACATCAGAATGGACAGCAGGGTGGAAAACCAGAGAATGGCGTTCTGGGACCTTTTCTACTCAGTATACGGTAGCTACAGTAACTTAGCGAGAGAATGTTCCTTTACTGCCTGTTGTTAGTGATATTTATTTTATTGTTGCAAACTTTTAATTAAATTGCAAATCATATTATTATTTATTGTTATTGATAATATTGTCATGTAAGTGATATGATTAAATTTTTCAATGTCTTCGTGTTTTTTTTTTGTAATTCATCATTTAAGAGTTACTTTTTTAAAATGCTATTCTAACACTTAGGGGTCAAGCCGGTTGCTAAACAAAGGTTAAAACTAAAATTTCGAAATCGAAAATCCTTTTATTTAGGGGTAAATGTAACAAAATTTTCTCGCTGTTAAGTATGTTTTACTAATAACAGTAACCTGAACCAAATTAGAGAAACTTGTTTTACCAAAATAATGTATACAATGAGCAGTCATAAGTTAACACCTACGATAAAAAGTTGCCGAGAACATAGATATTACAAAATATAAATATTAAAATCAAAACAGTAGAGAAGACAGTGCACCTAAGTAATATTTTATGCCTATTCTTTTTTTGAAAACAAACAAAAAGTATATTCTTCATCATAGTATAAGTAAACAGCTTCAGTATTCGCTTGGCACTTTACAATGGCGAGTCACTGGCTTCTTTCTAGGTCGTTCGTCTCCAACGGATGATGCTCATCAAGACAAATCGACGGTACAAAGGATTTGGGCCAGTTCCCTCCAACCCACGCCAGCCCACTTAGGTTCACTTGATCGCGTGTCGTGATTTTTTCTTTTATTAACTGCTTCTAATACGATGATCGCTTGTGCAGAAAATTGAGGATGCTCCAATAAACGTGTTGTGTGCAACTTTTGTCTTAAGATGAGTATTTTTGAGATAAATGAACGGACGTTTGTCAATGTTAGTCAGTCTTTGCATTTGAAAGAAGTACGACGAACTTGCGAATTAGCTTAACACCAGTTTGCTTATGACACCATGTAAAAAAAACGACCTTATAAACCAAGCTACGAATCTACAAAAATAATAATACTTACTACGGTAACTTTTTTGTGAGCGGAAAATCATCAAATGATTTCTCTCGTTCAGGGTAAGGCGAGAGAGAGTGTCACTCTTACTGACTAAACACCACTCCGTTTACACTTCAATTCGGCCTCAACCTCCTCCAGGTTGAGGCCGCGCTACCTTACAGCAATTGACCCGTCACCTCAAAATACTGCCTTATCTAGCTACTGATTATCTGGCTTGGGTTTGTAACTTAGATTAACTCTAGAGTATAACTCCTTTTTTTGTGAGGGGAAAATCATCAAATGACTTCTTCGAGAGTACCAGACTCTTACTGACTAAAGCCCCCTGTTCCTTCTCCTGCGGTGCCTCATTGCGTTTACCCCGCAATCCCGGCTGAAAAGTATAACTCCTGAGTCGAAATTAGTGATTGCCCGACCAACGAAGCCCCGCCCCAAATTCCCTTTCTCATTATTGAAACAAATACCAATAACAGGCATCAATACCACAGATCGTGATGTGGTTTTCCCACTTTCCTTGAAAGATGGAACTAATCAAATATCGTTAAGGCTTCTGTATTATAACCTCACTTTCACTAAGAGGCCTATCGTCACCAATGCAGTCATTAGTAACGCCATTTTCACAATTTTCTACTAGTTTTTTTAGTGCGTGACTGTTTCGATCTAAGTTATCAATTTATTATTTGTTATCTAATACTTTAATTTTTGCGGCTACAACTGTCTGTTTTTTTGCTTTCGTTTTTGAATTGTTTATCAAAATTGCTAATGAGTTGTTTTTTTATAGTTTCGTTGTTTTAGAAGTTAGTGCCTATGAACTACGAATCGTATCTACAAGGGATCGGCTGATCAAAAAAAATGTGTGAGCATATAAACAGGAGGAGAACATTGAGGCCATCAACTAATTGAATACGTTATTGTGTACTTGAAAATTAACATATTTTTGGTTTCAATAAAGATGAAATATTCTATAAAGTGGCATACTTAAGTCGTAGTCAAAAACAAATGCGGTATATGTATAAGTAAACCAGCCGCTTAATAACCACTATAGTATATGTATATAAACTACTATATACCTACTGGGTACATTACATTATAGGTACCTACTTTAAAATCGAGTACTGATTCACATCACAATGTTCACATGAGCATATAATGGCTATGTTAGCCTTCAGTTAAGTATTTGCATTGAGGAAAAATAAAGGACACACGTCTATTCAATCTAGTTGACAATAGTTGAACAGTTAATAAATGTTCTTTGGAAAATTTAATAATACTTTGGATATTTTCCGCATTCCTAACAATGAATTTCAACCTAAATTTGTTAGCTCTGTCTGTGTGTAAGTTATTACTGCGACTCAACAAATTTAATCATAGATTTTTCTTTACTTCGATCATTGTTTAGAAAACCCTAACTGTAAATAAATATGTATGTTCATTGATTTATGAAAATATATCATTTGTAAAAAATGCTTGTGACATTGGCAAGTAATCCAGACAATTGCTGCATCATATTATGATTTTACTCGTAAGGTGATACATAAGAAATTGAGGAGGTCGGCGTATCCATGTAAATAGAATCCCCGTTCTAATTAAAAATATTCACAAAAGATATTAAAAATTTTAATGCTTCACACTATTTCTACGTTTAGGCTTTTGTTCTCAATTTAATTTTAATTTTTAAATGAGTTAGAATATTCACACTAATAATATATGTAAGTACACTTTTAGTATACAGTTTAAGACATAGATTGATTAAGTTTAGACAGAGAATTAACAAAAGATCCATTAAAAATAATGATTAAAAACCATATAAATTAGTGTAACAATATCTACTGTCTCTTTATTATAACTTTCGTGAGACATTCTAAATTATTTATTATGTCGTCGCCGAGTCGCGTGTCGCGGAATGCTGCTCATGAATATGGGCCTCTAGCATGGCTTGAAACTAGTCGAGTATCTCGTCAAATTATTACGTGAGTAAGCCGAAAACATAATAAATAATCTACTGTCTCTGTTCAAACTGCAGATAATTTTGAAAAAATCACTATCTATAACGAAATATGAATGTACAGCGCAAAAATCAACTTCATCCGAAGATTTATCATCGTTTACAAAACACGTTACCCGCAGATAAATTCATCAACTTTCGAAGGAAAAGGCCGACGAGATTAAATTGTGTGTCAAGGGTTTCATACATTTTTATTAGATAAAATATTATTCATAATTGAAAAAAAAATATTTACCCAAACATTTGCTGTCTGTGACAGAATGATATTAAATGTCGAATTCGTCTTGGTAGCCCGGAGATTAAGTACGCTTCTAATGAATGAGTGGGTGGGTACGAAATCTGGCAAGTACCATAATAACTTTCCGAAACTTAGCAACTACCAATGTCAATTTTTACGAACTATATTATTTACTTCCTAAGATTATTTGGACATCACTAAAACAATTAAGGGAAAGCATCATGAGGAGACCTGGACTTCAAATTTTGAAATATAAATTTGAAATCACTAATATATAAACATTCGTTTTTGTTATAAAAGTTTGTATACTGTACTTTAAAGTGTTATTTTAAATCCAGGATTTGCTACACATCTTGATCTAAACTAGAAATCTAAACTTACGTAAGTAAATGTCGACTGGATCTCTAACGGTCCGGATGTCGCAGCCTTCGGAGGAAGCGTTCAGCCTGTAGACCCCGAACTCACCCATCTCCGGCCTAAGCTGACACAGTAGTCCTCTGAAAGAAAATATATCATCTATACTTAATAGTTACTTACTACTATACTATACTTAATAGTATAGTTAATAATATTATACTTGTTAAAATTGTAAAGTTTGTTTTTTTAACGCGCTAATCTCAGGAACTACTGTTTCGAATTCAACGATTATTTTTTGTTTGATAGTCCATTTATCGAGGAAGGCTATATAGGCTATAAAATATCACGTTGAACAGCGGGTGAAACCGCGCGGAAGTAGCTAGTTATATTATATACAGTTAATGAAAATTTGCAAAGCTTGATAATAGGTTCATCTATTTTGATAATTATGCCTCGTTTACATACACGCGGTACGTAGCGTGATTCATTATACATTGCTCACAATGTTTGTATTTGTGCGGCCGATGAGACGGTAAGATCCTGCAATGTACGACAAACGCATAACGTGACTCACGATGCCCGCGTTTGGTAAACGTGACCTAATGTATTGATATTGGTTCACGGTAAGTCAAGCCTTTTATTTCAATAAAACTTATCCATCATTTGAATTTAATGTTTTAGGAATAAATGTTTGTGGGAGAGCCATGCTTCGGCACGAATGGGACGGCTCGACCAGAGTGATACCACGGCCTCACAGAAGACCGACGTGAAACAACCACAGCGTTGTGTTTCGCCGTGTGAGTGAGGTTACCGAAGGCCCAATCCTTCCCCGCCCCCAATCCCTCCTTAATCCCTAAATCTCCAAATCCCTAATCACTAAAAGGTCGGCAACGCACTCGTAACTACTCCGTTGCGGGTGTCTATGGGCGGCGCTGATTGCTTACCATCAGGTAATCCGTCTGCTCGTTTGCCGACCAAATACATAAAAAAAAATGTTTTAAGTTATTATTTAATGTATCTGTGTATTGCCGTTACAATAATATAAAGTCCGAAATAAAAGTTAATATCTATAATAAAAATTATATAAGAAATAGTTTAGCTCGTTAGGCACATTGTGTGACTTAATTTTTCGGAAGACTTATTTTCACCCCTCAAAACTAAAAGGTACATTCTAAGAAAATATTCTTGGAGATAATAAGCTACACAGGGTCTCGCGTGGTTAATCAGATCTCATCATCCAATTTGTGCTAAACAATACACACAAGGCACTGCACCTCCTCAAATTATTCAAAATTGCAGGCAATTTGATAATTATGTAACTACCAATCTGTTATTTTGGTAATGGGGTAGATATTGATATGTAATTGTTGTAGTTTCTCGTGGAGATATTTATTTGTTTAGAAAATGAAATAGATTAAGGTTACTTAAAATAATTTTGGCTTATATTACTTTACACATAAGATGTCTGTATTTGAAGGCTCCGCTCTTCCCCAACATTAAAAACTTATAGTTTTATAACACAAAAAAAATACGCGTCGAATTAAGAACCTCCTCCTTTTTTGAAGTCGGTTTAAAAGAAATCGTAGCGTTGTTCCTGTAAGGTTTGTCAACATATAAATACATCAGTTATAGGTTTAAATTGCTACCCCATTATAGGTCATTTAATAGCCATATCAATCAAACCAAGAAAGAACAGAAGATTATAAAGTGACTTGAAAGTACTGACTATGCTCGAACACTCTGACACTCCTCACTTGAGTGCTAATGCCTTCAAGAGACTCCAAACTCCCCTTCTCTTGCTATAGCCCCCCAGACTGACACAAGTCACTCAACTAGACACGAATCACTGAACTACCGAGGCATATATCCTGTGGTGTGTGTGGTGTTGTAAGCGCACATACTACAAGTATCGTAATATCCTATTCTTGAGTAACTGCCAATGTTTTGATTGAACTAAGTTTATTACCCTCAAGTCTGTATAAAATTCGTAATATGATTATGTAGTAATGACGATATGAAAAATCTATCAGGTTTATTATAAAACTAAAGTAGTTTCTGAAAGGGGCTTGGCTGCAGTACAGTAAATCTATCTCGACACCAAATTTAATACAATTGTTGTTACGTAAAAGAGTAACGAAAATCCATCCACACTTATAACCATTCATATTTACATATTTTGCAGGGTAAACAAAAATGCACCTTTGATCAATTGAACAGGTTGACAGAAGCTTAACCTATAGAAGAGGCCTTCTTAATAAATAACACGCGTTTTGCCAAGCACTTGCCTCTATGAATAGAAACTTTAATTTCTTACCAGAATATATTTAAGTCATACAATGAAGTGATAGTTTACTTTTCCTTTTTTCAGGACGAGGCTGCGGTTAATTATTGCCTTATTGAGAATATAAGCAAATTTTGTAAAAAAATCCACTTGCACCCAATACCTTATTTACTTCTGCTTCCTTTTTTGGGGAGGGGAAAATCAACAAATGACTTCTCCCGCTTAGGGCCGGGCGGGAGTGAGTGTCAGACTCTTACTGACTCTCCTCCTCTTGGCCGAGGTCGCGGTGCCTCATTGCGCTTACTACTACTGCGTCCTAAAGCTTATTTTTTGCCTTAAAAAACGATGACATAGAGCAAAGGACCAATGATAATAATGATAATGAACTATTGAATGTAAAACAAAAACACATCCACAATTCATAATTGATGAAGTACTTAAGTAAGCTTTCCCTCGATCGACAGGCTATTAAACAAATTGCAAATTGGTACCAATTATGAGCTAGTTTTTCTTCAACACCTAGGTCAAGCAGTTTCTTACTCATGTAACATTTTATTGAGAGCACAACATTCCCACGTTTTCTTTCGTCGTTCATTGCTTGTTAGTATCCATTATCTGCTAATGATGATGCAATTTTATAATGTTGGTACCTATGTACGTATTGTCTTGTGAGTTGTTTTAAAATTTTGCTTTATATTAGCCGTTTTATGTATTCGTATTAGCTTTTACTACAAACTAGCTTTTGCTCGCGACTCCGCTCGCATGGAATAGTGACTTCCTGCAGATTTTTGGTATAAAAACTATTCTATGTCGTTTTTAGAGTTCCAAACTATGTCTGTACTAAATTTCACAGAAATCGGTTCAGTAGTTTAGGCGTAAAGAAAAGACTAAATAAAAGGCTCAATTTCACCGACATATAAACACAAATATATAACCGTTGACACTATTAATCACCTGTACAACAAAACAACAAGACCTCTAGTGTCCAAATTCAAGGGACTGACAAAATGTTAACTCGATCATTTAAAAATTTCTAGGATTGCTAGATTTCTAAATTGAACCTTATTGCTGTTCAACATGTGTGTGATTTTTAAAAAAGCCGATTCCGAAATCGTTTTTTATGCCTTTTTACGATGAACTTGGGCCTTATTTTTGTCAGGGGAAAATCATCAAATGACTTCTCCTGCTCAGGGTTAGGCGAAAGAGAGTGTCAGACTAAACCCCCCCCCCCCCCCTTCCATCTCCTGCTCTGGGCCGAGGTCGCGGTGACTCATTGCGCTTACCCCGCAACCCCGGCTGAACATCAGCCCTTTAGGGAACCGTCTGTGGTTGTCCATTGACTCTTTGAGGCGCGCGCGGAACGCTACGCGCCGTACGCTCGGGATGAACTTGGGCCTAAGCCTGTTTTTTTACCGAGGTAGAAAACAAATGCAGTTCTTAGCTAGTATTATAATATTTCTCAAATAACAGGCCTGAGAACAGGTATAACGTCTAAACTTCCACAATAAACACAAAACCAGTTTTGAAAATGAGATGTCCAATGTCAATATTCAAAAATGCATTTGCTCAGTACACTTGTACTGTTGTGTGAGCCATATGAGTGCTGTGGGATATGTATAGTGCTTATTTTGTTGTCATGGGGGTCACCGGTGACCTCCGTTAGCGGAGGATTTACCTTCAACAGTTTTCTGTCGGCAGTCAAAGGCTTAGATAGATAGTTTTCAAAGAAGATCGACATCGTATGGTGTAACATAAAGTTTCGTGTAATAAGTTAATTAACTAAGCACAAAATTGAGGTGTACAGTCTCGCATTATAATTTAATGAAAATTTACCGCTAAAGAGAATGTTACAATAAAATTACCGCATTCATTAGGGAATACAAAAAAAAAATGATACAAAAAAGAAACGAAAATCAATAAATTATTACAAAACTTGCAACCCATTCCGGCTTCGCACGAGTGCTACGCTGATACTGAATTTCTGGATGTTATACACAATACACAATCATAAAGATGTCTCTTCAATCACTCTATCTTATTAAAAAAACAGCATTCAAATCCGTTGAAAAAAGATTTAAGCATATACAGGCGAGTGCTTTTCTTTTATACTGTGTAGTGATTAATAATTATGACGTCACATTAGAGAGGCCTATATCCAGCAGCCGTAATAATGAACCGCAGCCTAGGCCTGAAACTAGAGATGGAACGTGAGCGCGCTAAGGCGAGAGAAGTCGTTTGACGATTCTCTAGAAAAAGTAAATATAGCATCTTTTTAAAACCCAAGTTGAAAAGCTGATAATTGATAAAAACAAGCAGCAGGCAACTTTGTTCCATTTACCATAAAGAATTCACTATGTTAATTAGTATATTTAACTTGCAATTCTATATTAAGACTTTATTTTTTAATATTGTTTAAAGTCCGTTCGCATGGTGAATACAAATTAAGTTAAGCAAGGAAACCTATTATTAGCCTTACGAAACTGCAATATCTTTATTTGTATACCACATGTATCGCCGTTGGTTTTCTAAATAATAAATAAATATTATATATATGTAAAGAATGCATGCCACTTTCTTAATACTGTATGCAGTGAATACAATGTCCGAAAGAAATTGGTCACGTACGTTTAGCCGACTATTACATAATCGGAGAAAATTTGACAGGACAAAGTCCAATCATTGCGTAATATGTTTACAATATATATATGTATAATGAATTGCAAAATGTATTTATTGGTTAGCTTATAAAGTAACTCAAGAACGCTTGGATATATTTTGCCAATTATTAATTTTGATGTTGTCAGGAGAAGGTCCTGATAAAAGAAAATTTATGGAAAGTAGAGGGAAAAATTGCGGGCTGCTAGTATTACATATTATTATTGTGCTACAGCAATAGGATACGCGTCATACAAATAATATCGGATATTTTTATAATCTCTACCGAATCTTCATTTTAGATGTTTGAAACTGTTCCCAATTTATGGTACCTAAGCAAGAAGCTAAATTCTTACTACTCAAACTATTTCGAACGTTAACCACTATTTTCATAATAGACTAATTAAGAACACTCTGGTTACCTCAAGGTACACAAATAACAATTAATAAGTTCAGCTACCTATTATTATAAGTATCATTACAACTAAATTTAATCCAATATTAATTTGCCCCACCCAGCCATTAAAACCTTGCTTATTATGCCCTAAATTAAAAACATTCCACAAAATCAAAACCTCTCAAAAACGTTGTATGCATTTGAAAACCAATTTACATTCCTGATCATGATGTAGGTACTTACGAAGTATCTCCAGCAGTGACATATTGTTCTGAATAATTGGCGTACACTCTCCACGTGGACCGTCGAGCTGTGCCCGTCACCCAGACCGTCTCCTCATCAGCCGATATGTTCTGCTGCAGCTTGAATGGACACTGCAACAAATGATCATCGTCAGAGAATAATAAAACTTACTAAGATACTGTCGTTGGTCGTAGAAGAAACCGAAACATAAAAATGACTATTGATTCATTTTTATGCAATAGGGTGGCAAACGAGCATACGGATTACCTGATGGTAAGCAATCGGCGCCTCCTACGTGAGCGTTGTGGGTCTTTTGGGGATTGCCGTAGGTTTAGGGTTTGAGGGAGAGGAAGAAGGATTGGGCCTACTACATACTGTAGCTATTTTTAATATTAAAGCGAAAAAAAAATTATTATCTTTTAACTGTGAACAATTATCTATTTATTACATAAGATAAAACCACATGACAGGAAGACGACCAGAAGATTGTTCCCGATTTAGCCTTTAGAATAAGAAGTAATTCATCATAATCATTACTAACCTATACCATTCTGCTTCCTAGATAAGGCCTCTTTCGTCTCTTTTGGAGAAGATAAGAAAGAAGAAGAAGATAAGAAAAAAGAAGAAGAAGAACTTAGAAAAGGCACTTAGGAAAATTAAAGCGTTAAATAATTTTTGAGACTTTTACACTAAATAACAAAGTTAACATAATACTAACAATTAATTTAACATATTAAAAATAAATATATTACATAAAAAAGAGGAAATGTTCATTATTATTGTAATGTACTTACTAACATAAGCGACCTTGATTGTGTCAGAGTATTTGTCATTTAAACTTTACTTAATGTGCGAATTTTTTATTAAAGTAGGTATTCACGTAACTAAACAACAAAACATTTATGATGTGACTTTGTTATTTAAGAGGCAAAATTACAACTGAGGAACTTTATTTATCTGTGTTAAGTTTTATTGACTTGACACACATGTGTGCTGTCATAAACCCGCTTTGTAAGCTAGGTTGTTCCTTACTCCGAAACGTCTGAACGAAAAAGAATAAAACATACTAATTTGGGGTCGAAATGATTATATTATAGTGGGTCTTAATCCAAAGCACACACACACCCACAGTTTAACTCTCTCTGTCACTCGAAGGTCAAACTATTAGATAAGACCCATCATCTTTCATAAAATATCCATATTATATTCAAGTTTTCTAGACCATATAATGACCTTTAAGTGTGGGAGAGCCATGCTTCGGCACGAATGGGTCGGCTCGACCGGAGTGGCCTCACAGAAAACCGGCGTGAAACAACCACAGCGTTGTTTTTTGCCGTGTGAGTGAGGTTACCGGAGGCCCAATCCTTCCCCTCCCCCAATCCCTCCTCAATCCCTAAATCTCCAAATCCCTAATCCCTAGAAGGTCGGCAATGCACTCGTAACTCCTCCTTGCAGGTACGGGTGTCCATGGGCGGCGCTGATAGCTTACCATCAGGTAATCCGTCTGCTCGTTTGCCGATATATTACTACATAAAAAAACAACCAACATTTTACTGTTTCAGATCGGATTCACTTTTAACTTACAAGTTATGTTTTCCCAGACTTGAACTAGTTTCAGTAGTTTTCTAGGTACGAGTATTTTGTTATGGTTGATGTGTAATAACTTATTATAACCATATACCATTCTACTGTATGTATGAATGTTAGCTCATTTTCATTTTAGCAGTGAACACGCACAGAAAGCGCTTATCACTTGCAAAAGAAAGTAAAAGTTGTGACACTGACAATATTTTTAAAAGCAACTGAAATTATGACGTAGTGTTTTTCGTCATTTAAATATTTACAGCTTGTGTTCAGCAACTTTTTTATTGTCTGTCATCGTAAGAAATGAGAACTTTAATGCCTAGTTTTAGAGAAATCTGATTTTGCCTTCCAATTTTGATCATAATTATAGCATGCGCAATGCTGCTGCATGAATATGCGTCCCCAGCGTGGCTTGAAACTAGTCGAGTTTCTCGTCAAAAGGTTACGTGATTTAGCAGTTAAACAGAAACATTTATTTAATGTTCATCATAAAAATGTTAATACAATTTTGATCTTATACCTACATAGGTAATAATCAAATCAACAGTTCTAGATAGATTTTTTTTTTTATATATTTTGTTTAACTTTTTATTTCTTTCCACAACCAAACGGACTTTCAACTAAAGTTTTTAGATAACCGCAACTCGGGACCTCAAGATACAGGCCTCGCCTAGTTTGGGGATCGCCGCTCCTAAAAACAATGTCCGCTTACAACACTAAGTTACAACAAACAATTGTAGGTACCTAATAATAACTAAATTTTAAGTCAAACTTATGGAACTGTGTAAATATCTATTTTTTTATTATTAATTAAAAAAGATATATTCTTCGGTTTGTTGACATATCTATTTTGCTCAAAAATGCATTTCATTACAAAAACTATTACAGTAATATAGGCTTTATCTCTAAGAAAAAGTAACTAAAATGACTTAACAAATCCAGTGGCACAACTTTCTCACAATAACAAAGGAACTTATTAGAGTTTTTATGACTCATTGGTTTGTACCGCATGTGGGTTCAATATGAGTAACGCCACCCTTTTCATATGCAATCGTTTCAATAGTTATTTGTACAACATTCAACCCTAAGTGAACACATTTAATTGATAGATCTTCAACTTTCACACAAAGTTATTGAGTTGACAATCGATTACAGAAATGTGGCACATATAGATATTTAAGAACTATTCCAGAATATTGTTTACTTTTTTGTGACACTGACATGTGCAACAGAAAAATAACTTTAATGCTCAATAGCATACTAACACTGCACCTATCGCATTTATAACCAATCAAAGTAAAGATTTGTTCCTATAAGGATAGCCGATAATATTTTATGAAATAAGGTTATTTCAATCAATACAACAATGTCCTTGTCAAAACATTCGTTTAACACATAAACCGCTAACTTGTCTATTCGCGTCGCTCATTATTCGCCACTTCGCTAGTAAATCACGTAGAGCGGTAATTTCTCTAGCGCTAGCGGCACCGACCGGCGCACGCGTTGAATACTTGACACACTTTGTGCAATTACATCAAGATTTTCAATGTTTAATGCTCATTTACATTGTTGTTATGTGATTATTGTAATGTTGAATACAGTATTTTATGTGATAGGATAGTAAACGTGATTACCAGAGGGTAAGCAATCAGCGCCGCCCAGGGACACCAGGTTGCAGGTCTTTTGGGGATTAGGGCACGTACATTTTTCTGTCCGTCCGTCCATCGTAGAAATGGAGTGAGAGGGAGTATCAGACTCATACTGATTAAAAACCACCCCGTGCCTCCTGCTGCTCTAGGCCGAGGCCGCGGTACCTTATTGCCAACCATTCCGGCAGGGTTAAATTTACGTTGATAAGTGTGGGAGAGCCATGCTTCGGCACGTATGAGTCGGCTCGACCGGAGTCATACCACGGCCTCACAGAAATCCGGCGTGGTATAACCAAAGAGTTGTGTTTCGCCGTGTGAGTGAGGTTACCGGAGGCACAATCTTTCCCCTTACCCAATCCGTTCCCTTTCCCAAAATCTCTAAATCCCTAATCCCCAAAAGGTCGACAATGCACTCGTAACTCCTCCGTCGTTGCGAGTGTCCATGGGCGACGCTGATTGCTTACCATCAGGTAATCCGTTGGCCAGTTTGCCGACCTATCACATAAAAAAAAATATTCCTGAAGGTAGAGATGGCGATAAATTGGCACAAGCGCCGTTGATGGCACGCAAAACAATATGAAAAAATAAACATAATCAAGTACAAGTTGGTAGTTTATGAATCAGAACTCTTTTAAAGTCGACATTGATCGTGATTAACCGTATAATTAGAGTGTTACCCAACAATATACATAATCATGGTACACAGCGCCCCCCTAGCGACACTAGCATGCGGGTAATGTTCCTGGTTGAGGAATTACCCATGACAAGTTTGTAATCGATAGAGGGCATTGATGTTTTGCTAATAAACCGGCGTGACGTCATGACTTTTATTCCAAAGGGGAATTCGAATATTTTTTTAGTTCAGAGGGCCTACCATGACGTGTTAAAGCGCGAATCTTTCAGGCGAGAAAGAGGGATGGAGCCATCCACCTTTTATAGCTCCATCCTACTTTAGTAGGCCTACACGAAAGATCAGTTGTGTAAAATATTTTTTTACTGAAAAGGGTGTAAACGGGCAGACCGATTACCTGGTAGTAAGTGATTTGCGCCGCCCAAGGTCACCTGCGATTTTGACACCATACTTATATACTTCATACAAGATATATCTTCTATTATATAAAGTTGTCAGGGCGAGCTAGTAGTTATATATAATGTAGTACTAAATATTTTCCAAGGCATTAAGTTGACCGGGTAATAGATTCCAAGTATCCTATTCCAGTAGCCGCGTTTGCGAAAAATTAAAATATAAATATTTACATTTTCCAACTCAAGTTTTCTTTATAAAAAAGTTTGGTTTCTCACTAGGTTTTTTTTCTACACGCGCACATTGACAAACATAGATATAGAGAACATAGAAACAGACTCGAAAAAGATGGGTAACATTATGTAAGATTTTGAGTTAAAATTATTTATAAACTCCTATTATAGAATTGGTTATTATTCCTGCCAAATATTTACATCATTTGAATTTATATAAAGGTTTAACTATCAATTTTAGTATTCATATTACTGTTGGCAGGTAAGTATATATATTTAACTAAAATTATATCCTATTATTCCTTTTAAGAAAAACGAATATCAATAATATACGAATGAATGGTGTTTTTCCCATAAAATCAATTCTATATTGCCATAATGATGAGGAAAATATTTGTTAGATACTTAAATAGGTATAAAATAAAGTTACATTTTGAATATACACAATAATACATAACTAAGTAGGTACATTAAGTACTTGCTTCACCGCCTTTATATAAAAACCTGATTTAAACATATGTGGCAAATAGTTAATACAAATAAGGATATCATTATTTATTTATTATGTAATTTATTGTAGAAAAAATACTTACCTACATTGGACATCAATAGTATGCAAAAATGGTTCACACGTATTGTTAAAAGTAATAATTATAAAATGTATTTCTTTCCTTTCACGGGACCACAGGGTCCCGGACCTTTGGAAGGCGTACGAGGAGCCGAAGCCAACTCGCAGAGGCCCGTTGAACAATAAATTTTAATCTTAATGTGATGGGACATCAGCCGGCAATTATCCCTGTATGCACTATGAAAGTGCACCCAAGGACAATCACCGGTTGATGCAGGACTACTGTGAAATATGGTGAAAATTGATAGGGTTATGGGTATGAGTTGCTATGCACTAGTGGATGAAAACTATGGAAATACTATGGCCCCTGCCCCTGACCAATAATATGTATTTATTATTATTTAATTAAAATGTTCAATATGTTGTAGCATTCAAGATATAGAAGTTAAACAACTTCTTAAATTCTTTATTTGCAATAATTGATTGTTTTATTACAGAACTAGAAAACGTAAATTAATAATCGATATTGCAAGAAAAGTCCGGTGGTAGAAGCAAGTTCATGTTAATGTAAAAAAAGTACTTATGATAAAAATACATTAATGTGTTTTAGGGACTAAACTTTCATTGGGAAAATAATTAGTAGTACTATTACCAGCTTAACTGTACTGTGTGTATAAGTATATTATAATATGGACTATTCATAGTATTAATTGTAAAAGACTAGGTAAGTACAAATTTGTTCCATACAGAAAGAAACAATCATTTTTGTGTCTGAACTTAGGAAGTTGACTGATCTAAGTTACGATAATACTAATGAACAACTACGAAATATTTAAAATTTGAGTATTGAATATACTCAACTAGTATCTATTGAAAGAGATTGAATTGCAAAACAGCTTTATTCTACTTAAAACAATAAAGAATACACCAACAAATATTCCTACGAACACTCTTATTAAGAAAGAAACAAAGTAATGAAATAGATAAATAAATACACTAATTAATAACAATCGAATGTTCATAATAGGCCCATTAACACGACATCGACAGCAAACAATCGCCTGGGAAATCGTTAAAAGTCTTGTATACGCACACGAATGGCAAAACAAAAAAAAATCGTCACAAAAAAGTATCCTCGCTTCAGTTGACGGACTCCCATAAATAGAGTTTTTTTATCACTTACGTATAAAGACATAATTTATTTATGAACGACAGTGATAGATAGGCGATTTACACTGTCAACGTTTACCGCGGTTATGTGATTAAGTAAGGAAATGTACATAATATCAACACTTTTATAGACGAGTGGAAATTAACATGTTTTTATTGATATTTCAACTAGTCAGCTGTGAATGACTAGGGATGGGTTGTAGTGACTTTATTAAAGATATCGATGTTTTAATATTTATTTGCTAACATTACCTCTGTGAATATAAGTCAGGGTTATGAATGCAAGCGCTATAATGTGTCGTGGATAGAAGAAGGAACGGGGAGATTTTTAGTCAGTTTGACACTCTTTTAGTTTTCGCCTCAGGGCGGGATAAGCAATTTGATATTTTTGCAACCAAAAAGTTACAATACAAATCAATACATTACATTATCTAACAGTTACTTAATTCAATTATAATGCAGTATTATTAAAAATAAAAACGTAATTCTGCACAGAGATTAAAATAATTCAAATTATAAAATTACATTAAAATTTGTTATGCACGTAAACGCAATAAGTAGACATAAAGTCAAATTACTTATTACATAAGTCTTCCACATTGTAGGCAACCTAGATTCTTGGTCAATATTAATGTAGCGAGAAATTAGAAAAGAAAAAATATTTTTGAATTCATTTATCAAAGTTCCTTACGCAACGACCACAAGCCGTACGCGGGTGTAATTAAATATTCATTCCGCATTTAAAAATGGCGTAAAAACTTGTAGACAATAGCAAATATGAAGCACATTGTTGTTAAAACATTCTTGACATAATTAGATATAGATATAGTTAAGAAGTATTTATGTTAATAGGCATAATTACGCAGAATATTAGATAAAATTATCTCCAAACTAAAAAAAATCCAGACAAGCAAATTACTCATCCCCTTTGTTTTCGTAAATCAAGAATAAATGAAATAGGTACCTAAGTTTTTTTTTATTGTCTATCTACGTTTAGCTTATCTATAAATTAGATGAGTATATCAAATATGTATATAGTTTAGCGGTAATTTTTTTTTCTTTACTTTTTTCAAGTTGCAAGCATTCATTCATCCAAGTTTTTATAAAGGACAAATACCATTAGATAAGTGCATTACTTTTTTAGACTTTCGTTCCATTTTTGAATATATTTTTTATCCCAATCGATAAGCGAGTAAAAAGTTTACATTAGCTCTACAATTATACTGGCCAGTAACTTCCTGTAGCATATTTAATTTATTCAGTACTCCTTACTTTAAACTCCTTTATTATTTTATTTATGACTAAATGACTACAATACCATCATAATAAATACGTATTTTAAGTAGCTAGGTATTACAATACAGGAAAATCCAGAAATACAAAACTCGTTTTAAAGCTACACCAGCATGCATATATCATAGTTAGTCACTCTTTTGAAAACAATAGATGGATTTAAAAGGAATTATTTTATGATTTAATATTATTCCAAGCAGCGGTTTTATTTATATGCCTACAAACATTTGATACATAATTAAAAGTATTACAATAAGTACTTACTCGAAAACAATCATCAGAGACGCTATAAACTCCAACATCGATCTCTGACGAGCCCACCATGTACGCCTGATCCATCTTCAGGGCTGTCATGTCCAACCCTTCGAAGGCCTGGACTCCAGGGTCCTCCAGCCATGATCTGATCACTTCCCGGTACCACTGCCAAGTGTCATTCGATACACCCACGGAATCATTCATTTTTACACAGTCCTATTAACTTTTAAAGACTTCTTCAAGAAGCGAAGTAGTCGAAAATCTTCACTATATTTCGTTTATCATTTTTGGTACAGTGTTTTTGAAGTTGCGCGCGTCTGACCGGCGTTGTCGATCGTGTGTGACTGAGCGGGCGTGCGGCGTCGGCGGCGTCTCCATGCAAGAGCATATCATTTATAATAAGCTTTCTGCAACGCGATCTGGAAATGTTCATAACAATTGGATGAAAGTGCGACAGGTTACACTGCCAGCGCGTTTACCTGAGCGACCTTCCCATTGATTGTTTGTTTTAATTACAAACATACATAGATACAACTATTTATTTATTTACTGAGAACTCTATTGGTAGATCTGTGACTTTTGTTAACTTGAAATAAATATTTATAAATTAGCTAAAATTCTTTAGGTAGCCCTACATGATATCCCTGCCTCAAAAAATGCGTTTATTTTTTATTTCTTTGAATGAACGTAAAGTTACTAATTGTTATTTTCTTTCCATTTATTTATTTTTATTAAGCTAATCTTACACATGATGGCGCCATCTACTGGGGAATTTTTAATTTAAGATCTACTTTCAGATTCCAATTTGTTAAGCTACTCCATTTTTTATCCAATAAACTTTTATTTTCTGTGCGAATATTATTATCTAAATAAACATTTTTTCTTTATGATTAGAAAATAAAAAACAGCTTATTTGCGACTATAATTTTATAAAATGTTTTTTTTTATAGTGATATCCACATTAACACATAAAATCTTTATTTAATAATATTCGTATAGTAAATAAAAGTTTACTAGAAAAATTTGTTTGATCCAAGGTAGGTTTGATCCAAAAAATGCTTTGACTATAGTTCTTGTCAGGAAGCAGTGAAATCTTTTACTTAGTTTTATAGGTTTTTTTTTTATTTCTACCTATTTTATGATAAAAATGCGAAAAAAAAATTAAATTAATTTTCAATAAAGTGATAATTATTAAAGACATTTTGTGCCTACACAACGTTATGGTAAAATACTTCCGAAATTTCAGGACCAACGCCCTCGAAAGTCGAAGGTCAGTGCTCTTAACCAAGTAAGGCAGGATCTCATTAACAGGTCCGACCTTCGATTCTTGGTACCACATAAAACCTGCATGGTAGGTGGCTGGTTGACTTGAATGATGCCTTTCATTTCCGTTGCTTGTTTTTTCTACTTTAGACCACCCTTTCGAGTAGGATAATATCAACATTCCGTTTTCTTTTCATTTTAAAAAAGTTGGTGGGTAACGCACCCAACTTTTTATAAAAATAATATATTTCTTAAGAGTCGACCGGAGTAACAGCACGACCAGGCCTCACAGAAAACCGGCGTAGAACAATCGCAGTGTAGTTTTTAGCCGTGTTAGTAAGGTCACCGAAGCACGCTTGGGTCTTCTCCTCCCCCCAATCCCTCCCCAATTCCTAATTAGTATTGGGGTCCTTAGGATCAGGTAATCCGTCTGATCAGTTGCCCTATCACATAAAAAATATGTATAATTTCGCATACAAATGCCCAGACCAAGATCAATCGTTTGCGGATCACACAAAGAGCGGTTGTTCGGTGCGGGAATCGAATCCGCGATACGTTGCATGGCAGCCGATTGCCCAGCTACCAACTGTACCTAGCAGTCAAGTGAATTTGAACTATGTGTAATACATAGTTTCTTTTAAATATAAAGTACATTGCTGACTATGTGGCAAATCATCCATGACTAATATGCTTATTAGCACAGACTGTAACTCTTAAGAATTTTTGAGGTCCATCCGTCATTGAAATTCATTGTGGATATAGAAATTGTTTCTTTAAGGGAAAGTCATCAAATGACTTTTCCCGTCCTGGGTCAAGCTCACTGGCTAAAACCACCTCGATCCTTCACCTGATCCGGGCCGTGGTAAAGTATTGCGCTTGGGTGCAAACCCAGCAAAAATGAAGTGCTCACCTACTCACAAAGGCTTGGTGTTACGTAGTAAGTATGTACTACTTCTGATAATGACAACTAGTTTTGATAACAATTTTCAGTATAAAAACAAAGCACAAAAATTGCAAAGTATGATGAAATTATTAATATTTTTTGTCAATAATACCTACGTATATAAAGCATTGTCTAAGTTATTATAGAACAATAATAAAATATAGATTGGCCTACTTGATAGCAAATGAGAACAACTACTGAAATTTATTACGTATCGTAATGGATATTATTAGGTCGACATAAGGTGTGTACTGTTGATTCATATTTCCCTTGTGTCTTTTGCTAAGTACGAATTTAGTACTTCTGTCTGAAGCCTAGACGCTTAGTTTTAATTATAAACGTTTGTCTGTCAACGTAATTAATGTTTTTCTCGAAGAAGTTAAGCGTACAGTTTTCTATATGTAAAAGTCAGATAGACTTATACACTTCATTCTTTTCATGAAAATATGATGTTGGAATATGCGTTATTTTCTTTTGTGATTATAAGGTCGGAAGGAGACCTGTATTGTTGGGTGCCATACATATTAACTACCTATATATTCGGCCGGACAGAAAAATCTGGCAATCAAAAAGCAAATATCCGGCTTTATCCAGATGCCTAGTAATTTTGCTTACATGACGTATTATTATAGTTGATAGGACACCTGCAACACCAGATGAGTTACGAGTGCGCTGCCGGCCTTTTGGCGATCAGGGTTTTGGAGATTACGGATTGGGGGAGGGGAAAAAAAGATACGGCCTTCTCAAACTATATTATTAATCACATGTGAGTGAGCGATATTACTGACGCTGACGAGAATGATGCCAATGCCCTGCAACCTGAAAATCACGACCAAGTCAAACTCCTTTCTCAGCAATGATACTTGTTGCTCAATGAATATAATATTAGTTAATAACTAATTTAATATTAGTTTGATGTTTCCAAATAACTTATGTTTATAAATTATGTTTTATATAAAATCAACAGATCAATAAAACATCATCAAAAGAAATAATTATAAGCAATTATTAAATCATTGTGATTCCACTAATGTATGTATGAACATAACATACTGACAGCATCTGATATACAGACAGACAGGATGCTGAAACCGATTTCAGATAGGTAACTAAGTAATTAAAACATCAACGTTTAATTATGTTTTTCATAGCCAATAGGTACAAGTGCATCATAAATCTTATTAATGCATTTATGTACATATAGTTTATTTGCTCAATGTTCACGCTTTTAAAATCAGATATACAACATACACTTTACTAACTTTTATCACATTTTTATTCTCACTTTGTTTTGTTTTTCTTTCTTTCATTTTTAAACATATATTTGTAGTTAGTCTCAACATTGTAATTTTGGTTTGTAATGGAAGAAACAAAACAGCCCCAATACTAGAGCTTTTGTAACTTACTGGGGTTGCCTTAATTTATATTATGTACGGAATGTTAGATGAAATAAAAATCTAAATCTTTTACACTATATTTATGTATATTATGCCTTTTTGACGGGGAAACATCGTCAAATGTCTTCTCCTGTCTTGATTGGGGCGAAAGGGAGTGTCAGACTCTTACTGACTAACAACTACCCCATTTTTTCTCCTGCTCCAAGCTAGGCCTTAGTACATTATTGCGTTTGCATCCGTAACCTCGGCTGATATATCCATATCACTCTTGCTTTTTGAAGGTATCGAAGGTATTTTGACTGTAAAGGAACGCAAATAAAATATAATGCTGTCTTATCTATCATATCGCAAATTGTTAAATGGAAGTTCTCTATACTACTAAAATTTTGAAATGAAATGAAAAAAAGAAATGATTAAATTAAATTTACTATAGATATTATACATAGTTTGGAATTACACATGGGCTAATTACCTATGTTTTACCCTACTTTATATTATGAAAAATGTAATGAAAATGTAAAAGCATTTATTCGTACCAACAGTAAATTTACAAAATTATAACTCTGCCGTAATTTTTTTATTTTTTTTCTAATAGGTCGGCTAACGAGCATACGGATATGCCCATAGACCTTTTAGGGATTAGGGATTTGGAAATTTAGGGATTGAGAAGGGATTGGGGGCGGGAAAGGATTGGACCTCCGGTAACCTCATTCACACAACGACACACAACGCTGTGGTTGTTTCACGCCGGTTTTCTGTGAGGCCGTGGTATCACTCCGGTCGAGCCGACCCATTCGTGCCGAAGCATGGCTCTCCCACACTTTAAGTTTAAAACGAATGCGGGGCGATGGGTTCAAGGAAGCTTAACAAATCAAAAAGCTAGTTTATTTACAAACTGGTTGGTAATGACATAAATTGAGAAAGAACATAATTTTGAGGTTACAATAAGAAGGAATGAAAATATAAATTACATAAAAATGTGTTGACAATGACTTTATTGTTTTTATTATCGAGTTCTCCATGCATTTTGAACTTTACATTTAACCTTCTAACTTTATTTTAGCGAGTTAAAAGTGGATACCAGATTTCGTCAGACTGTCGTTATTGTCCTCAAAGCCTTGGTTAGCCTCTAAATAAAGAGTTACTATAGATAAACTGGTTCAGCATCAACTATTTTTTTTTCCTTTTGTATAAAACGTCGCCCCACACTAGGATTTTCTCCTGTGTCGTATCGTCACATGCATATGACGCCCATTATCACTATCATTGTTTCATTGATTAAAAATTTCAGAACAAAATACAATATTTTTTTATTTTAATTGTAACCAATATCGACTATGTATCTTTTCTATTAGATAGGTTAAAGAGCCCGCTTCGCATGCATGAGGGTGTGGGTTCGAAACCTTACAAGTACCAATGTGACTTTTTCCGACTTATATGTACTTTCTATGATTATTTAGACACACGGTGTGACATAAGGTAAAGATAAACATCGTGAAGAAACCTAGACTTATAATTTCTAATTATAAGTTTGAAATCGCCAACTCGCATTGAGCAAGCGTGGTGATTAATGCTCAAACCTTCTTCGTGTGAGAAGAGGCCTTTGCTCAGCAGTGGGCACTTATAGGCTGATGATGATGATGATGATCTTTTCTATGTTTGGAAAATCATCCAATGTATTCCGACATGGGATCGAGACGAATAGCGTGTCGGCCCAGAGGTTAAGGCGCTCACTCATGAATGAGAATGCAGATTCGAAACCTGGCACGTCTCAATATGACTTTTCCTGAGTAACCATGTATTAAGTTCATTTAGACACCAGTGACAGACGATGAAGGTAAACATCGTGAGGAAATCTGATGAAAATAAAGATCACCAATCCGCCTTGAGCAAGCAGCGAATTTCTCTATTACTATTGATGTTGAGGAAGTGATATGAATCCATGCTTGGTCAATATCACTGTGTCTAAAATATCAGCAAAGTTCTTAAAGACATTAGGTTGATGGTGTAAGAGCAATAGTGATGGTTTTTAGTTAGAAAGAGTTTGGCACTCAATCTCGTGTCAACTAAGTTGGGAAAAACATTTCAATGATATAAAATAAAACAAAGAGTTGTTACAATTAAGTGCATCCCTAGGTATGATGATACAAAAGAATCTGTAAATACTTTTCAAACCACGATCAAGGATCAACTGGTTCATCCCAAGACGAGTCTAGCAACTAAACCTGTCAGTTATCCTTCTAACTCTCTATTAACTGAGTAACCGGTTAGATTAGATCTAATTCGCCTGTCAAGAAAACGTCCTCCTGATATGGCAGTTGAAGTTCATTCCTTTTTAGGTAGCCGCCTAGTTCATTTAAAGTAATCTGAACGGGGTCAATGACATTACATATCTACTATTAGAAGTAAAAATACTTAAGGTATAGTTGTTCTTATGAACCTTTCGATTGATTGTTCTGTATTCTGAGGATTAATCACAAAATTAGAAATTAAATTTTATCTGAATTTATTTAAAAATACTTAAGTAAATAATTTTGAAAATGTCTTCGCACCTAGGTATAAAAAACAAAATAGGTACTAATAATTATTATTAATAATAAAATATTAAAAAAAAAGGATTTTTGTTTAGATTTGTCACAAACAGTTTTACGCATTCACGAAGGTCAAACATCAAAATAATAATCGAGGTACACAAAAAGAAAATTAATTTTTTTATGTAAATTTGTATAAGAACAATCATCAAATACTTAGCTAAAAACTTAAGCGCAACATAAAACGCAATATGTATTAAAATTGCAATTATCTCTATCCATTAACACGTACATAAATAACATTAGAAATATGGTAGCGCGTTTGTTTGCTAACCTTGTACGCCTAAATTGCTAAAACAATTTTAGTACGGAGAGAGATTACTATTTAAGACGAAAAAAAATCGTATCGTCTGTAAATGTCATATAGTGGTGATTAATTTGGCGAAAATATAAGATGAGTCAGTATATTACCAGACCGCCCGACCAGAACCACACCAAAGCGGACGGCGCATAGCGTTCTGCACATGCCTCAAAGAGCCAAAAGACCATCACAGATAGGGTCCAACCCGGGGTTACGGGTCAAACACAATGAGGTACCGCGACCTAGCTGAGTAGGAGAAGGAACGGGGTAATTTTAATTAGTAAGAACCCGACAGGATTGTGTCTATCCCTTTCGCCCCAATCAGGCTGGAAGAAGGAACGATATCTTCCCTCAAAAAAAATGATCCACAATAGGGATGTTTCGCGGACATTATTGTATTTGCAATAAACTTGTGCAGCGGTCGGGTGGTTTTTAATCAGTAAAGGACTGATACTCTTAGGCTCTCTCTCGCCAAACCTATGGTCAGAGAAGGCATTTGATGATAATCTCCTCAAAAAAAGAGAACCACAGCATAAAGCTAGTATACAAGTATATTTTAGCACATGATTACCGCAGCTCCTTTTAGTTCGCAGGTCAATTACATGCACGACTATGATTTTGGCCTTAGCAGAGGAAACCGAATACTTGAGACGTTAGTTCGACGGTCACTTGGTTGTATATCACACGCGTCCAAGTTTATTATGTTTTAGTTAATCTGTGGTCATGAATGTGGTGGTTTTATTGTGTCTGTGTTGGTTGGTTCTCGCTGAGGATACTGGACAGCCAGCGGGTTTAATGGCACACTGTGAGCTTTTGTTTTTTGAGTTGTTTTGTATCGTAATTTTGTGAAACGGGTTTTTAATACTTAATTTAGGAAAATATTTATTTTTAACGATTTTTTGGGAAACATTCTTAATGGTAATTTGTCAAACTGAAATTAAAATAGTGCATGTCTCGCTCTCTCACACTCTCTGTCTAAGGTTAGTTGGTGTGAGGATAGAATTGAATTTTAATCACGCATCAGGTCAAATTTTCATTACTGCACTCTCCGTGATAAAAACATAAAGTCATTACTAAAAGAGAATCAAGAATTAACAGAGATCTAATCCTTAAAATATTTGTTAGTAATTTCAAACCTCACTTGATCAAAAGAAAGTCTATTTTGGAATCTATTCTCCAATTAGTAAAAATGTAAATTGATTTCTAGGTCCAGGAATGAACAAAACGACTCTTCTATCAGAAAAGACGAAGAAATCTCTGTCCGTCGTTGTGGTATACCCATCTTCTGGGTTTTTTGGCCATCGGGAGACAAGATGTAGCCTGAGTACAGAAGGAGCCGCTTGCGCAGCCAAACATATACCAATAAACGATCTTAAGAAGAGGAAAACACAGGTACTTACAAACTTTCTTCTGCGCCTTTAAGGCTTAAGTCATTCTGTCTTCTGCATTAAATTTACCGAGGGAAGTGGAAACTATTTAGTTTTTTCTTCTCCTGTAAAAATATCTTCTGATTTATTTCGTTGCGGGATCCAAGACAGTCATTCATGTCCTGGGACTTCAGTGTTCCGGTGTTTTCATGGTTGTATCTACTATGGATCCTGGTTTATAGGAATTGCAGCGGTTTTGGGAGGTTGCGGCGGGCTTGTCCCAAAAAGAAAGGTACCTATAAACCTTTTATTGAGGGGGGAAAATCACCAAATTTCTTCTCCGCCCTGGGAGTCAGACTTTTACTGACTAAAACCACCCCGTTCTTTCTCCTAGCCCTGTTATACTTCTGTGTACACTGTGTTATACTTCTTCCACTGAATGCCGTATTAATATTGACAAATTAGAATTTGACAATAACATATCGGATCGGGAATAATTCTTAAACTTCTACCTTGCTTTTCATGCTTACGGCTTCAAAGTTCAAACCAATAAAGCAGTTTTCACTCAACGAGTTTTGATATCAAAAAAAAGGTTACCCCGACTTGAAAACCACCTCCTCTTTTGCACTAATCAATATTGCTTAAATACTTTTCTCGTTTTACGCTTCTTTATTATGCCTACTTTGTAACTTATGACCTTTGCAAATAAGATTTTGTTATCAAATTACAGCAAAATCGAAATCAATAGGTAATCTCAGAGCGCGTCCGTGACACTATTCAGTTAGACTAACTAATAGGCAATACTCATTGGCGATCAAGGTTCTAGTTAATGGTACTTAAATTACATAATTCCGTTAGTATTACCGAGTTCCATACTGGTTTGAACCGGCTACACTTATCATTCTTAATAGTTACAAGTTTATACTACATACAAAGTCCTTTTGGAAAATGGATACTGAATAATTTGCAATGTATCCTCGAAATATTATTTGTCGGCTCAAAAACAAACCAATGGCAGATATTGGTTACCATAAAATGGAATGAATAGATGCAGAAAATATTTATTTTATAATAGAAGTTGGAATTTTTTCTAAGTATCAACCTATTCACCTTGCCTTATATTCCCTCGTTTTACCAACTGATTGATTCTTCTTTCAGTTCCTTATTTGCGTAACACATTTTTGGCTAGATTAGATGTACTTACCTACGTCCTACGTGATGACGAGAAAATGTAATTTATTTCTTAAACTTTAACCGATTACTTAAACTAAATCCGACCTGGACATCCCTCCTTCGATTTATTCCATTTTTTTCGTTAAAAATAATCTTGCTTCTCAGGAACGTAAATGCCTAAAGAAGATTTTTTAGTGTAATTAACAGTAAAAAACATCTTCTAGATTTCTTACGGGCCTTATTCCTCAGGATTTCTACAGGCACAGGCGGAAAACTATTTTTAATTTTAAATGTGACATAGTGCTAATGAAATTGAGATTGAATAACCTGATAGTAAACTAACAGCCTATCATAGACCCATTAGCCCTTTAGGTAGTGGTGATTTGGAGGTTGGGGATTTCTTAATCCCATAATATTTAATTATAATACCTAATTGTACATTTTTAAAATTTTTATAATTGCAGGTCATGATCAGCGGCTACATGGACAGCTCGTTCTCTCCTATAGTGCGCACCCTATTGGCAATGTATCTCGGCTTAGGACGAAACGTCATTGTTTTAGAAATATTTCCGATTCTAGTGAGGTCCTATCCTATGTAAGTATTTTGTTCCACAAATATCTTAGATTAGTTAAACATTTAATACTCGTATATTTGCAACACGTGGTGATGACAAATTTTCTTAAAAATAAACCCCATCTGAGCAAAGGCCAAGCGACGTTAAAACTGGCTAACGTTAAAACGGCTCCTGTCTAGAGCAGGAGTAGGAACAGGGTGTTTTTAGTCAGTAAGAGTCTGGCACTCCCTCTTTCCCCAACTTAGGCGAGAGAAGAATTTGATGATTTCTCCCCCTCTCAAAACAAGGCCTCTTCTCATACGGAGCAGGCGTGAGCATTATTATTCACCAGGCCTACACAGCGAATTGGCGACTTATCATTAGAAATTAAATTTTTTGTTCCAATCAAATAAAGTACACCAAGGTGTCATTTAGCACCAGTTAATTGATAACTTTGCCCAATCAAACAAAGTCTGTAAGTATTTAATTGCAAAATTTTGAACTACAAATTAGGTTTGTATCATGGATCAGTCCCATATTATGCAATTGCAATTTCCTTATGCCCCGCGCCATATAGGGATTGAACAGAACACGTAATTAATCAGCAAACTGGTTGGAAGCTGATTTTCAGAATCTGTAACCTGTTTTATGAGACTTTTAATTCCACTTATACTTTCCTGTTTGCGCTTGCGAAGTAATATGTGTAAAGTCTAAGCATCTTCTATTTAACAATTAAATTACCTAAGTCCATCGTTATTATCTACTTATATACATATTATCGTCTGTTCGCCTCCTTAATATTCATAGAAGTCCAGCTAAAGTTTAAGTGTCAAAAACCTTTATTAAATTGAGAGAAAATAAGGTACCAATATAAATTTCATTTTAATACAATCTCTTTTATACACATTAGATATTTAACAAGACATAAAACTGCCATTATTAAACTTTGTCATACTTTTGAGGTGCTGTGAAATTCGCCAGATCATCCAGTTTATGGATGGATGTTTATGGATGTTTATTATTATTAGGTACTAGCGGCCCGCCCCCGCTTCGCACAGGTCCAACTATCTCGCTATCAAAGGGTCGCTTTTTCCTAATCTTCCCCTCTACTTTTCTAATATTTTCCTTGATAAGAACCTTCTCCTGACAATAACAAACACAACAAAAAAAGAATTAGCAAAATTGGTCCAGGCGTTGTTGAGTTATGCGCTTACCAAAACATTTTGCGATCCATTTTTATATATAAGAAGATACATGTGCAGTCACTATTAACCATCTAAATTGAGTAATTTCAATCTGTCTATCATTTGAATAATAAAGCTAACCTAACGGCTGCCTCTAAGAGCCAACAGAGGTGGGGTCAAATAGGGTTGATGTTAACGATTGGAACCGAAAACTATTACCAAGGACTTTTTTGACAAAGGGAAATCATCCAATGACTTCTTCGCCCGAGTGGGGGGAGAGGGAGTGTCAGACTCTTATTGACTTGGTAACTATTAAATGACTCTGAGTACGATCGTTACATTCTTACGAAGTATGGCGAAGGTACTAATAAAAATACCTACATAATAAAACGTTTTACGTAAATAATTAATTACGGAACTGTATTATAATAACTTCCGATGAGCACACCAAATTTAATTATTCATTTTTGTTGAGTTTTGTTATTGTTTTATGCCAAGGTACTAAGATAAAAGAATTACATTTATTATAATTGCCCGATAAAGTTGAAGAAGTCGTATGTTTTTGGAATCCGCAATAGAGGTCAGTCTATTTTAACCAATGGAAATTATTTCATCTAAGTAGCTACATAGGTACATACATAGGTAGCTCTGCTAATAGCTGTGCTTCCCTGCAAATGCTTGGGAAGGAATATTTTTCTATTATATACATAGAGTACCTATATTTAAATCACAGGAATGTGAAGATCATCGAGTAAATAGCGTCTTTTTGCGAGTGAAATATCATCAGTTAGGGGTAGTTTTTAGTTATTAAGGATGGCCAACCTATCACGGAGAAATAGTATGATGACCTTCTGCCTTTAAAAATGCGATATTTGAGAACACTGTCCTGTATATGCATGCATCAAAGTCATCAATGAAAGTCTCAAGCATGGACAATAAAATAAACCCTCGCTATACTCTTCAGGCGAGTAAACATAATCCAAATGGAATAATAATAACAAAACTTGTTACCTACGCGGCTACTGTTAAATCATTTAAATACAAACATGCATAATTTCCTGTACACTTGATGCTGTGGTTAAGTTTCTAATTTATAAATATAACATTTATATTCCCATGAGATGTTAATGAGCTGACTATAAAGCATGGGTCTTAAAGCTAGCGAGTAGCGAGTTGTGACTTGAAAGTTTTTTTTTAGAAACGTTTACCCACACTACTGTTTTCTCCTGTTTCGTAGGTGCGTTTACAAACATACAATTTTACATACACATGACATCCAGACCCAAAACAACAATTTGTGGATCACACAAAGAGTTGTTCCGTGCGGGAACCGAACCCGCGAGACGTTGCACGGCAGCCAGTTATCCAGCCACCGCACCAACCGTGCAGTCGAAGTAGTTGCACTTGTAAAGCCAGATATGAGTAGATCTCGCTAGATAAGTGTAGGGCATTATTAGTTAGTTGGATCACACATAAACATTTGGATCACATAGGTATGTAATAAACACTGTTGCGATTGCAAGCGCAATAATCTTCCTCGGCCCCGGAGCGACAGAAGCTAGAAGTCAAAACAGATGTTTTTTAGTCTGTAAGTAAGTGACTGGCACTCCTTTTCGCCGCACCCAGGGCGAGCGAAATCTGTTGATGAATTTCCTCCTAAAAAAAGCATATTATAAACAAAGGTTCTATAACATGTAATAATAGATTTTAAACTGTAACTAATTGGAAAGTCAATAATCTAAGTACTTGTTTTTAATAATGGTTCTTTGACTTTGTTAAGAGGCTACACTTATTAAAATAATATGTATCGAACACAAGAACTCATTTTGTGAGTTCATGCTAAAGATGCATTATAATATAAAAAAGATAGATTCCTTTTTTTCTCAAACTTACGCAGCCAAGATAAAGAAAATATAAAGTAGATCGCTCGCGATGGGACAAAATCTTTACCATATGCAAGTAAGCATGTGGTATCTCCCGGTGAAGCGCACCATTTTTTATCTCCGTCCATACACGCGAAAGGAAACAAGTAATTTGCTGTCTCGATGCTTGAGACTTGTATTGAGATGCGATAGTTATAATTAAAGACAGCCAGTCATTTTTATGACAATCTATTTATTTAATACATTTGCTAAATTAAGTTTTATGATCGTGCGCACGTCTCAGAATTGTATATATTTTCTTTTCTTTTTTTGTTAAACGTTGCCCCACACTAGAATTTTGTCCTGTGTCGTGGGTGCGTTAACAAACATATACATCACACCCAGCAAGAATTTGTAGATCACACAAAGAGTAAACACTTTCAAGTCTATGTAAATACTTTCAAGTCCTAGATCAAGTTTAGTTAGTTTTTAGATCTTGATATATGGCGTATGGTATGACTGCTAAGTTGACTTACCTAGAAAGTTTGTATGAATACCAGTGCGAGGTAATATCTCTCAACTATAGAGAACTAGATAGGTAATACCTGATAATAGGGGTATCCATCATATTATCAGGTATCACTAAATTAACGTCATTTTTAGAAAAGATAATCAAACGCTTTCCAACTTCACTTGAAACGTGTGCTCTTGACGACGAAACGAAGATTGGTTGTTGTTTTTTATGTTTTACCTCTCATTTTAAACATTTTCTTTCTGTTCTTTTAAAAATAACGACTTAGGCACGTGATGTCACTGAGAAAAGCAAGCCAACATTCAGTTAGCTGCATGACGTCGCCGTCGCGCACGCTACGCATGAATAAGAGTCACGTTGTGACTTGAAAGTAGTAGAGCTTTACTCAGTGATTGATCACGTGAGTAAGTCGTTATTTTCAATATGTGATGTCTCACGATAGTTATAACTCCAAAAAGTTCTTTCTTATTAAAAATTCACATTCACAGAGCTGCCCGCGTGACGAAGCCGCTGGGCAATCTACTAGGAGAATTCCTGGCCTCACTGACCTCTCGAGGACTGTCTCCGAAGAAGCTGGAGCTAGTGGGAGGAAGCCTAGGCGCCCACATCGCGTCGTACGCCGCCGACACGTATAAACTACTGACCGGCCGACGACCCGCTCGACTTACAGGTTCCTACTTATTGCGCCTATTAGTTTTAATAGTAGGTGGATGATCTGCTACTATCCTTCTAATATTATAAATGTGAAAAGTTTGAGAGGATATATCAATGTATGTTTGATATTCTTTCACGCGAAAATGGTTGGACCGATTTGGTTTGTAGATATGTAATATCCTGGACTAACACATAGACATATACACATATACAAGCTAGTTAAAACTATAAATGATTAGCAAACTGAAATGACAGTGGAGTAGAAGTGTTCTAGAGTGGAGACGACTTTTAGGCAAACGTAGTGTAGGGCTCCCCAGCAATGTGGACTTACGATATCCGTAAGGTGGCTGGCAGTAGTAGGGTGAGAAGATCTGAACATCGAGCTCAGTGGCGTGAAATTGGAAAGGCCTATGTTCAGCAGTGATATGTAATGGGCTGATGATAATAATGATATGGTCTCCAATCAAAACTTTATTCACTTACGGCCTTATTATAAAACAAAGTTGTTCTTTGGACTAAGTCTAAACCATTGCCAGTTTTTTGTATTTCGAATTTAAAGGAAGGTGAGAATAAGATACAAAATCTGATTTAAAGGTCTAAACTTTAGAGTTTTAGACAACATTGTTTTTTTGTTAATAAGTAGTTGAGAATCAGAAAAATATATACCTAGAACCGCTGACAGCGTTTAATCTCATATTCAAATAACATAATGTTACAATAAAACTAGTGGAACCGGTAACATAGCTATCTGTCTGCCCAGGACTGGACCCAGCCGGTCCCTGCTTCCGCAACGTGCCTCCCACGTCCCGACTGCATGCTGACGCAGCTGAACGGGTCGACGTGTTGCACACAAACATCGATGGGTTTGGCATACCCGACCGCCTAGGACACGTTGACTTTTATGCTAATGGAGGTTAGTTCATGTGTATTTTTATTGGGAAGCTTAACTAATGTCGTCGACAAGCCACAAAAGTTTGTAGTTTTTGTAGTAGGCATTCGTTTACTGATTTGGGATATTTCTTTTTTAAAACAAAAAGGGAAAATGCTGAACTATGTGAATGTAAACACGTTTAGGGACGTTAGCAAATAAGATTACTTTAAAATTGAACTAAAGCAGGTAATCTCCATACATATTGATTTAAAAAAAAATTGGTTAAAAGTACCTACAGACCTATCTAGCTAAACTGATCATGTTTAATTAATTAGATAAAATTATAATACTAAGTAGTTATTTTAATAGTAAGTAGATATTTTTAGTAAAGAAATTAATTGAATCTATTTATTTCAGGCGAATACCAACCGTACATAAAGGGCGACTTCATAATGCCGTGCTTCCAGTTGTGCAGTCACGTGCGATCTGTGTTCTACTGGTATCAATCGTACAACAACCCCGACAAATTTATCGCAGTACAATGCGACTCAGTCGCAGACGCTAGGCATGGCAACTGTTACGATGGAACATTGAGGACGAATGCTCTAGGTCCTAATACAAATTTCAGTAAGACTGGCGTGTTCTATCTGCCGACAAACGCAAAGTCGCCATATTATTTAGGTTTGAATGGTTTGAAGAAGCGAAAGTATGGCGTTAATGACTATCTCATGACCCCTGCACCTGATGAAGATATAACTATTTAAGTATTTAGTTGGTATATTCATATAGACGGGTATTATGGAGTTACATTGACAGTTGTATATAAATAGGGCAAAACATCTAGCTTTTCTATCTCATAGCTAGATAGATACTGGTTTTGTAGAACTTTGTCATGACAGACATCCACCCATTCAATTTTACTCTTTTCATTTGGCAATAAAGTTCAAAATAGTATTGAATAAATTTAAATTTTTTTGGGTATGATGACCTTCGTACCTATTAAAGAGAGTGCTTAGTGCAATTGTGCTGTGTGTGTGCTGTGTCATCAAATCATCGTAATCAAATTACTTCTCTTGCCCTGGACGTGGCGAGAGGGACTGACAGGTTATAACTGAGTGAAAACCTCCCCGTTCCTTCTCCTGCATCAGGCCGAGGCGCGAATACCTTATTGACCCGCAACCCCGAAATCACCCCTTGATATATTATAATACATTATTGGTATTAAATATTATATTTATGTTTATTTTAAAGTTGAACCTTGCCCACCACTTTAGTACCTGATTTTATAGATTGCGTGACCTGCGTGCGCATGATTGTAATATGTCAATAATCACTAACGTTGAATTAAGTTTTTCTAAGAACATTTGAAAATCTTTGACTACATTCAGAAGTTTCACTAAACTAAGAAGCAAATGTAAATAATTTAAACTCTATTCTGGTAGTTAATAAGGTATGTTTTTGTGTGTAATAGAATACAGGTCGTAACAAACAAGTGTGATTGGAGATTCGAACTTGATTGTAAATACATAAGGTATATTTTATGAGTGGAATGGAATAAAAACAGATAATAATACAAGAGCAATTTTATTGTAAATTTCATCACAATATGCATTAACAACAACTAGTTATTATGTCCCAGTTAGGCCGACAGAGCTTCGATACAAAATCTATCTAAGTAGGTACATATGTACATTACGATTTGTTCCGTCGAAATAGTTGCAGATGCAACAATGGAAGCCATCAGTACTAAACAATATCATATAAAAACACTACTACGAAATTCGTGTATTACAATAATTGATATAACCTTATTTACTGGCTGATTTCAAAAGTACATTCTCAAAAAACTATAATGACAAAAAAATCGCCCGTAACACATAATATTTGCGCAAACAAATGTGAATAAAAAATAATATCATTATCAGCATTATTGTAAAAATATATCTTAAATACATCGGTCGTTATTACATTTAATTTTTCCAATAAATAGTTAATCTATTAAAATAACCTATTTTACGGGGTGTTATAAAATAATCGCTAAGCCTTACAGGTCTTGAAAAGCTTATTTTCTTTTGACTGACTGACCCAAAATGTTTAAACAAAAGATGCAACGTTCCGTGGCCTAACCCAATTTCTGCAAGCATTAGCGTTTATTCTAGAACACCATGTATATAATAACAATCAAATAACACAGATATATGAATAGTAAAGCGTTATATTTCATTGAAACCAAGCGAAAGTAAGGACGACCGCGGCCAACATTCCGTTCAGATCTTTTAAATAATTTTCTATAAAAAATAATGATTCTAAATTATCTGTGCCTTGTATACATACCATAGACAGGCTGTATAACGTTGAGGTCGGTACATTTTTAAGGGAAAATGCGTCACGACGATAGAACATATTAACATGTTTATGTATACTAGCTTACCGGCCAAGGTATATATCATTATATTATTTATACACCCGGACTTTCCTCAAGAATCATTATCCCTTGGAGATAGCCATACAAATATCCGCGACAGGAGGTTTTCTATTATAATAAAGATATGGATAAAACATTCAACCTATTACAGTTTACCGAAAATCCAGCAAATATATAAGCGTATTTATAAACAATAGGTACCTAAGTTAACCATTTTCCATCAAATGTGGACCGACCTTCAATTAATTATTAATTAGGCAACACACAAGCACCAAACGCAACTTATACATCGTAAAAGCATTATAAAGTAATCTAAAAATATTTTTATTGGAATGTAACTACAAGAATAGATGCCAATGTGAAAATTTCATACAGGTACCTTATATAAAAATTACTTTTATTAGATTAGACAAGATATTATATAAAATGTAGTAAAAATGTATTATGTATCAAAATGGATAATATATAACGTGGTATTAGGTACTACACTTATATCAAAATCTATTTAAAATGTTTGTGAACCAACCAATCTACCAATTCTACCAGTAGTAATCTACCAATTCTAGAATTACTTGCACAAGTAATTCTACCGTTATGGTAGATTTACTTTGTCATTAATTGAGTTAATGACAGAGTAAGAAATTTAAAATTTATTTTAATTATTTTATTTTAATTTTTGTTCTTTGTTAACAACGCTATACTTAAATCTTAGTACAGAATGTTTCTAAATTGTGACGTCACACGATAATTCAAATCGATGTATCGGCTAAAGTATTTGATTAACTAACTGACAAGCAAAAAATTTCACAAAGAGGACAGATATTCTTCAATCTTTAGTCTTTATTAGAAATAAATGCTTTTGACTTTTGACTTTAAACATTAAATAGCTAGTCTTAGCTATATTTCCCCGCTGCGTGAGGTAGAACGCTCTCGCCTTCTTTCTCAGTCTATATTTATCGATAGCTTTAAACGTCCTTAACTTTATAGTTAATTTACAAACATTTCAAATCGATATTGACCTCAGTATAAACAAGAATATTGGGTACTGGTCCCACGAAAGAAATTTTAGTTGAATATGTAATTTATAATTAGTTTCTATAATATAATACATTTACGTGGGGTACAGTTCCTTAAGATAAAGGTAGGTGGTTAAAGATAGAATACTTAAATTGAGCTGTACTATTCAAAGATAAGGCTCACTTTTGTCTAACACAGTGACATATCCTTAGTTATACGATACGCGATTATAATACTCGTTACATTGATATGTGCTAAATATTTGGACAGACTAGTTATTGTCTGTGTATATTATACAATTATAGAAAAACCTAAGGCCTTTTAGAAGACTTTACCATTAAAAATGAATCTCATACCGTTATAAATAAGGTTCATTTTAATTTTTATTAGGCTCGAATTTAAACATCGATAAACAACGGTTTCTAGGCCGTGTTAGGACGATATCAAAAGTTTCTTTCTCCGATACAAAAAGCAATTTTACTAAGCATTACCTATTCTGCAAAAGAGACGCCACTATGTAAATGCTCTATCCTCTCCCTCTTCAACAAAATAATGAAAGTTCTAGAACTTTCCCAATCGGACCCTACTCTTACGAAGCTGCGATCACAAGGCATTTTGGCACTAACGTGTATATTCACAAAGTACATTTTTATTTACAAAAAGACTTACTGTAATTCCTTTCAGAGCGACATAAAATACTGTGGAATAATATTGAAGTTTAATAAAATGCAATACTGGAAGCTAAAGGGTGATTGTAAAAACTATTTACGCGAAGAATGTAATTATTTGACAAAGAATTGAATGTATTATATAGCTTGATAATCAATAATCGATTAAGCCAAGAATTCATTGATATAAGAATCAAGAGTACACGTAATAAAAAAATATATTTTCTACAAATAAATGGTATACTTACTGACTTTTACTTCAATCTTGATTAAGGCCTATATTGCGTAATAAGAAGGAACATAACTTTATCAAGACAGCATGTATAATTTCAAAATTCAAATCACAAGCTCGTCAATTGATTTAAAACCTTATATCTACGAGCATAAAGCTTAGATACGGGCTCATGATTTGAAAATATTTGGTCACACTTATACAAGTCATAAACGTCAGAGACCGACTTGAAGTTAGGCATCAAGGCGTCTTCATTTGTAGCTGCATTCAGTGTGGTTCAGTGGAGAATGTAACGATGACGTACTTTCAGAAAGTAGAGTATTTTTTATCTTTTAATAGCATTTTAATAGTGATACTACCATTTTATTATTATATCTTACTGTACCATGACGTCATGGAACGAAATTTGGTATGAAGAAAAATGGACCGAGTTTGCTAGTACGACAAAACTAAGTAAACAGATCGATTCAAGGTTTTTATAGTTACAAAATAATCACCTGTTAACGTTAACATTCTCCATTGAGTGTCAAGAATGGGTACAATGGACCTATGACATAGGAAGTTCAGTGCTCCATAGAGCGGAGCGTGAAAGCACTAGCTACCGAGGTATGTACTCTAAAGGATACCACGCCACGGTCTCTTGACGGAGCGGCAACGTGTTAAGTGGAATGACAACGCCCCCTAAAAACTGATTTTCTTGCAACGAGTCGTAGTTCCAAACTGTGGCTTGAAGGCTCCGTTGGACAACCACTTCCATTGGTAATCTGTATTCTAGCATCTCCATGAATGATGGGTGAGAGTTACGTTTGAGAACGCGAGTCTTTCTCTTCGTTTCTTTCGTCGGATCAGGTACGAGGTAGACCTGGAGAAAAAGAAGATTATTAATAAGACACGAATAAAAAACCAATAATCCAATTGGGCAGTTAGGTCAAAAATATGTTTATCATCTGGTACCTTGTTAGAAAGGTGTCACAGCTACAAAGCGATCTTAAGTTCAATTATTATTGTATCCAATAAAGCAAATTATAGGGAAATTTGTTGTTGAAAAATTCAGTCTTATTGGAAGTTTGTATATGCATCTCTTATTAAAAATAACCTCTTTTTGAATAGTAACTAGAGTAAGACAATAAATTGAGAAAAACAAGAGAGAGAACAAAAGAGTCGCGTTGTGACTTTAAACTAGTGGAGCGTTCATTCACGTGACTAAGTCGATATTTTCAATAAATGATAAATAATATTTTGATAAAACAGTGCGTGTTTGTATTTTAATATGATTGATGCATTTATAAAAAATAATATGTGCCACCTCCGTAGAATTAAAATTGGACTTAACAGTAAATATACATAGAACTCATATTACCTTAACATACGGGTTGGGCGGCAGACCCTGTGGTGTCAATGCGAGCGACTGTGCGTGCAATATCAACACGGAGAGCACTCCACTTGCGTACTGCACGGATAGCTTTAGTGAACCAGAGCCACTGTTCTCTGGTTCTGTTGTTTCACCTGTAAACCGTAATAAGTATGCCATTAGGTTGCTTTTACATTGTTTCATTATGACAAATTATATTTAATATTAACTGTCTATGCTTCGGACGTATATACAACTTACGACAGTAAAAACACAGCTATAAAAGAATAAGAGCAGTCAGTTCAACTGTTCTCGAGGCTCACGCTTAGATATATTTGTATTTAGGGAATCAGTTGTAGTAATATAGAATATCCTTTCTGTTTTTAAAAAATAAAACTGAATTCCAACCAGATCACATTCTTCATATTATCAGATTATCAGTCAAACAGGACCTACAATAATTCACATACAAAATAGACATCGAATTTAAAAAGTTTAATAGTTTTCTTAGGGCTGATTTTTCAATAGTCGGGTAGATGTTATCTGAGGAATAAAATGGTTGCTGACACTGTGTTATACAAATTCTGACGCGACAGCATCACAATTATTCCCCAGGTAACTTTTATCAAACCAATGAAAGATCAGCCTTTATACTTTAAAAAAGTAAAAGTAATATAGTAAGGTTACTGACCTCTCCTCCGTTGTGGCTCCACATCTTGCTGGTCCCTCAGTAAAGGATGGAAGAACGTGTAAACAAGGTCTGAATGAGCGATCTCGTCTGCTAAGCTGAACAATGAGGTCAAAAATGCTTGCACGTCGCCAAACCGACGTTCCGCTACTTGACGGGTGTTGGAACGGCCCACGTATAGGCCTGAAGGTAAACTGAAAAAAAAAACAAATATTTATCTATATAAAATGTTCAAACAAAGATTTTTTTGTATAAATATTATATAAATATATTCACAAAATCTCGGAAATGGTTCTACACAATATTGACAAAATATTATTTATAGTTCTTTTTTTTCAGGTTTCAAGTTAAGAAAAAAGTATACGGTCATTCAGGTACTAATATATGTATAACACTCTATCACCTACGTTAAATTCGGTCAGTGAACTGGAAAAGTAGACAATAAATAAATTATGGATATATGGGCATATTCATTAACAGTTGAGTATTAGTCAGTTTTTTTTGAACGTTTGTTTGTTATAGGTACAAGTGGCACTGAGTCTGCAAATGCGACCTGTTGCAAAAGACGTCTATTTTAACAGAAGGTTTTTACCGCGACTTTGTTCGCGTGGAATAGTGACTTCCCGCCGATTTATGGTTTAATAACTGTCCTATGTCCTTTCTCAAGTTCCAAATTATGTCTGTACCAAATTATCAAATAGGTTCAGTAGTTTAGGCGTGAAGAAAAGACAGATAGACAGAATTACTTTCGCATTTATAATATTAGTTTAGAAGTTTAGATTTAGTAGTGATTTTTAACGTACTTAATATTTAAATAGTGGATAGTTACACTGTTGACTTTGGGGAAAACATAAGTGAAATTTTATATTGTACAAATTATAATTGACAAACACCAAATATGTGCAGTCTATACTTTACTATATTCGATGAAGTGGGGTTATTGAATTGATCAGAATAAAACATATTTATCATTTTCCTTGACGTCAATAAATTTAGTACAAGAATTCCTTGCATGTTTCTCGAAGATTATTACAAACTACGTATAGATAAGAGAATTTCTTTTTGTTTTGACAAACAGATAGTGAAGATATAATCATGAACTGAAAACCTTATTTATTTGACAAGTTGTATACTCGTACAAGATACTAGAAAAGAAATACAATCTACATGCGCCATCAAATTCTTTGGACGATTTCAAACTCAAGTATCTTGTAAAAGAGTCGAAAACCTATTAATAAAAAGGTACAAATCGGACGATGGTGATTTGTAGGTATTGCGTGAGCATTTTTTGCTCATAAACTGCCAGTATAGGTATTTGTTTGCACATTCTACTATAAAATTCACAAATAATTGGGTATTTATCTCAGTGAAACGAAATTATATTAACTTTTCAAAACATTAAAATCCTTAAAATAATCTGACTTTCATTTTATTAATCTGACGTTATTATTACTTAACTATACTATATTTATAGCTATTTTGAAAGGAAAAAGTACACTATATGACTTGCTAGTTCATACAAAATTACAAAAAAGGATTGAATTCGGGGCATGAGATTCGGGCAGCTCGGAGAATGAGAAGGAACGAACGGAGCTATAAAAAGAGTTGATAAATGCAGATAGCGAGCATTTTGCAACACTAGTGCATTGCAAAAGGTTCGCAAGAACCATGTTACCAAAAAAATAATTAAAAGGACACAAACTTAATAATTATTTATCGATTTAATTATTACCCACCAACATTATTGTTTCATGGAAACATATCACTTATTCTATCAATTATTATTATCGTTTATGTGAGGAAAAATTAATCCTTTGATAATCTTGTAATAAATAAATGTAAATTAGTCAGCTCAGATAAGGGGCGTGTGACCGCACGTGTGGCGTACATCTTTTCCTTACTAAAACGTGACTATCGTATATATAAGTCTAAATCCTTATATTATACGCATTCATTGCCGCTACTGAATCATCGGTTACAGGAAAAAGGGTTTTCCAACTCACATTACTGATGCCTACAAAATTTCTTCATATAATATGGATGATAGACCATAGTTATAACAAAACTATGGTCTATCATCGCTTTAGGTGACTAAATGTAAACAGTTTTGGTACCTGTGTATTTATATCTAAAAGTTGTCTTAAAATTTTATGTAAAAATGATTACAATAATAAAGTTAATTTAAATGATCTTTGTATGTATTTTATACGACCTCTTTAATATAAAAAGACATACCAGGATTGTTAACCTTTAGTTAACCACTAACCGATAGACCACAGCTATGTTGTATCTTTACAAAGGCACTTTGTACACCAGTGCATGTGTTTAAAGTTGTATATAAATGAGTGTTTCTCTGAAAAACCTAAACATTTAATCAACAAATCATTTTCCTCCCGAGTTGTTAAGCATCTTAGTTACTTATTTTTATCAATATTTTAATCGATTGCTAGCAGGAAATTGGTGCGATACATTTAATAATTAAATAAAATCATTATTTGTGTTTTAATTAAAGTTAAATTTTAGCAAAGAATAAATATTATTCCTACATGCATTATAACTGTTTTAAATAACGTTTTTGTTAAACACCAGACCAATTATCGATACAATAAAATGTTACATAAAATGAAACCATGACCTAACACACGACATACTAGGTCCTGTTTGAGCTCCTAAAGAAAAGGCTGATTCCTTCTGAAGCGAAAGCAATAGGCATTTCGCGAAACTCACGCCAACACTACCATATATATCCGGCCACTCGATTATACAGAATTATTTCACTTTGATAAGATTACAGTCATTAGTCGACGGTCCCACGTTATCTTATCTGGTAACACAGCCGTATTGATTTAAGCAGTAATGGCTGAACGAGTGTTGTCAACACTTACTCTGTTTATTTGCATTTGAAATTCGTTTTGTTTTTTTTTTCTAATTATATGACAATTACTAGAAACTACGTAAGTAAGAATTGTATGTTACGTCTTGACATTTTTTCCTTGTTTTGTAAGCTGTTGAGTTTCGAATCATTTATGGTATTTAATAGTGTATTTTGAATATTTATTTGTGATAAAAAGTCAGTGTATTATGTCAAAAGTTATACAATACATTTTTTAATGTTTCAGTTGACATAGAAATATTGCTATACTGTTTACCGGTTCAAAATGTTCGGGTTTAAAGCCTCCCTTAACTTCATCAATGGCAATAGAAGAAAATCGAAGAAAGAACGAGATGAGATTGGCGCCGTGCTGTCCGTTACTGGTGCTTACAGAACTAATAGAGACGACTCTTTTGGTAAGTACTACAATTACAACAAGGCAGACTTACTCATGTTTTCTGTAAGTTATTTTATTTATATCACTTACAATAAATTAAACTTATTTCGACATAAATGAAATTTAATCTATTAAATCACAAAATGAATATAAAAATAAACTTCCTAAACAAAATATTACAAAAAGACATGTTAAATTTAATAATACCACGTTTCCAGGTTACAACTACCCAGAGACACGGAAATCAACACCAGCTCTAAACAACCAAACACCCGCCGCCGCTTTGCCACCAGTCCGACCAATGAGACAAGCCAAAAGTACCAGCGACCTCATACTCAACAAAAACCTCCCACCGAACCTACGGCCAGAAAACCCTGGAGTATCTAAGGATCCACGAGGAGCTGAACAAGACCCTCGCAACAACCGAATCCCAGATAAAACACAAGAAAGAAAACTAGACGCACAAATTAGAGTGGACAAACAAAGACTTGAAGCACAAAAGAAGTTAGAGAAACAACGGCTAGAGGAACAGAAGAAATTAGAGAAACAAAGAGCAGCTGAACAGAAGAAAAGGGATAAGCTAGCGTTGAAAGAGCAAGCGAGACAGGAGAAGTTAAGAAAAGAGATGGAGAAGAAGAGTAAAAAGAATAAGGCGCCACCGCCGCCGTTAGCTCAACAAGCGAAGCAACCTGTACCGCAGCAACGACAACCTCAACCAAGCACATCGAACGCCCAACCACCCACACAAATGCCACACTCAACAAATACTCTAGAAAGTTCTATCAGTAAGAGCAGTGGGCCCCCTCCATACTCTGCTTCGAAACCAGAAGGAGAGAAAGATGTTAGTGGTAATGTTACTTATACGAAACCAGTTGAAGAGGACAGTTGGGACATGATCTCCAAACACAGAGAGAATATGAACAGGGCCGCCGCCGCCGCCGCAGCTACGGCAGCCGCAAAGACGTCAGCCAAGCAAACAGTAATGGACCTTAACTACAAAATAGGGGAAGAAAGTAAAGACAATAGTGAAGCCTGACAGGATTACGTGTGAGTTTTGTTTATATGTTTGTTAAGTGTTGAAAAGTTCGATACATTTGTTATTTATGAAATAAATTTATATTTTCATAGTAAATTAGTTTGCATTGTGCATGAACTGAGACATATTTCCACTTGGTTTAAGGTTATCATTAGGTCTTTATACTTCGTCAAAATATACAAAAATAATAGATATTCCACTCAAAAACGATAAAAACCCAAAGGGCTTGTTATTATTATAATCTGCTCTATTATTTATTACAATCAGTCCTTCGACCCAATGTACGTAAATAGTTAAACACTTAATACCCATAAAGATTATAAACAAAAATTTGCCTAATCTACTGATAATATGACTCAGGTATGGAAATAAATTTCAAAAGGATCTAGTTTAGATACTGTACAATCGACAAATTTTAAATATGACCCACTACAAACTTAACACAGCTACCAAAACTTTAAATATCATGAGGTAGAAATTCGCGTAAAAACACATTTTTGTTAACACTCATAGTTTTTGTTACTTTAACAAAATCAAAACATTTACAGCAAGTACACAACTAAGTTTTTTTAAGCCGGTACTTTGCCAACAAGCCTTATCGACCCTTTGTTCTTAAAAGATGCGTTACCTAAGCGCGCGCTTCAGTTCACCTAAGTGTACCCGCAGTTAACCAAGTAGGTTATGACTGAAATTTGTCCATTGTACGATAAAATAGTGATATCATACCAGAAAATAAATGTCTCAGTTATACGAAGACATTTTAAACTTTTGTTTTGAATGTGTATCGAGGATTTTACTGATAAATTGTTATTTAATCTTATCATTAATGATTTATGTAACAAGAATTCTTAGGGACAGCAATTAGGTAATGCGATGAGCTTGTTAACATGTTCGAGGTAAAGTATGAAGGTAAATGATAAAGATAAAGGTTAAGTATCGGTTTAAACTGATGATATTTCAACTGTGTCTTTGTTAACGACGTTTATGTTTATAGAAGTTGATTTACTTTGAATAGCTAGAAAACTGTAGCACCACTTTCACATTATTTTAATTTGAAAACGTCTAATAATTTGGTAAGCAACTTTTGCCGCGCCAGACATAATTCCAAAGTCTGTTTAACTACAGAGACTGGACTGCAAAGAATAAAATTGAATAATACTGTTAAGCAAGTCAACTAGCTTTCTAGCTGTCTAACCTGCAATTGAGACTACAGTTGCTTTTTTGTGAGGGGAAAATAATCAAATGATCATCTCCTGGGGCGAGATGGAGTGTTAGACTAATACTGAATAAAAACCCTCGTTCTTTCTCCTACTGCAGGCCGAGGCTGCGGTGCCTTATCTATTTACACTTGCTTGCACAGCCAACAAAAGTATGCGGGGACATACATTCAATTAATTAACGTTAACACTAAGGCGTCGTGTGTCGCGCCGTGATGCTTATGAATGTGAGCCCCTAGCGTGACCTGAAACTAGTTCTGTGCCTCGTCAAACAGTTAAGTGATTAAAACCTATAAACAAAAGGATCAAAATAAATATAATTCATTAATTTACTAGCAAAACGCCCGGCTTCGCACAGGTGCAGTGCTAAGACTGAATTTCCCCATTATTAACTTAACGGATGTTAATGTTACTATACAATAATAAACCATCCTCCAAATTACTCGATTAAAAAGCCGTATCAAAATACGTTGCGTAGTTTAAAAGCTTTGAGCATACGTAAGGATAATAACAGAGAATGCGACTTTGTGTTATACTTTGTAGTAATTTTCACGTACCTGTGTACTTTAGCAAGGGGGAAGTGTAGACAAATCTTCTGGTATAGCTCGGTGAAATGTTTGTACGACCTGTAGAGCACGAATGGCGTCGTCTGGCCCTGTCTGAAGATGCGTAGTGCGTACACGTAGTGCTTTTCCGGGTCATAGCGCTTCTCGTAGCCAAGACATTCGACGCTTATCAACCGACCTTCTTGTGCCATCCTGTATAGGAAATAATAGAAAAATAACATACATCAAAGAAAGATTTTCTTTTAATACATATTAATAGGTCTCTCTAGAATACGGTAGTTTCCAACTAGTGAAATTCAATACTTTTATCCAAATGTATACTTTTCTATGAAATTTGTGTGAAAAGCTGAGTTATGACGTCATAACATTTTTGCGTCAAATAGCTTACTTATTTCTTAATAATTTGTTAAAAAAATCTAAATTTTAGTGTATCGATCGATCTATGAATAAAAGTATAGTTACTTTTCAATATTTTATTGCATTGAAACGTCGAATTAATTTATTTTTTACCTAGGAAACTACCCAATCTCTATCATCATGCTAGCTAAAAATTATTGAACATACATACAAACATCAATTTAGAAGGCTTACTTTCGTTAATTTTTAATGTGTAATATACGCAACCTAACCAAATAATATTATAACATTATTAGCATTGAATCGACTTCTTACGAAGATCACACTACCCTACGCTGTGAATGATAGAATTACAGCCATATTTTACTTTCTAATAAGGTCGATAATCCATTGTATAATTGTTTTTACGGGATTATACAAAGAATCGCTTTACTTACGTGTACGTTCGTGGCATGAACGATAGCAGTTCGCTAGTATTGCTGCTTTGGTCGCCACTAGCGCGGAGTTGTGCCAAGTTGTGCAGGAAGAAGTTGATCGGTGTGAATCTGTTACAATACGAATAATTATTATAATATCTAGAATGTATAACATCAAAAATCTTGAGTAAGAAAAAAAGTTTACTGTCTATAAGTATTATTATTGCCAAATTAAGTCATGCATAATAAAAAAAATGCCAGTTTCGGAGGCTATAGCCTTGCTGCTTTGGAACAATGGCTGCGGAAACACAGCATAATATTGCAATTGTAGCTATGCCAGTGTTTGTTTACTATCAACAAGGCATGTTCTACCAAGAGTAGTATAAAAAATATGTAGGTAGGTAGCAAAAACCATATAAATTTCTGGGAGAAACTCAACGCAATAGTAAGTGCGAGATAGCGTTATGTGGGAGTGAGAGAGCAAGACGACGGAAGGTTGGAAAACAGGCAAAATAAGGGATAAGGAGAGTGAGAGACGAATTGAATGCAAAGCAGAGATACAGAAATAAAATTAAAATAGCTTAAAGACGGTAGCTCTCACTGGGAAAAATCCCTATACCCCACATTTCTGCCAGTATTTATTTTTGCGTCAATTGAATTTAAATAATCAAAATTAGTACCGTAAAACAGGGTGAATAGAATTTGAGGGGTAAATAAATACACAAAAGGGGTGAATAGATGTTGGCGAATTTTCCTTGTTTCTATTCACCCCACTTTTCTGTCTATTCGCCCCGTTTTACCATATTTAATATTATGTTGATGGGCTTTGATTATTAATATGTCTAGATGGAGCGTCGCCCTACAATCATAACAAAGAAAACGAGTCAACTATTTCAAGCTTGTGTGCGTGCAGGCGTCGTATTACATTGTGCGTCTATGTCTTTGTGTGAGTAAACAATACGGAATAATGATACCAGCTACTACAAATTCTCCCATAAATAACATTAAAAATCGAATAAATAAAAAAGTTGAGGGTTGTATGTATGTACCTAGTGTTATTCAGTTTTAGTGTATTTTTATAAAGTTGGCGCTGTTTTAAATAAATGAAAGACACTTATTTAATTAAAATTGGGTGGTAAAATGTTGTTCTTGGAAGTCGGGTAATAAAAAATCTGTTCAAAAGTTATTATATAATTTATCGTCTCATCTCCGAAATTATTAAGCCTAAAATTAAGAAAATATACTAAAGATAATATTTACCCATAGATTCCAGGAAAATATACGATTTAAAAAATGTTTTAGTTGGGAACCCTTTGCACTCGATACCAATTTGCATTTGACCAGTAAAACTTTAAAAAGTACATGAACGAAATTGTGTAGACGTAACCAAAAACAAACTAATATTTACCCACAAAAATGCCGTTAAGTTGGGAGAATGAAAAACAGAAACTGGCAACACTGATAAGACGAAAAAATATGGCGTCATTTGGTAAGAATTAAAACAAAAATTAAATATATGTAATTTTCTTGGCTACTTACTGATGATAGGTGAGGTGTTTGGTATATTTTGCCCTTCCTTTATAATTCCGGCACATTTTTATAGCACATACCGTCATTTTATCGCTGTTATTAGTTTTTTCCTTAGCGCGCGTAATGCGTAGTGACAATAAAGCGACACGATATGTACTGATCGGCGGGTAAGCACCTGTCGGCCAACAGTTGGCCGACACTTTTTGACACGTTTGCGCGCACTTGACACTCTATCTAGACATATTAATAATCAAAGGTTGATGGGGGTAACATACTTGCTCTTAAGCGAGGAGTGTATGAGTCGTGCGAAGGCGGCGGCGGCCTCCGCGTTGGTGGCGGCCGGCAGCAGCGCCGCGCGGACGTACCCCACCGCCGCGCTCGTCACGCCAGACACGCCCGACATCGCCATCTGGTTATATTTTACACTATTATAACAAGACCTTGACAAATACGACGGCAGTGTATGTCAAACTATATATTATATTAAGATCTCGATGTATACAATACACTCAGAAATAAATAACTATTCTATTCTATTCTAAATAAGAGATGATATATAATGTTTCTATAGTTTTCTAAAAATGTCTCAAAATATAGCCCGGTATATGGCGATAAACTCGTCATTTATTATATAGGACTTCATAACATTACTTGTAACGAGTTGATGTACATTGCCTATCCTGCTTTATGAGCGAAAAATCGTCTCTAAATATCTTTTTAAAACAGGCCCCTAAGAGTCATGATATAAAGCGATATCGGAGTCATGTATTGACCGCATTATAAAAATTGCATTTGGGCTGTGCAAAGAAATTGCGATGTGCAGGTACTACATTGAAGGTCAAGCCGTGACATTACGATCATTACTGCGCAACTTTTTAGTCTCTTAACGAAGTGACTAAAAAGGCAGTCTACTTGCAACCACGGCCTACGCAGCCAAGTCGAAACGACTGAATAATATGAATAATATGTTGTTATCACTTAACGAAATTCAAAAAAGTATCGAGAAAAAGCTGCGAAAAGAAGAGATCCTTACACGTAAAAACTAAAGTACATAGACCTTAAGCGACATCAGCGCCATCTAGCAATTGCAAAAATGAATATTGCTATAAAGAAAGAGACAAAAATAGTAAAAGGTGTACAGACCAGTGCGAACAGGTCGAGTATATGGTCATGATGCGCCCGCACGACGTTGAATGCCATGCAGCAGAGCTCCACGAAGTGTTGGAAGCGCTGCGTGGGACGCTCCCCGCCGTTGATGACGTACACCATGTCGTGGGTCAACACGAACGGAGCACGGTCCCTGGGAAATACAAACTTGTTATAACTTACCTACTGAAATACTAATTATAAACAAAATGGCTTGTTATTTGTATATAGAGAAAGCTATTTTTAATTTGACATTCAAGTCGTCTTCATGTTATAAACGTACTTTCATGACGGACGCCTTTTATCGACTGCAATTCAAAGGCTAGCGCCTACTAAACATCCCATTTGTAAGTTACTTTTGTTATCCTGCATTCTAGTATGTTCGATCCGTCATTTCTGTATCAATATTAAGAGACATTCTTATATATGTACATTCCACATTCAACTTGCACCAAATAAGAATGAATAATTTGTATTCCTTGATTAACTTACAGATTGCTTGAATCAGCTTACCTCTTAAAATTACCAAACATCTGGGCGTCGCCGAGGAACTTGCCAAAGTCTATGTGGAAGAGATGTCCCGACGTCTTCAACATAATGTTGTCGTTGTGTCGATCACAAATACCGAGTAGATACGTCGCTACACTGTATCCGGCACATGAAGCTAAAAGAATATTTTAATAAAAGATAAAATTACAAGTATTAACAAATTTAAATTTAAAACAATTGCCAAACTAATGTTTAGTAATAATGTACCTGTGAAGTTATCCCTTGCGCGTTGATATTCCAATTCTGAAGGATTATGTTTCGCTAACCATTCCGCTATAGGTTTATCCTTAAATGATCCTGTTAATCCCCATTCCGTTTGAATAGCGCGGAGTGTTTCTGCTTCAGAGACGATTTCGATCATACCTGAAATACATATCTTTATGTATAAAAATTTCGTGTCACGTGTTTGTCCGCGATGGACTTCTAAACTACTTTTGATAAAAAACTCAAAAAACTTTGATAAGAACCTTCTCCTGACTATAAAAAACACAATAAAAAAATAATTAGCAAAATTGGTCCAGGCGTTGTTGAGTTATGCGCTTACCAACACATTTTGCGATCCATTTTTATATAAAAAGAAAATGAAGCTATATTCCTATTTAACCTATAACCCTTTAGTACCTGCATTCAAAGTAACTGACTTAAACTTTTAACTTAAGTTTTCGCATGATATCACTTTATCAGCCTTAAGTGCCCGCTGCTGAGCAAGGTCACTCGGGGAAAAAAATAATAACGTTTGCTCAAGGCCGATTATAGTAATTTCATCTTATTATAAAAAAATATATGACCAGGTTTCGTCACAAAGATTGCCTTCATCGTATAACAGTGGTGTCTTATCGCTTCCTTTTGTTCTCACGACGCGCCCGTCCACTGCCGGTCAGTGGCGAATATCCGCTCGAGTTAGGACCATATGTTAAGGCAATAAGGATTTTCGCACTAAAACTACGTGTGGACCGTTTCACTTTTTATTTTGAACTAACTTAATGACGGTTTTTAGTGGACTGTATAAAGGCAAAAGCTATAACTATAGCTAGGTAGGTAACACACCCTCATGTATGAGAAGCGGACGCCTTAACTTCTAGGCCACAGCAACGTTGAGTTTTAAGAAATTATAATAACGTATTAAAACATTGCCTTACCTCTTTTATCACTAGTAGGAAGAGCTTGGAAGGTGACCATCCGTAAATCGAGACCGGCTTTCAGCCAAAGGCTATCCATTACTTTAATAACTTGCAGCACCAACGCGTCTTGCCGTAAATCGTCTCCGACCTAGAGTAAATATGAAGAAAAAAAACATAATGTACACTACAAATTACTTTAACAGAAATTATTTGAGTGAGTCTAGAAACATTATTAAGCAACAAGGTTCCGTCGTTGCGGGTGCAAGCAACAGTGTTCCTCAGCCCCGGAAGGGCTGGAGAAGGAGAAGGCAGTCTGACAAACTAACCCACACTCTCCTTGCCCAGGTCGGTAGAAGTAATTTGATGAGAATCCCTCCTCAAAGAAAAAGTGAGTAATCAAATCCTTGAATAGTATTTAAACAGTTATTTAAGTTACAAGTAGAAAATCTTTAAGAGCATTTATGCAACACGCGTTTTCATCAAAGTTTCCATTCAAATATCATAGAAATTACTGACCCGATTTTAATGAAACTTTGTACTCATTTTTGGAGCAGAGAAGAGTCGAAAAAGGATAGGGAAACCTTTGCTCCGTAATGGGATGACAACGGCAAAAATAAAATGAAATGTACTCTCAATCGTAACATAAGAAGGTATTGTTATTTAGATATTTATCACTGGGTTGTTTGTCCTAATTACCTATAATTAAACTTTTTGTTGTTCTTACCTTAAACATAGCCGGTATTACGGCATTGTCGTTGCCGATAAAGTTAATCTTGAGCGGCAACGTATTGGAAGCGAAGTACATGCAAGATCTGTGAAGAGAAGATTTGTTTATTTCAGAAAAAAACCATAAAATACGTATTTAAAAAACAATGTAAGTAACCTTATTTAAAACTATATTATTGATTAACTAAATAAAACTATTTGAAATTTTAACATTTCATTTCACTTAATGAATATGAGGAAAACAGTTGACGTGTTTCTTTCTATTTCGCTAGGCTGATCGAGTGGAAGGAAGATATGTAGGTATCACGAAACCAACTAAGCCGATCGCTCGAGCCAATCATGCCTCTCCCTCGTTCGTGCTGCTCTCTCGCTTGTGGAACGCGACAGAGGGAGTAACGGGACAAGGACGTCATCTTTTTCGTGCATGCAGACCGTAGAGTATAGAGTTAATAGTCGTTGTCAAGTAAAAAACTTAAGATAAAGTTTTAGATAAGTATCAAATTTATTAGGATTGACGACTGTTAAACATGTTCAAATTTGTAGTTTTTCTATTGTGAGCTCTTGCTAAAAGGTTTGGCTGAATCGTTACCACCATATATATAGTATATTATAATAAGTATAAGTATATATTATATATGTATATGTTATTTATAAATATGTTATTTGAGTACTTAGTTTATATATATTATATTGTAACTTGTATGTAAATATTTGCACATATATATGTATCTATCTCGTCTTCACTCATTTAAATTTAAGTGTTTGCTTGCTTCTTGCACCGACCATTGGCTCATCTCTGCATCACCCAAGGCTCGACTGGTAGAAAATGCCTAAGGCATTAAGTCCGCCTATGTACCCATTGTGCATGAAGTTTTAACACATTCAGTGCCCCCGACGCGTATGTGTGTTTCCTCGCACGCACATACGCGTCGGGGGCACTGAATGTAATAAATAAATAAAAAAATATTGTAAGTAATATAATAGAGTGGTGTACTGACTTGACGTCGACGTCGTGCACGTATTTGTGCAGCGCGAGTGGCAGGGCGGCGGGCTGCGCGCGCAGTAGCGCGGCCAGTCGCTCGCCGCCGCTCGTCAGCGCGCGCGCCCGACCCGTCTCCTTCGCGTCCTTCACGCCCTGCGCTACTTCCGATAGCGTCTGGAAAAGAAACCAACATTCATTCATCTCGATGTTACTTTCTATGGTATCTATTACAAATCTGTACTACTGTGATGTTGGAAAACGATAAGTTATTTTTCCTACTAAAATACCGTAAGTTCGAGTTTGACCCTATTTTTTTGTCAGGGGTAACTCATCAAATCAGTTCTCCCGCCCAGAGTTAGGAGGGAGGGAGTGCCAAACTTTTACTGACTTAAAACCCTCGGCATCGGCCGAGAACAGGCGAAAGAACGTGGTCCTACTCATACTCTAGGCCAAGCCCACGGTGCCTTATTGCACTTACCCAGCAAACCTGGGAGGTAACTTTGATCAACATTTCCAAATCAATGAAAAAGGAATATACTTTTGGTACCTTTACTTTAATACACAAATGATATACGAAGCTACATAAGGCCGACTGAACTCTAAATGGCATTTTCTGTCAGTCAACTTTAGGGTTTAGTGGGAAATCAAAGAACTATAAACCTAAACACACTCCTGACTTCTAATTACCTTAACAAGTAATTGCTGCCGTAACAACGTAGTATGCAAGCTCTGCCCCGCAGTAGCGAGCAAGGCGCGCAGTAGCAGTCGGTACCTCCACGTGGCCGCTGTACCAGCGTCACTCTCCGCCGACTCTTGAGCTCCTTCTTCAAGACTGATACCCAAGAACTCTTGGTTGGGGGCCTAGATGACATGAAAATGCTCGTTAATAACCAAGGAAGGAAATAAAAAACATGTAGGTTAAGGAACGAGCATACAATTTTGAGCAGATAATATATTTGAGCCCCGGTTATATTCGAAACTAATCGAGCGCCCTAAGCATGCGTAGTGCAATGTAATAACATAAGTAAATCGTATCAAAAATAACATACAATTTAGTTTTTCTGACTATTATAAAATAATAGGGTAAAACATTTTCGTTAGTGTCAACTCAAATACAAATATACTTACAAAACTATTTTACTTACTTGAGGTACATTTGGTAATGAATGGACTAGCAGCCAGAACAACCGATGAGCTACGGCGGGTGCGGAAAGTGCACGAGATAATAATAATTCTGTAATAAGTAAAAAAGCAACGTATTACAAAACATTCATGGTAAGTATCTAAAGTAATTATTGTGGCTTAAATATCTAAAGTAATTATTATGTTTCGCAGCTTAATTACGTAACTATGAGTTACGACGTTCTCAGTGCTGCGCATAAATATGAGACCCTAGCATAGCTCGGAAATAGTCGAGATATCTCGCTAACAAGTCAAGAGAATAAACCGTTAAACTAGAAAATAACTTAAAAAGTTATATACAACATTCAGTGTATGTATATATGTTACGGCTAAAGGTAGGTGTGAACCTAAACTTAAGATTAGCCGGCTAAACCTAGGTTTATCTTCGAGAAGCAGCTAAAGTTCGATAACATGTTAGTTTGCGTCGTGATATTCCATCTTTAGCCGGTTAATGTGCACATTAACCGAAACGAAACGGCTAAAAATGTATTCGATAGGCGCGCCGGGCCGGCGGAAGACTTAAGGGGGCGCGGGCGGTGGGGAGACAACGCGCGCGCACGTGGCTATTGTTTTAAGTAATTAAGAAGAAGTTTTATTTGGTAATTTTAAATACCTACAGAAGATTCTGTAATGACCAAATGGTTCCTTATTATTTTATTTTAATGATTAGGTTAATATTGTTTTAACGACGACACGTTTGGTCTAGTGGTTAGTAATGCTAGTCACAAGACCAAACGGTCGCGGGTTCGAATTCCGCTAGGGGCAGATGTTTGTGTGATGAGCACGAATATTTGTACCCGAGTCATGGATTTTTATCATATTTATGTATGTTTATCCGTTATCTAGTATCCATAGTACAAGCTTTGCTTAGTTTGGTACTAGGTTATTGATGTGAATGTCAAAAAAAAACTAATTAAAATTTTGTAATTGTAATAATTGTTACTTTGAATACCTACATATTACATAAAAGTATGTGTAATGAAAGTGATTATTTTTTAATAAAGTTTTCGTGTCAAACTAGTAAACATTATTACATTGTTTCCTTTTCCATGTCCTTCTTCATTTTTAGCCAAGGACCTGCAGCTACACCTAAGTTTAGCCGGCTAAAGATAGAACAAACTAACATTAACATTTCGTCGAAGATAAACCTAAGTTTAGCCGGCTAATCTTAAGTTTAGGTTCACACCTACCTTTAGCCGTAACATATATTTCATATCGAAAACTTGGATTCGTTTATTCTAACTTCTTCAATAGTTTCCCATGCTAACAGTCAACGTCCTACTCTTCTCAATTAACAACTTAAATTGTTTTCATTGTTAAAAAAGTTTTTATTATTATTGATTACGCTGACGTCATATCGTATTATGTTTTCTATACAATATTTCTAAGGTAAACACAGACCTGCAACAGGGCTGGCCTCGTAGGTCTCGTGTCGTAAGGCCTGCACTAGTTGCGGCATCACGCGACACAAGTCGTCGTCCGACATCTCATTGATGAGGCGCGTCGCCGTCTCACGGACTGCGTGGTCGGGGAAACTGAAAAAAATATATTAGTGTTAGGTGTAACTTTCTAGTTGCGAGGCAGGTGCTATAAGGTACCGCAGGCTCGGCCTAAAGCAAGAGAAGGAATGGGTTTTTTTAATAAGTATGAGTGACACTTCCTCTCGCCTAGGCGAAGGAACCCACTTTATGATTTTCCCCTCACAAAAAAAGCGATAACTTTCTCACGAAACGACACAGGAGGCCACGATTTTGCATTAAGGACCAATCTCTGGTCCCCGATCATCTAACACGTACTTATCGACCAGTTATTAATTGCTTATTAAAATAAGACCTATACGATTAATTCTATTAATTATTAGATATTTAATCTTATTATTATTAGTATACTTTTTTACTACACTTACCATGGCAACAATAAATGCATGGCGTTCAAAGGCGAAGGTTTCTCCCATAGGTTAAGCAACGCGATGAGATGTTCTCTATGTTCCCCGTACCAGTTCGTAGCTGCCATCAACACTAGAGGCAACGCTCCAGCTAACTGAACTAGGTATTGACGTTTCTCCCACATTATCTGAAATAATAAACATGGAGGCAAGAGACGATATTAACCGTTGATCTTTAGATATTTTCAGTGTGCAGGATAAGCCAAAATGAAACTTTAAAATTTGATTATTAAAATTTTAACTTTAATAATCAACTTTGAAAGTTTGCGCTTCGTGTCAGTGCCAGATATTTTTTTATTTTCATAAAATATAGCTACTCTCGCGCGGTTTCACCCGCTGCTCGGCTCCATTTAATCGTAGCGTGATGTTTTGTAGCCTATAGCATTCAGGAACATTGTAGCTATCTATCATTGAAAGAATTTTGGAAATCCGACCAGCGATTCCAAAGATTACCCCCTACATACAAACTTACAAATTTTACCTTTTTATAATATTAGTATAGAAGTATGGCTTTAATTGAGTTAACGAATAACTTGGTGATAAGTAATCTCCGTCACCCATGAACACCGACAACCCTAGGCGATTTACGTACCAAAGTTGACCCGGGCCAATTTGATAGAAACATAATCACATACCATTGCTCAATTATAATAAATATTATAATACACACAAAATATTATATTATTTGTATCCTACCTCTCTACATTCGCTGGGCATCCTCTGGTAGGCTCCCTGCTCGATGAGTGCGAGTAGCTGTGACTGCGTGTGACCGTCCAAACTGTCAAACTTGGGCAGGTCCTCCTGTTTCAGCTTCCTCTGCCTACCCTCCTCTCCGTTCGTCCATTTCACACCGTTGTGAGCATACAATGGGATTTCTGAAAAGAAAATAACATGAAAATAAAGCTTGAAACCGAGTTGTAGGCGTTACCTTAATAATTAGCGCTCTGATTGGTTTGTCCTGGCCAATCACAGCGTCGAACGTCATAAATGTGTGGATCGCCTTAGAGTCAAGCAAACGTGCACAAGCAAATATGTTGTTTTGTAACTACACAAATTATAAAAATATATATTATAGTACGTGAAATAAATTTCAGAGCTTGTGACTGTTTTTTTATTCTAATGTCTAGAATTCTTACCAATATTAACAACGGGGAAGGTTCCGGTGGGCGAGTGCATGGGATGCGGTGCGGGGCCGATGCGGCGGTCGCAGTATGTCGGCCATAGCGGTAATACATAATTACCCGACGCTAGCATACTGAAACCAACAATTTTAATTAATTCACCTTTATCAAGAACTATAACAACAACAACCTGAATCAGCAATACATTGATAATTGATAACGACAAAAATCAATTTTCTAAATTTGAGATTTTCGACCTTATCCTTTTGCGATAAAGTTTAAAATCTATTAATAAGATACTACTACTTAACTACTACGATCGAATTCTACCACTATCACTGTCGAGACCTCAAACCAAAATCTGTCTGGAAGTGGTAAAATAATTGGAAAGAGGTAGAGGGAACAAAGAGATCTTTTTTTTTTTTTTTGTCAGGGGAAAATCATCCAATGACTTCTCCCGCCCAGGGTAAGGCGAGAGAGAGTGTCAGACTCTTACTGACTAAAAACCCCCCCGTTCCTTCTCCTGCTGTGGGCCGAGGTCGCGGTGCCTCATTGCGCTTACCCCGCAGCCCCGGCTAAACATCAGCCCTTTAGGGCCCCGACTGTGGTGGTCTATTGGCTCTTTGAGGCGCGCGCGGAACGCTACGCGCCGTACGCTCGGGTCCGGTTCTGGTCGGGCGGCGAGCTACCCTTACTCGCCGTCCGCAGACCCGCGCTTACGGTGGCCGGAGATCATCTCTCGATCCCCGACGTCCGGAATGTCGCCTTCTGCGGCGGCTGGGGCGCGAGGAGGATAGTTCCCTCACGCGCTCCGCCTCCTCCTTTGCGAGCATAACTGCTTCGCAGAAGGAGGAGATAGCTTCCCAGTTCCTCTCACGCTGCACCATGGCCTCGATTAAGGCCGGGCGCGAGAGGTCGCCGCCGCCGATCACTTCCCTGAGAACACGGCGGTGCTCAGCCCAAGCAGGGCACTCCGCCACCGTATGCTCCACCGTGTCCTCCAGGTGATCCGCACAATGACGACACTCGGGCGAACAAAGAGATCTAGAGACTGTTTTTTACAATAAAAGTCAAAAATCATTTATTCCAATTAGAAATCAAGTTTTGAAGATATGGTGTCAGTCTGTCGGTCAGTCCTCTTAGTGAAGCTATTTGCTCGTTCCAAAGTGTAGATTCCGATGGAGAAGAACGAGCAAGAAACTCCATGGTTACTCTTTTAAATCAGTTTCACATACAGATTCCTTTTACAAGCAGTTGGTTCAATTATGTGAGAACAGTGTAACACTAATATTTATTCAAATATAAAATAAAATAATTTTATATTTAAGGCCTCAAATCTAACTATGGCCACCTTTGTGCCATTTATTCCTTAACTGTCATACATTTTGACAATATTCTTCTACTGGCAGACTTCATAGTGGACTCTGTTGTAAATCACACTTTCCAATTCCCATGTAGCCGATACTAAGATAGAACAGTCTATAAACGAACTAAAATGTTCAAACAAAATAAAACACTACATACCCATCAAAATCGAACATCTGTATAGCAGCCCAGCCAAGTTCCACCAGATCATACTGTATATTCATGTTGATTTCCTCCGAATCCTGCGCCTGACTGTCATGGCCGTCCACCGTGCGCTGCGACCGCCCGTAAAGGGTCATTACTAGGCGAGACTCGCGCGGCAACGTGTTTACTGGCACGTCTTCTAAGTTTAACCTGGAATAAAGATTTTTTTTAAATAGGTCAGCCATGTTTTGATCTCACGTTGGGGTCGACGTATTCTAGAGTGGAGTGACTATGTGGACTGACGACATCCGCAAGCATCGAGTTCAATGGCAAGTAGTTGGGGAGATCCATGTCCAGGAGTGGACGGAATCAGGCTGATGATGTTGATTATGAGCCATGTTCCAACACGAATGGGCTAACACGAGCGAAACTAACGCTTACGTTGTGTTTTGCAGTATTATGGAGGTTACTCGAAGCCTAATCTTGCATACTATCCCCAATCCACACAAATTCCTTTTTTTGTAAGAAAATCATTAAATGCCTTCTCTCACCCAGGATAAGCCTAGAGGGACTGTCACACGCTTACTGCCTTAAAACCCGAGCGGCCGAGGCCGCGACGCCTTAATGTGCTTGCCCCGCAGCCCCGGTTGAAAATCCTTATATTCCGTACAACCCAAAAAAAGTCGACAACGCAATTGGTAACTCATTCGGTATTGCCGATGTTCATAGGTAACCCATCATCATCCATATTTGACGGCATATATAATACAATTAAAAAAACTATATAACTATATTACAATTAAAAAGTCTTAAATTATGTTCCACTTACCAGGTATCAAAAATGATTCTAGGATAGAAACCACCGCATTCGATCCTAGACGGTTGTGTAACGTGTAATGACTTCAACGGTCGGGTTCCGTAGAAGATTTGCGCTTGGAACAGATAGTCATCGTGATTCCAACACAGTGGTAAACAATGCACTGCTTCTATACAGAATAGTGTCGCTTCTGATATCGTGTGCGCTGGGACCGCTTCTGTAAAAGTAGGATATTACAATAACTTACAGTACGGCCGCCGTATCTTGGCGAGTCTGAAGTTAGCCGTTTGTCTGCGCAATGGGTCTTTTATGAACAAAATTGGCTACTCGGCTAACTTCAGACTCGCCAAGATACGTCGGCGGTATTGTATTTGTTAGAGTTTACTCGAGCCTGGATTATGGTTGCTGCATTTGGGACTAAATTTGTTTTCACTACTTTCGCTTCTTATATATTTCATATACTCATCTGCCTACTCTTTTCGACAATAAGATGGAATTTGTATGTTATATCATTTCTAAGTTAAACGGTTTACGATTTTCTCGTACTGTTTCGAAAAAATCCGACTAATTACGAGCTACATCGGGGCCTATATATAATAACAGACTTACGAGTACATCGTTTAATTTATATAACCTCAATTATAAGCAGACAGGATAACTTACTGGCAGTATTATTAGGCGTAAGATACTGTGTATCAGTGAGATGGAAGTCTAAGAGCCTGGTTCTTCCGTATAGCGCTAATAAGGCACGCACGGCGTCCCTGACTCGGGCGCATTGAGCCGCGACTACCTCCCGCCGCGTCGCGCCCCGCAATGATACCGAACAGTAAGGACCTTTGTCCGCTTCTATTTCTGGTGTTACCCCGTTCTTAAGGTTCTGGAATGAATAGAAAATTTGCTTGATTGATATTTATGTATCATGTTTAACACAGTTACAATATATTATGATATGAATATAGCCGTCAAAATCGTTACGAATGGGTAAATGAGAAAATAAAGGAGTAAAAACAAAAGCCGAACGAAATTTAGTATTATCAAATTCTGTAATAACTACATTACAATACATAACATTACATTTTGACTTATCCGAAAATTACTACTTAATATGACAAACGTTTTTGTTTTTGCTAAGGATTATGGATATGTGGATGGTACCTTTTTTCCAAGTATAGCGGGCGAGTGTTGATTGAACATAGGTACATAATAATAATCATATCATCTTAACCAAAAGCTCAAGCTCAAATTTAAGGCAAATCCATAATAAAAACACTTCGTACATACCTGTGACGTACAAGCCTGCGCAAACGCATTCAAAGTGTGTGTGACGTGTAATGTCTCGACTCCCCCGGCGAGTGCGCATATCGCCTTCACAGCTTGGAACACTGCTTTTGGAGAACAACAGCCTTCCGCGCCCGTCACACCTACTGCGCGGGATAACTCGCCTTCTAGAGTCTCTGTAAATCAAGAACATTTATGTTGATTGAATAGCTTTAATATCTTCTATCTTAACCTTTTAATCGTGGTAATTCGAGACATAACAGAATAACAATAGGTGAGTGTTCGCGACAACCGCTTTAACGCCGGACCGGTTCCAACACTTTATGTGACGTCAAGTTCGCCGACCATATTAGTTCGGACCGCTCATAACACGCGCCCATATAATTGTACTACAGCCTATTTTAGTCTTAACAATCACATATTTATTTGATTTCATTATAAAATCAACGTAGTCAAGAATACCCTAATCCCCAAAAGATGCACAACGTACTCATAACTCCTCCGTTGTTGCGGGTGTCTATGTGCGCCGCTGATTGCTTACAATCTGATTCTGATTCTGATCGCTGATTATTCTCGTTTGCCGTCCTAACACATAAAAAAACGTAATGACCTGTGTCTGTCTTCATGACCACATGATATGCTTTCATAATCCTAACTACATTTCCATAATTCTATTAGTGGAGAATCATTACACCCACTTCTACGGAGTAAGAACAAAGAGGAGACGGCCTAAGCAACTGTGCACTGTGACACAGGTCGGCCCTCACGGCAAGGTGGGCGTGGCTTACGTCAGTGTAATGTGGCCGTTCGTCCTGTGCACACCTCCGATAAAGTATTCATTTTACTCGTGACAGAAGAAAACAAAATGAGGTATTGTCAAATTATTTTATATTGTAAAAACTACTAAGATAAACGTTACGGTGCTATGGATGGCATCACTTCTCATGTGGAACTTATTACATTCGAAATTTATTAAAATTTTAGCAACTACTAACACCTTTTTTCTTGCACCGTGCCCACTTCTCTATACTTGCCTTTCTGGAAATAACCAAAGATTAACGACATACTAGAGAGAAATACTCACCTAACAAAATGGAAAGATTATCAAAGGACAGTTGCGCAGTGGTGCCGTGACAAGGCAGTAGATCGTCCAGTGTAAGGTGCGAGTCCCTCGCATCGTCTCTTTCCGTCCTCGCTAGTACATTGTCGCGACCTTCCGCCAAACATAGAGATACGTCCTTCTCTAAACGCACACATTCCCGTATATAATCGTATTCGCTTAATGAACTGCCTGGCGTTAAATACTCTTTGGCTCCTCTTACCTGGAAAAATAAAGGATATCTTGTAAAAAAAACTGACCCAGTTCGAGGCCGGTCGAGTCGCCCACGAAGACGCTTTACCAAAATCACATTTGTTTAACGGAAGCCACCTAGAAGTTTGTTTTAATACTTTTTGCTGTAGGCGCCAACATAATCTATTCGAACTATCATGACTGAAGAGATACAGTGTGGTGATAGCAAGACTATACTCGGAATTTTAATTCCATTCCAGATTTGACAATTTCAGTGTTGCAACGTTATGACACGTACAAAATAGTGACGTTGCGAAATTATTCGATATGGAAATCGAATATTTCTGAATCGATTCCTCTCGTTTATAAATTTACTCTCGTATACTAAGTTTATCAGGAAATAAAATATTTCTGAACCGATAATTTAGTTATGACAATTAATTAACGATCTGAGACTTTTCTTTTGTAATTGAGAGTGAAATTAATAAAAAATGTGATCATGAAGGGACATGACAAATAAAAGAGAAATTTTATAAATTGTCGCCGCCATCGCTACCGCTATCGCTGTTACTTTCTGTAACATTTATTATGAATTGTGTTTGTGATTTTTATTGTCAATTAACATATCTAGCTTATTTATTTTTTCATCTTCTTTGACAACATGGGATACGCATTTAGACCATTCGGTAGCCGTAATTTTTTGAATGCCTTCCTGAAACTGATTCACTGATTGTTTATCGATTTCTGTGTTCATCACTACACTGTTATATGTGGTATCATTATTTCACAAAATGACAGTAGGTCATGTCAAATCAGGAATCGAATTAAAATTCTGACTATAGAGTGAAATTTCTAGCAAAAAGGAGAAATAAAAATATTGATACCAGCATTAGAATTGAATAAAATTAGCAATGGGATTTGGAAATCTCATTGCGATCGAACTTATCGACGAATCTACTACACAAATCCAAAGATTTTTCTTTAAAGAAATCTATAGGACAACAGATTCCGTTTACACGTAAAGATATTCAAAGTTGATTCTTACTACTTTGGAATAAAGTCGAAAATCTAACCATAATTGTATATTTCGATAGCTTAGCCGCGTTATACCGGTGTACAGACAAAACAACAGAATACATTAAATAGAACTTACCCGCAACATATATTCAGACATATCTTCTCTAATGTCCTCGTCTAGAGAACATACTACAGTTAATATCACATGTTCCACTGTCGATTCCACTGTAAACAAACAAAAAAAAAACATTTAAATTACTAATACAGCCCTTTCGACATCAGCGAATGCATAATGGACCGTAATCAAAATTCCTTTAAGTACATTTTCGCTTACCATTTGAATTAAAGTTCATTATGTAGGATATATCATAAGATTTTTACTTTCAGAGATGATTTCAACGTATATTTTGGCTTAACATCTGAATTAAAAGTCGTTTGAAAAAAAAACGGCATTTTCAACTTTAAACATCATTGCCAACGTCATCAATACATAATGGAATTTAATTGAAAGGTGTTTAGGTTGATTTTTACTTACCATCTGAAGTAAAAGTGATGGGTTCGTCGGAATGAGCGTGGTGGACTAGAATCTTGATACTTGTGTTCGGTGGGTATTTGCCGCCTGACCGGGCCGCTATCACATACCCCGGGTTCGTCTTCTCATCCGAATATACGAATCTTTCTGAAAAAGTTTATAAATAACAATCAATAAAAATATCTGTTAATTTCAACTAGTAAAAACACTTGGCCACCGTAAGCGCGGGTCTGAGGACGGCGAGTAAGGGTATCTCGCCGCCCGACCAGAACCAGCCCCGGGCGTACGGCGCGTTCAAAACGTTCAAAGAGCCAATAGACCACACCACAGACGGGGCCTTATAGGGCTGATGTTCAGCCGTTGCGAGACAAGCGCAATGAGGCACCGCGGCCTCGGCCAAGAGCAGGAGAAGGAACGGGGGGTATTTTGATGATTTTCCCCCCGCAAAAAGAAGGACCCCCCACTTATGAATACTTAGTGACTTAATACACTAACAATTAAATTATTATGATTACTACATAAACGTTATTAACAATGTAATATAGTTATAAAATTTGTACTTCTGTATTAATTTCTAAATTAGAAAGAAAAAGTTTTCAACTTACTTCTGACGTCGAGAACCATTTTGAGAAAGGATTTGTGTTCGTTATCGTAATTCTTTGTTCTTGATTTCACTATACAATCGTAGAGTTTATTCTGTAACATAAATAAAACCTCATTTATATAATATAAACATTATAAACACAATCGAATCAAGTCACTTCCTTATAATTTTAAACAAAAAGTCATAAGCCTGAAACGACGAGATCAATTTTAAACTTGAATCTTAACAAGTTTAAAAATATTGTCTGCACTCAATTCCGGAAAATAAACTTGAGAACAGTGTTTGAATGTATAGCTATATTATAAAACTGTTTGTTAGCGCTAACCTCAGGACCTACTGGTTCGAAATAAATAGTATTTTTGTATTGGATAGTCCATTAATCGAGGAAGGGTATAACAATAGAAGCGGAGCAGCGGATGAAACCGCGGGAGTAGCTATTAAATTATTTACACTTCATAATATATTAGTCATAGCAACATTCAAAAACTGAGCAAATAGTTACTTACGGTAGTAGATCTCATAGCGACGGCAGGTACGCTCGGTATTGACTTAGGAGGCGGCGACGGCAACATTGGATCCTTCTTATTAATCGTCGCGTAAACGGCATCTCGCATCTCTGTCTCTCCGTATAAAAAGTCCAATGGGTCGTACTCTTCATACACACTGCTGGAACACTCGCTTGAAACCGCCGCATGTTCTGTTTTTTGGAAATTGTTATTTTGACCTACACCCCAAGTTGAGACACATTTTTAAATTAAACTTTATTGCTTATAAAATAAAATTCATTATTTATATCAGTTTAAAATAACAATAAAATAATAAAAACTTAGATCTAAAACATCATACTTTCATTTAAGCTTGCTGTAGTTTTCCCAAATTAGTTACACGCCCATTTTATTATAGTATCACTATCCCAAAAGCATGCTATCCAATACCAGACATTATTGGTTTTTCCACGACCTTCAAAATATATGAAGGTTATGCCAGTTTTAACAATACCCAAGCATAGAATATATTTTTATTACACTTAATTTCCCTGAAACTGAAGGATGTTACCACCTCACATCATTTTAGGAAATGCATCATACATATATTAAATTTTGAGCTTGAGAGCTCAAACCCAACACAAAAAATCCCTGATCATGGCCCCTTATAGGATCTCATTAGACTTAAAAATACCCTTATAAGTTACTTTGGCATTCGATTGAAATTGAATTTTTAGATAGAAACGTCACCCGAGTCAGAATCTGAACTATCACTTCAAAAGTATTTAATTTATTCTATAAAAATGCAATTTTTTATAGAATAAATTCATAGGTATAAATGTCCCATGAGAAGGCTCCGAAAAAGAAACTCAAAAGTGACAGTTTTCTATACTGTATTTAATTTATTCTATAAAAATGCAATTTTTTATAGAATAAATTAAATACAGTATAGAAAACTGTCACTTTTGAGTTTCTTTTTCGGAGCCTTCTCATGGGACATTTATACCTATGAACTTTCAATCAATTAAATTAACGTTATAGACTTGCTGAAGTAATACTATTATTTCATATGCAGAATAAAACCTCAAGGATAGGATATACTATAAATACTGTCAGTAGACAAATTCTTCTGTCTTTGTTGTTCTTGTATTTGTATTCTGTTGTTGTTGGTTCTGCACTTTCACCTAAAAATCCAATTTCAATCGCACACTACCATTAAAAAGACCAAGTGCTGCCTGCTTGATACCGTGTCAATTTTAAACATCAACATTCTCCATAAAATTAGACACTTCACAAATGAGATGATTTTTTAAATAAGAAACCAAAAAAAATGAAAGATCCAATCACACAAACACGTGCAGTAATAAACGGAAGAAACAAAAACATTGTAAATAACAAATGGTTTCATGAATATGGACTTGGAAAAGAGGTTCTATAAATTATTATTGTTTTAAATATTTTATTAATATGTAAGGAGAAAGACACTTAACAAAAAATATACGGTTAAATTGAAAACGTCCAATTTTTATGTCAGTTACAATTTTTAAATCGATTTTAGTGAACAAGAGACTATACAGGGTGTTCGGAATCGGATATCTTATATTTTTCACGTGTCGTGAAAATATAAAACACTTATAAAGATTACCTATAATTCCTTTCGCGTCGCCTAAGCGTTTTCATCAAAAAGAGTCGTCTTCATTTGCAAAATATTTAAACCAAATTAAATTTAAAATTTAACAAACATAACATTCCTAACTAACAAAAGACTACAATCAATTTATCTCACGCTTATTAATATGAGCGTTAACTACGAAATACTTACATAAAATATTAACAACAAACGTAATTTTCTTAGAACACAATCAATATTTTCATAAACGTCACGTTTCCATGTCCTTTGGTATTTCTTAGCCCATAATCAGTCATATTGTGTTTCAAAAATATAAACTTAGGAACACTCTCCATGAAATTATTGTTAAATGTTCATTGCTAGATAAGTTTTAAATTGTTAATTGGGGCTATCCTACACCTGGGTTCCCTGTGTTGTAGGTTCTAGTTGTTTAAAATAAGTACATTACATAGGAAAGAAAGAAAGCATTAGCTTTGACGATTATTTTAAATAGCTTAACTAGACGTTCCCCACATCATGTGTCGCGCAATACAGTTTATGAATGAGGCTTGACAAAATAAATACATTTGTCATCTATTAATAGCTACATTATTGGATTTCCTTATACTTCACGGATGGTCATTCTTATTATGAAATCTACACAAATATTTCTTTCTACGTTTGATCAAAATGAATAATCGAAATAACACTAATTACTACAGTTCTTGAAAAGATAATTAAGTACCAAAATAGCTCCAATCGCAAAAAAAAAACAAATTTCAAATGAAACATAAGCTCCGGTTTAGTTCGAAAGTAGTCGAGTATGTTCGAAAACTTTTCATAAAAGATCAAATAATATTCTAATATAGTCTGTTTCATGACCTTTACTATGTGATAAAATGTAAGTATGTATTTTATTTCTTTGCAACCTCGTTTCCAAATCCATAGGGTATGTATGATACACAAACCACTCACCGGTTATATTTTTCTCAGTTAGTAGTGGATCAAACGCTTCAAGCACACTGACTCTTACGCTACCTTGCGCAGTGTTGCGGCCGAAGTCGATCAGGTTCATCGATTGCGGTAGACTTCCTAGTGTATCACTCGTTTCATTTGACTGGAAAATACGAGTACGGATTAAAACAACTAAGTACCTTAAAACGGGGTGAATAGACACACGAAACGGGGTGAACAGATACACGAAAGGGGTGAAAAGATACATAAAAGGGGTGAATATAATATGTTGGCGAATTTTCCTAGTATCAATTCACCCCACTTATGTCTCTATTCACCCCTCGAATTCTATTCACCCCGTTTACCGTAGCGTGATTATTTTGAAGTATTGTGATGGTTGGAGTTCTGACTGGAATTTTCTACCGATATTCGTCGCTGAATATAGTAGCCAAAGATATCATGATCGACGATCAATAACATATTTGGTACATTGTGAAGTCTCATAGGCAGATGTTTCTTACAACTTTCATGGCCAGGAACAACTAATGACTACATAAATTATGTTCATTTTACTTCATAGTTCTATTTGAATAAATACAATATTTAACTTATTATTGTTATCAATGTAACTAACAAAGTTATCATATACAGGATACTAATAAATTAATTAAACTCAATTCAACATTTTAAATGGATATTTCCTTAATATTATAAAAATGCGTATAGAACTTGTACGCATGACAATGAATAATGATTCTTTTTATTATTACGAAAAGGTTCATTTTAGATAATAGAAACTCACCGCAATGCTAGCTTCCGATGCTTTCCTGGAACTATTGTTTTCAACTTTCTCCTTTACCGGTTCCGTCCTAGCAGGCGTCGGACTTTGGTTTACACTGTTATTATTGTTCACACTTGCATTATTATTTGCGGGATTATTCACAGGATTATTGGCGGGGTTCTTCGGGACAGGCGGGTATGTGTGTGTCTGATTCAGCTGCGGATATATCGTCGCCGGCCTCGGAGGCCGAGAGATCATGTTTGTTGTGCTGTAATTATACGCTGATGGCACCGGGTACGCGTAAGGGGACGGGGATGCCATTCGTGTTTGGGTGTACGGTGCTGAATACATTGGATTAACGTGGACAAATGTTGGCGGCATGTCTGAGGGATTGGCCATTGGTGGTGGGGCGTAGTATGGGTAGGGTGTCGGCATTGGAGCGGGCATGGCTCCCGGGATTGGGCCAGGCATTGGCGTTGGCATTGGTGTTGGCATCCCATACGGCGTTGTTGGGTACGGCGGTATGGGAGCGTAAGGCGGCTGGTAGTTATACGCGTACTGAGGCGCGTAATACCCCGGCCGTTGATTATAATGCTGATTGTTCATTGTGCCGCTCTGTTCTGTAGTATTTAATGCTAGTTCCTCAGTCTGTTGACTTAACCTGGGAAACAGAATAAATTGTTGGCTATTACGTCAAACAATGGCAGTTACCGTAGGTATGTAATAAACTACCTACTTGTAACGGCCTTAGATAATTATAAAGCGGTAAAGTGTTATTTAAGCGAACAATGTACGAAAATTTCCTGTCAAAATTTGAACCTAATTAAAAATAATAAATTACAGAGATGAATTTTTTTTTCCTTGAAACAAACTTTTAGCAATTATTATTCGTGAATTTAACAAAATTTTGTATTCCATTTTGAATAACATGATTATTTAATATGTCAAATTAAAATGTTATCAAGATAATTTTTATTCACAATTAATTAAGTAGCTTACTCGCAGTCGGAGTACATAATCATATCATTATAACCAAAACAAACATTGCTGAATATTTTACAAGGACACGCATAAGACTACTCAATATAAAACTCTATTGCGCAAAACGTACAATTGAAAATTAAATAACAGCATTTATGATACATGGAAATGGAAAACGATAAATATCGGGTGCAATTATGAACATTATTCAGATACAGATAGAATTTAAATTCCTATAAAAAAACTTACTTAGTGATCTGATCGATGTATTCCTTTAGCTTGACATGCGGTTCTTTAGGTGCATGTTTGCTAGTAGGGCTCGAAAATGATATCAAGTCGCTCGTCTCGTCCCTTGTTGGACTGGTTCCAGTTGATCTGACGAATTCAGACAAAAATATACATGTATCAGTATATTTGGCAGTCACTTTGGTTTTGTAGAAGAGAATGGTACATTGGTTTCAAACAATAAATCGTTTTTGTTTTTAATAAATAGAAGTGCGCTTTGAGGACAAGTTCTTGATGCCATAATGGGTTGGAAACACCCTGGCCTTAACAACCATAATATTCAAAATGGTGGCAAATTCATATTTGGAACACTTTGGCAAGATTTCGCCTATAAAAGGCATAGGATAGTAAAAATAAGAGAAAACATTATTATGACAGAATTGGTAACAGTTCTAAATCAAGTGAAATATCAACAACATCACGAAGTGACTGGTAAGTTTACAAAAAAAAATAAAAGGGTTTGTTATGACATTAACACTCTTATTTAAAGGTAGTTTGCAGGTATTTAAATAGGGGGCGCCGTATGTTCTTTGTAGCCCAACGTAAGATTTTGTAAGCAAAATGTGATGTCTCATTTCACAAAAAAATATTAAAACAGCGTTATAACCTATTTCAATCCGTAAAATTAGATAATCAACCGATTTTCAACCTTTTTGGTAACTTAGAGAGTTTAAATTAAAACAAAAAACATAAATAAGTCGCAATGCATCTGCTGATCTCTTTGCTGATACTTTAGTAGTTTTGAAGCCTGATAATGATATGATTTGTTAATGAAACAATCGCAAAATGATGAAACCGTAGCATAGTAGATAAAGTTACTTTGTTCGAAATTGCGTCTTATTAATAAGTAGTACGAATTATTAAGATTACAATTTTATACAGCTTTCGTGACTGACTCATTTTATTTCGATAACCTTAACTATTGTTATGATTATTTTGTGATGTACAAAACTAGAAGTTCATTACAGAAATCGTTGGATGGCAGAAAAAAACTTGAAATGTAAATTAAATAAAGAATTTTCTATTTAAATATATAATTATTATTTTCATTATGCGCTACTAATTCATTTATACATTAAAATAACATTAGTTGCAACTAGGTTGTGATTGGTGACAGTCTGACAATTATCCTAAAGACTCCGAAACACAAAGTTACATGTTTTTTTCGTATTAAAAAGTTTAGATACTTTTTATCAACGAAAACATTAAATTTTTATCAGCATTCTTGACATTCTTAACCCCATATTTGTATAGAAGAACCAAGGCTAAACAATGTTCTCGTGTGAAGATAAACACGTGTATTATTATAAAAACTTTTGTTTAAGATAAAAAGAACAGTCATTCACTGCAATTTGGTTGAGAAACAAATTTATTTTATAGTTTATTTATTATCTACATCATAACAATTCAGAGCTTATATGATCTTAAGAGAATTTGTCCTATGCCATCTTTGGCACAAAAACCTGATATATTAGTTGCAACAGAGCTATGGATCGCGGTTTCTTGCATCCAAGCCCATCAAATAACTTTACATAAAGATAAGAAATATTGATACTAGATACATAATACAATTAGCCGCAATCGCCAAAGTATAATTAATTTATGTTTGCACCAAAATTATTTCCTTTGTATCATTAACTTATACACAGAATATTCTTCTTAGACCATTTAGGTCAGAATCAATTTGATAGTGAATAGATTACAATGTGTTATTGAAATGTTAATACATTTCTTATCAGATAAAAGACACTGATATATTGCTAGAGATAGGCCGCTTTTGCTTATAGAAGAATATTGATGAGTTTACCTGGGGCCGTCAGAGATAGAGGTCCGTCCTCGTGGAGACTTGCGCGGCGGCGGTGGCAGCGCAGGCGGCGGCCCTTCAGTCTCCTCACGCCGTCGACCACTAACACTAGCCACCTCTCGGACATTATCTAGACAATATCAACATGATAAGCCAATCACCAATGATTAGGCATGAGGTATCAATAGTTTTTGCTATAGATAACAAAGTGAAAGAGATAAACATTCCCTGAAGTATAACTACAAACAATGTTTTTAATAACAATTAGTTAAAATCGTTATGTTACTTTTGTAGTCTAATTCTAAATCATTTGTACTTTTGTAGTAGTCTGCGGTGTGACATTTTCATACAAAAGATACAGTTATCATGATTCCATATAATCAGTGTCCCATTTACGACGTGTTAGGTCATTGACCTTACTTCCCTTTTGATTGATGTACATACAGACATTTTGCTGTAGTCACAATGCTTATTAATTTTTCTTGTTTACACAGCGTCAATTGATCTCGTTGTGCCAATAAAAGGTCAGTTGCCACTTCAATTGTATTTTTTTTTATTTCGATAAAAGTCTATAACATTATTTTTAAATAAAACTTTTGTTTTAATTTTTTGATTAAGAGCATTATGTTATCATGTCAATTTTTCAAACAGGAAAACTTAGGTGGTTTTAAGGAAAAAAAAATTTGGTATAGTTGAACAAAATATTATGAATTATGTGTGAATTAGAATATTGTTAAGAAATTAATATACTTAACCACCATTCAAAAATTATTATTATTTTTTTATTTTCATCATATATTTGATAAAAAACAACTTATGTTTTTCTTACTTAGCATTTCAGCCAAAACAAATCAGTTGTTCGTACTTATTTAAATTAAAATCTAAGTAAAGTAGCCATTGCATTTTTAGTACTTTTGTAATTTTAGTAAATTGTCTAGAAAAAAAATAGTAATAGTAATCTACTTTATTTTAGTTAACTTAAACTAGTGGCATAAATCTTCAAAATACTGTTCAGTAGAAATATCACGAGTTATTATCATAGTTATTACCAACTGATTTAATTAGTTTTAGAATTTCTACTTTTGAAAGACTGTTTGTTTTTATTGTATTTATATCATTTTACTTTCTTAATGATTGCTATGCTCAATAAGCAAATTAGCATTCAAATAGACCTTGTTTAATCCTTTGACTACTAATAGTTATTGGTAGTAATAAATATTTAGTATAGTATGATATTAACTAGTTTAACTGCAGACTAACTGCATGAAATAGTATTTGAAATTCTACTTCCCAAGAAACAGTAAGTTCTAACTAATATAGATTTGTTGTTATCACTGCTTTCGTACTGGATTTAACCTATTTGCATTAATATGAGGCATTCGCGTAGGTGGTTACGAAATGTAATGGACTGAACCAAATTCCGTTATCATTAACACAACATTAATAGGTACTTAGATGCGTGAATCTTTACAGAAGCCTTGGACCATCAGTAATTTCGCGGAGTAAACAAAGTTACGTCAGTTACCTGCGCTAGACAGTAGCTTCTGTCTACGGAACTGATCCAAAGCAAGACTTTCTAAACTCAAAGCCTGGGCCTTCTCCAAATCCGCTTGAAACTGAAGATCGTAGTCAGACATTATCGGACTTCCCTCAATATGTATCTACAACATTCACAAAACGAGCGTGGGAATTATAACAATAATAGCACTGTTTAGCGATGAGCACATAACACTACACAAAAACTTTACAACTAAACATTTGTAGGCGGCACACGAGCGGCTTTCAATGTATCACTCTTTGTCTTACCAGAGGAATCTTTCCGATAACGTTTTATTTGTTTAATTTTCACTACATAATACAATTTTGGATGAATCTCGGCTCGATTTTATTTTATTATTTTACTGGGTCAATTCAATTTGTATGCATCATTCGAAACATAACACGACTAAATTAAAAATAAACATTCTTCAACGTCTGACAGATAAATTCCTTTCTAATTTCAAGCAAATAAAGAATAACGTTCACTCATCAAATGAACTTCACTGTATTTTACATTTAGTTGTATTATAATGGTGACGTTACTAGGTTCAGTCTCATTCACTTCAATCGACTAAATAAATTACATGTAATCGATTAGTTTGCTTTCTAAGTCATAGAACTAAATCAATTTACTATCTTTTTGAAGTATACTAATTAGCTGATTATTAATGATAAATAGCAAAGTTGAGATTGAAGTCGAGACATGTAGGCACAGGCAGGTTAACACTTTTAAATCGACTAACAAGTGACACAAATGTTATCTTGACGTTAGTCATAAAACACCACTCATCACTACTATATCGTTCGGAAACCAATGTGAAATGACGTGAAACGTTTTTAAATTAAAAATCTATGTATTGCTTTGGAAAGATTAATGAATGTCTGTAACAAAAAAACGTAAACGTAAACGTAGTGGCTATATACTCTTTGGTCTGTAATTCTTGTCCATACCTTATTACAAGTTATCTTGCTTATTATCACAACGAAATGATAAAACATATATTCGTGGAGTACAGGTAGGTACCCTTCTCTCTGTTCATAACGACCAATACCTAAGCTCGAAAGCACTAGGCAGCGAATTTTATCTGAATGTAGCAAAATAGGTATATCAATGTATGTATATTCACCGCATACTTCACAGCTTACTAACTACAGTACCTAAGACAAAACCCAGAATATTACTAAGATCAATGTATGTTCATTTATATGGTGTTTCAAAATTGTTTCAAATACATAAAAAATAATAGAACAATATTTTTTATTAAAAACAAGGAAATAAATAATTTGTTTAAACAAGATTAAGCCTCACAACACAGTACAAGGGAAGCTCAATGTGGGGCACAAGGCCATCTTACCTACATTTTTAGGTACTTACTAGTGAAACCTTTTTTATTGAAATAACTTCAAACTATTATTCAATGCTTACTTAGGTACATAGCGCAAGGGGGACGCACTGCTCAAGTCCTAGGCGTTCCTAGAGCAAAGGTCTCCCACGTCGGGGTTCGCATTTTCGGTTAGTTGTTTTTTGTCAGGGGGAAAATCATTTAATGACTTCTCCCGCCCAGGGTAAGGCGTGATAGTGTCAGACTCTTACTGACTAACCCCCTCCCCCCGTTTCACTTGCTCTGGGTAGAGACCGCGGTGCCCGCAACTCCGGGTGATCATCAGCACCATAGGGCCCTGTCTGTGGTGTCTATTGGCTCTTTGAGGTGCGCGCGGAACGCTACGCGCCGTACGCTCGGGTCTGGTTCTGGTCGGGCGGCGAGCTACCCTTACTCGCCGTCCGCAGACCCGCGCTTACTCGGTCTTACTCTTCTCGGGGATGCATTTTTTAGACTTTCGATTAAATAGTGCGTTATTTTTTTTTGTGAATATGTCAAAGCACAAAGCAGACTTTGTCGCCCAAGTTCGGGACTCAATAAGACTCGTAAACATCACGGGTAGAACGAGTGTTTATATAGGTTACCTACCTTACCTACCTACCTCTCTTTACGGTACCTTCTCTTTGCTCATGGGTTATAAGTTGGTGTTTTAGCGGATAATAGGTACTATAATCACTCGTATCACACAAAAGAGTTTTAGTGCTTTGTCAGTCAAAGGAGACATAAGAAACGAAGCATAGATCTTCCAGTAGGTACTTGCAAAAAAAATTGGCGATTATCATAGATAGATAAACTTAACATACCTACTATTTACTTTATACAAAGAAATTCAAACATTTCGGTGAAAGTGAGGACGTGAAAATGAGTCTCTTTAAGTTGAATTCTAAAAATGATAACTAAGTAAGTATTTTTTGGAAACAATATTTTGTTTTATCCGACTAGGGCAAAGCAAAAGGAGGGTTATGATTTTGACAGGCTATGTATGTATGTATGTATGTTCATCTGTTCCCTCGTAACTTCTAAACTACCTACTTATCAGAATTCGACAATTGATATATCATTAGAAACGTCTTAATTGTCCGCTGGTTATAGGCTATATCAGGTATCACAAAATATAATGTGGCAACCTCTAGCGGACAAAACAACCAGAGTAAAAAAATAAAGATATTTTTGGTATCATTTTAAAGCCCTTTAAGTTCTTGTACATTGTGAATATGGATATATTACTAGCATTTGCTTATGACTTTGCCTGTACTAATGGGCTGATTGCATATAATTCACATCTTTTAGTTCATAGCTTCTACTACTTAATATTGGTACCTACATCAATTTAACATTTTGTTGATTTCATGCGCCACAAATACACTTCAACACCAAAATAGTACAAATAATAAAAAGTATAAAAATTAAAACCCTGAATACTGAAAGGCGTAGTCACACGTTACATTTAATTACCAACCTGCACTTTGATAACGTGTGACTACGCCTTACAGTATTCTGAAAATCCTGTTTTATACTTTTTCAACGTCGGTTTTAGTCGTACTTGAGTTTTAGTTTTTATACTTTTTTATGTAAATAAAATAATACAGACCCTACCTGTCTGTACCTTACACTGGTTAAAATAATTGTGAAGGAAACGAATTTTGTTGAATAATTCGTAAGGCCCTAAACGATTTCAGCTAAGACTCAGACAAATTCTTGATCTGCACATGTCTTATCTTCCTCCTTCATTTATTAAAAGATGTAGTATGTTGGAAAATTAAAATATATGCATTATACTGATTTCTTTATTATAGTATAAACTGCTTCAAATTGCTTACTGGTATTCTTAACACAATAGACTCCTGTAGAAATGATCGGTACCTACGGCTAAGTGACTGCTATTTTATGATCTGTAAGGAGTTGTTTTATGCGCCTTACAATCGCATGTCCTTTCGATGGAGTAGACGCGTAACGCATATTAGTTGATGTACCTGAAAATCCATAATGCGTAAATATCATCTACACATCACTGTCACATGGTACTTAGGGTACCTATGTCTAGTTGATTGTACCTGATGGCTTCGATGGCGCGACTGTCCCGCCAACAGATGGCTTTTTTCTTTTGGTACGTCTTCTCCTGACAGTCTTCCGGCGACTAGTAACAGCATTATTTCCTTCAGTAATAGCAGACTTGACCCTCGATATCTTGTGTTTAACCAAAGCCCTTCGCACAATTAATGGTCTTTTCGTCTTAATTGGCGAATCTTTTCTGGTTGTATTGGGTTCAGAGATTTGTCTAGAATAGCCATCTTTTTTTTCTGAAGTGGTTGGTTTAGCTAGATCACTAATCGATTTTAAAGGCGCGAATAAACTTTGAGGTGTTTTAACTTTTTTTCTACCTCTGTGGGTTTTCTTGTGTTTAAGTTTTAGTTTGTGTAGGCGTAACTCGTTTTTTTCGGCTATCTGTTAATGATGAATAGGAATTTAATATAAAAAATTATATGAAAGAGAAAAAAGACTGGTTAGCAGAAGAAGAAACTAGTTAAAACTAGGTAAACTTAGTATAGGGGACATGGAGACCTAAGTTCTGGGTAGGAACACACGTAAAAATTGTAACAACAAAATACCTGTTCAAAGAACCGATCATCCTCATCTTGTTCGTCGCAAAAGTCTAATATTTTTTTGCAGACTGTTCTCAAGGTCCGTATTTTTTCTTTCTTTCTTTTACCTATAAAACATCTGTCCACTTCGTCTAATCTTAATGTTCTGAAAATTAATAATAATCTATATTCGACATAAAAACGTCGTGGTGTAGACTTTATCATCCTCATCGTCAACATCAACAATAGTCCTTAAGGGTCTATTGCCCTACTATAGGCCTTCTATCTACAAATCTGCTATACTCTCCACGCTTGGCTTGGTTGGGGATCACAGTATAACAGGATAATGTTTATCAGAAAACGTTGCTGCGCGATCTAGAATACCTTCAAGATTTTTGGACAACATACAAAAACCTCTTGATCTGAGACGTACTGCTCCAACCGAGTAAGTACAGTCGTATCTTAGGCAGCTCTGGTGTCATCAGGCGTCCTATATTTACTACCTTACTTACTACAAAAGGCAAAAAAACGTTATTACTTGATAACTTTTGGTTTGTTCATAATGTTATCTGCATCCTTATCGTCCATTTGCATTGCCGTCTCCCAAATATTTTTAAAAAGTTGCCTTCTTTCTGCGTAACTATCTTCTTTCGTCATAGAGTTCATTTTTCGGTTTTTTCTTTTTTATTTTTACCGCGCCTGTAGGATGTTCTGTATTGCGATGGTCATTTGGCGGTTGTTTCTGTTGAGTATTTTTACAAGTATTTACTTTTTGTTCCCATTTTCATGATGTTTAATTTTCATTTCGATGTGTGTTGGATGGATATGTTTGTCACACTGACGTTCTTGTACAAAGAGTATAGTAAAGTATTGTTGTGCAACTTGAAGTAGGTAATCTTAATAGATAATATAAATATTTTTATATGATAACTTTTTACTTCTGATGGGCAGTTTTTTTTTTCACGTTCCGTTAGCTAGAATTAGGTAAAGTACGTGAAAAAAATAAAAAAGGCAACTAGATAGATACCTACCACCAAGCCAAACGGAACCACGCCTCCAACATATTGTTACTGAACTGTGCCACGCAAAGCAACAAGTTGTTCTACGGAGTTGTCGGTTGCCTTGGCTGTCGTTCAGTTGGCGGGAAGCTCTACGCGAAGGCTTTCCTCCAAAAAAAAGACACACGCGCTCACGTTACGATCCGTTTGCGAAAATATACTTACTTGCATTAAAATGTATCGCGAAAACGGAGGGCATTATAAAAATGAGTTTTTGGAACTTTAGTTAAGATGGGCATTTTCTTAATTTTGTAAATAAAATAAATTGTTGAAATAATTGTTCGTTGAAATGTCGTTATCATGCCCGTCAAATATGACCCGAACACTTTGTGGGTGGCTCTCAATCAGTACAGTGAAGGAAATGTCTTTGAAGTATATCCCAAGTTGCTGGCACAGCTGTTCCTGCAGGAGGAGGCTGCGAGGCAAGAAGGCGACACCAGCGAGGCTGAGAAGCTGGTTCTTCCCAGTGATAAGGAGTACAGACTGCAGAAATACTTCGTCCTTGTTGAATTACAAAAGGAATTGGAAGAGTAAGTAGCTATTCGTGATATCAGCACTTTTACAGTCGAAAATAATTATCGTAGCTCACAATAGATGAATTGAATTATTTAAGTGACTATTCAAGTTACCTAGCTGATTTAGGTACGTAAGCGCTATTGAAAAATATTTCTATTTTAAATGTGGGAGGGCTATTCGTATTCGTTTTTTTTTTAGTTCACTAGGATTTTCTCCAGTGTCGTGGGTGCGGTTCCAAACATACAATTTCACATACACATGACACCCAGACCCGAAACAACAATTTGTGGATCACACAAAGAGTTGTTCCGTGCGGGAATCGAACCCGCGACACGTTGCACGGCTGCCAGTTGCCCAGCCACCGCACCAACCGTGCAGTCTAATTGCTATTGGTCTTTTTTGTCGGAGTGATATCACTTCAAATAAAACCAGAGTGAAACAACAGCTGCCTTGCGTTACTGAAATCTATCCTCAATCCCCAAATCTTCAATCTTTAAGTAATTATATTTCCAACAACTGTCAAAATCTGGCAACGCACTTGTAACTGTTCTGTTGTTGCTATAGGCAGGGGTGATAGCTGACATCAGGTGATCGGACTGCTCCTTTACAAAGCTATGCCACAAAAAAACAATGCACTAACTATCTGGGTTTAAACAGGACTACACAAAACTAGAAAGTCATAAGTACAATTATATATACAAACGAAAACAAGCCTTAGTTAGTTTAACATTCAAATTCTGTGTTTCACAAGACCTCATTAAATCCTAAATTAGCTTTACGTAAAACAAACTACATTTGTAATTATAGCTGTTGATTGCGTGGGACCCAGTGTTCATGGTGTATGTGTCGGCCATGACCTCCATACAACCCCATATACTGCTCCAATATACCAGACACCTTACAAATGACATGGCATTAATTGGATGTAACACCATAGCTACACAGTTAACGTTTTCACCTATTGATGTGCGTAATGCCTATTCTTTATTAACATTATTTGCGCCAAAAATAGTCTAGGTGATCCTTTATATGTTTGGAGTTTTTGAATGGGTACCTACGTAGGTAGGCTGCCAGCATTCGACGAAATATCCAATGTGGAGTCACCAATGGGTCGGCTCGATCGGAATGATACCATGGTCTCATATAGAAAACAGGCGTAAAACAGTTACAGCGTTGTGTTTCGCTGTGAGAGTGACGTTACCAGTGGACCTATCCTTTCCCAATCCTAAATCTTCGTAACTCTAATCCCCAAAATAGCGATAACGTACTCGTAACTCCTCAGTTTTGCTCGTATTGCGAATCTCCACGGGCGGCACCTATATGCGATCATCAGGTAATCCATAGGCTCGTTGGCCCTCCTATCATACAAAATAAAATAGCCTTTAATTCAAGTAATGATAACGAGTTTGGTTAGCATAATTCGTGCAAGTCAGACTGTCGTTATTGATATTACTGATCATGACCAGATCTGCTGCTTATATAATATTGCATTAGTATGTTTTAAACCCCACAAGCAGTACCTACTTAGACCAAGATCTTCATGCTTCATATGTTTATATGCCGAACAAGATTTTCAAATAACGCCGTATGTAAATGATACATAGTATAACTAGAACTACAAAGATATTAGTGTTACATAACCACGTATGGTCTGAGTGATTCACGTAGGTACCTCGCATGTGCGGTCTCAATATCATTACTCCAGCGAATGCATCAAATGGAAGCACTGGTTAAATTGTGTGGTTTATCGATAAAAGCGAAATACAGCGCATCGCTCACGCTAGGATGAAGGTAACTTATATAGCTACAATCTAAATGTAGAACACCTGTGTAGGTATGCTCTACTGACTGACTTCAACAACAAAAGGGAACGCCTTTTTGTCCCGAGTGAACAGGAATTGGCATTGATAGGTAGGTAAGTACTGAATGTATCTGATGTCTCCCGCTTTTGAGCAATTATGTACGTTGTGACGAGTCTCCTGTGCTGAAGAGTCCGAGTTAGTAAGTGGGTTTTGGGGATTACGATGTGATCAATGTTAGATAGGTACTTACATAGCGTAGATAAGTTTGCGTAGGTAATGTTATATTTTCTCATTTTCAGCTAAAGAAATAACTGGCCACAATAAAGCATTATTCAAAATAAAAAGTAAACCTATTGTCAAAACAGTTGCAATATGTCAAAAAAATAAAACAACTCGGGTCCCAAAAAAATATCCAATTAACCGCCTATTTTTAAATTATTTAGCGTTATATGTTGTATTAAGTACTTAGATATAGTTTATTTGATAGATCCATTGTATGTAGGTAATATCCAAACAAAGTCAGGTTTCTTGTGTAGAACGTAGTATGGAGGTGTTGTAAAGAAATGAAATTGTGGTGTGTGTTATTGGTATAAAATTTAATATGGCTGAAAGTACTCAATGGAGGCTATGACGGAGCAACCAAGTCCTTCCGTGGCGTAAGTCTATTATTTACGTAGAAGCTGTAGGTTAGTGCTTTTTGAGAGGAAAAAATCATCGTAGGTATGGCTTCTCTTGCCTTGTGTGTTTGTGTCAGACTTTTACTGACTACAAACCACTCAGTTTGTACCCCAACCCTTGCTAGACATCAGCTCTAGTTGTCCCCATCTGTGGTGGTCTGATGACGCGCGCAGAATACGAGGCACCTTATTGTGCTTTAGGATGTGCCTCCAATTATCCACACTACTAATATCAGTACTTAAGCCTTTAAGGTCGGCTAACGAGCAGACGGATTATCTGATGGTAAGTAATCTGTGCCGCCCATGGACATTCGCAACGCAATACCAAAGGAGTTACAACAAGTGCGTTGCCTTCCTTTGTTATAGTGATTTGGGAATTAAAAATAACGGTGTCCCTAGCTACATCTATGTTACCTACCTACAAAAATAGAAAAGCAAAGCAATCCCTAGAGACCTATGAAATTTTTTAGCAGCAATTCTGTGAAAACCCTTATATCCTCTACCCAGGGATGAAGACGGCGAGAAAGTGGTTAAACCAGTGGAAGAGCCGGTGGAGGTATGGGCGCCATGGTCACTCGTGGTGGCTACCAAGGATACTCGCGCACCACCACCGGTCGCTGTCAAAACTACGCCGGGTCCCGCTTGGGACATTGGACAGGTAAAAATAATATTACATATAGTTCTGAGGACCCAACGTTACCAAATTTCATTCATAAAAAGGAAATTTGATAATAAAGTTTTAAATTGTATCGAAGAATTTTGTGACCATGATTGTTGTTAAAGGTTAAATTCAGAATTTTAGGTTTCAAGGTATTGTGATTGATAGCAATTTGATATCTACCTATACTTGATATCTGTGTATTTTGCTGGGCTATATGGCTTTAATATAGGTATATTTTTCAAGTGGACACTGTTTTTTCAAATCTATATGTATATAATTAATGCTTTGGCTGTTAAATTTGATAGTGATTATTAAACTTGTAGTGACTATGTCGACAAGTTTTAATAACAAACATATCTACATTTACCTATGTCAACAGGGTAGTTAACAATCCAAATAAGCAGTACCTCAATATATAATAAGTTTCCATTTACACACAATCATAGATGAGGTACAGTTTTAAATTAGGTAGGTGCAAAAATATAGGTCTATCTCTTGATCTACATGTTGAACTTTGCATAGAAAACCTAATAACGACTCCATTACGAGGAAACTATTTAAAAGATTCCTATTAAGATTTGGAATGAACTCGTAACAGTCAAGGCTGGAGCAATGCCTACCTATTTACCCACATATCTACTGGGCCTTGTAGGTCTATAATACAAGGCAATCATAGTGTTTCAGTGGCTAATGTAAGGTTGTTATTACTCTATGCGCATAAATCTATGCGATTTAATGTTAGATACTAGTGATGTGCCGGATCGCTAAAAATGAAGATCCGCGGATACGGATCTGAATACGGATATTTAGTGTCAAGATCCGCGGATACGGATCTTCAATTTCTCATAAGATTAGTGTCGCCGGCCGCGCGCGGCCTTGAAAAGATAGTTGACGTCTCGCTCGCCGCAACGTCAGACACGACATGTTTTGACTTGCATTGCGCGGGTGTGGTGTCATTCATTTAATTATAGAAAACAATAATTATGTTTTAGTTATTTCACTGTCCTAAAAGTAAAGTTTTTTTTTTATTTCTACCTGATGATTAACTGAAAAAGATCCGTAAAAAATCCGCGTGTAAAATAACGGATACGGATACGGATACGGATTTTTATTTTTCCTCGGATATCCGCGGATACGAATACGGATACGGATATTCGGAACATCACTATTAGATACATTTAAACTAAGCGCATAGATTTCTACATTAGCACCGCAATCTATACGTTACGTCGTGGTGGCCCGGAGGTTAAAGAGCCCGCTACTCAATGCATGAGGGTGTGGGTTCGAAACCTGGCAAGTACCGATGCTATTTTTCCGAGTTGTATGTACTTTCTATGATTATTTAGACACCACTGACATACGGTGAAGGTAAACATCATGAGGAAATCTGGACTTATATTTGCTAACTATAAGTTTGAAATCGCCAAGCCGCATTGAGCAAGCGTGGTGAATAAATAACCTTCTCCGTATGAGAGGAGGCCTTTGCTCAGCAGTGGGCACTTATAGGCTGATGATGATGATGATGATAACTGAAATCTATAGTAACATTAGTAATACTAAAGAGTTGGTTTGTTTGTTTGAACGTACAACTTGTCAAACAACTTTGGAACTAAATTTATCGAGCAGCGAGGGAAACCAGGAGTAGCAATAAATATTTACCAAATTGTTTTTATAATAACTATCGTGAGACATACTAAATTAACTAAAAATCGCGTCCGCGCACGCTGCTCATGAGGAAGAACCCCTCTGTGGTTCGAAACTAGTAGAGCTTTTCTCAATTGCACACGTGAGTAACCCGCGATTTTTAGTTAATTTACCAAATTATTAAATTTTAGGCTAGCTACGTATATAGAGTCGTTTTAATAAAGTAGGTAATTATGACTACGTAAGTATGCACAAGTCATTGAAGACTGACGACACGCACAATAGGTTAAACACTACTGGCAGGAAAAGACGAAGCGACAGAAACCTAATCCGTTGGTCAGAGAAGATCAATGCCCCTATGAATTAAATCAGTACGGTCTGACGCTATAAACAATTTGATGAATTAAGCAGGAAGATGAGTAACAACTTTTTTGTGAATTGTTAGGTGGTAAAAGCTGCGCGCCTGCTGAGTAAGCCGCCACTGCCCGTGGATTTCATAGATGAACAAGAGATGCGTTGTGTTTACTCCCTTATTTACGAAGTATTTAGATGTAAGTACCAAAATTTTTATAATTAGAATCACATATTTATATCTGCTTTTTTATCTTCTACCCTACAAACGTGCTTCAATTATTATAAGGCCAGCAATGCGTTTGTAACTTCTCTAGCAGCTATGGGCGGCGTTGATCAACTTACCAACAGGAAATTCGAAAAAAGTTATTTGATAAGTAACAAAAAAAGTCAAGCAATAAAAGTTCCTACACTAAAAAGTAAAAAATAACAATTTGAATTACTGTAAAAAAACTTAATTTATAGGTAAACTTATTTGACATTAATATTTTGCAAATATTCAAAATTTATTACTTATTTTTGGAGTCGGTGCCAGCATTTTGATGTTGAAACTTAATGTTAGTTAGGTTTTTAATATCCGGTGCCATTTTTCGTACATAATGCTTAAACATTTTCAATGTACTTAAAATGTTTTTGTAAGTACATATTTTTTTATTTAAAAAAATGTGCAAATCGGACATTTTTTGTAGAGAAGTCTAATCTGTATTTATGTCTTAATTAATATACCTATATTTGTGTATGCAAATAGGTATTAAGTAGTTTTATAATTAAGTAAGAGGTAGTTTTTCAAGGGATTGTTGCCCATTTGTATTTCCTTGCATGGGCTGGCACCGACTCCAAAAATAAGTAATAAATTTTGAATATTTGCAAAATATTAATGTCAAATAAGTTTACCTATAAATTAAGTTTTTTTACAGTAATTCAAATTGTTATTTTTTACTTTTTAGTGTAGGAACTTTTATTGCTTGACTTTTTTTGAAGGCGGTTTTTTTATTTTGTAAAATTTTTTTTTATTTGTAGCCGTTTAGTGTTTTTTTTTTATTATTATAATGTGTTATGGCAAAGAAGTCAATATCGTTCCTACATTTCTTTTGAAAAAGTTACCAATGTCATACTTATACGTAGAAATACATATCATAGTACATTGTTACTGTGTAATCGTTTTGATCTCGAGGACAGATGATATGATGCATGAGATACTTATGACTTATAGTTAAAATAAAATAATAATCTTATCATAAATTCATATTAATTCTCGCCAAATAACAAAAAACTAGATATTTTCATCAACAGACAGATAAAGTTCAAAGATACCAAATGCAATCTAATTTAGTATCTATGATTAAATACATAGAAAAAAGACCGATGCAATTATTGTTTTGTATCAATTGTAACCCATTAAATGAAGAATACTATTTTGTTATTACCTACTAAGAACATTCATATATAGACAAGTTGGTAAAAATATAAAAGACCATCGCTATTGTAAATATACATTTATGAGTCATTCAATGTATGAACCTTTTTTAAGTAAGTATTATCTACATATGTGCACACAAAAGAAACACAATTATTGTTTTGTACGACGCAATTTTTGTTTTGTAACCCATTTAAAACGACTGTTTTGTTAAAAATGCCAATTAATTCTCTTAGCCTATTACCAGGAAAACGATAAGAACACAATGACGCATTTCACCACTAATGTGTAAACGCAGTCCACGTGGACTAATACAAAATAGCCAATACTAGGCTAAACTCCGCCCCCAAAGGTGTGCGGTCCCGCTCTAGAACCTTTCGGCCCCATCGGCCATCTGTTCTACGAGCAATGTGCCGTGCCCACTGTCACTTAAGTTTGGCATTTCTTCGGGATATGTCGGTGACGCTGGTTCTTCTGCGGATTTCTTCATTTCTGATTCGAACATGCACGGAAACTATGAGCATAGCCCTTTCCATTGCTCTTGACAGCTCTAATAAGCTTACACAATACTAGGCCCCATGCCAACCTTCCAGCTTCATCATCACATCAGTTCAATAGTACCTTACAGCCAAAGTGCATCTTATAACAATTCTAACAAGCCCAAACACGGCTAGGATATATTAATTAGGTACGCAGTTCCAGTGCCTACCTTCCAGCTCCATAATCATCATTAAATCAGTTCGATGATAACATTTCCAACATAATTATTTAAGATCATTGGTTTACAGTGCATTTTCATAGTTGCTGAACTACCTTGATTGTGATATCTATGCGAGTGTCAAGTTTCATCATCCATTTCTGATCTTCTTCACCAGTTCCACCTCATCAAACATTACTTTTTGACTGTAAATGCTTGAGTGCTCTATGAAAATATTAAAATTACTATATAGTTGCCTATAATATTTGAGGAGTTCCCTCGATTTCTCATGGATCCCATCATCAAAACTTGATTTTGAAAAGAATGGGACCAATCTGGAAGCATATCCTTTCAATCATAAAAAAAATTTTGCAAATCCGTCCATAAACGACGGAGTTCTGAGGTAACAAACATAAAAAAAAAAATAAAAAAAAAAAAAAAAAAAAAAAAATACAATCGAATTGAGAACCTCCTCCTTTTTTTGAAGTCGGTTAAAAAGAGCAGGCTATAGTTCAATATTTTTTCAGCCTGTTACATTTTTTTTTTGTGAGGGGAAAATCATCAAATGACTTCTCCCGCCCAGGGCCGGGCAGGAGGGAGTGTCAGACTCTTACTGACTAAAAACCCCCTGTTCCTTCTCCTGCTCTGTGCCGAGCCTGTTACATTTGGTTTCGTAATAAAGGAGGCGAAACTATTGTCCGAACTATTTTAAATGCAATAGGTACTATGATCAAAATGATGTGTCAAGTTCTATGACACATAAATAATTATTTGTTATTTTTCCAACAGCAATACGTTTAAAAACTTCTTGCTTGCCATACGTGCTTTCAACCACTCGATCAAAAAGCTATATTTAGTATTTGCCCAGTTAAATAAAATTTATAATCCTCATGTCTAAACTTTTCCACCATAAACCTTTATGGTAGTTTTAATCCTCTACCTACGGTAAAAGCCGTTAAAACAAAACAGAAACGTATAAAACCTCATATAACACGAAATAAAAACTTTGGTTGCGTGAACCTTTGGTTGTAAATGACTGGTAAAAAACCATAATATTTAGGGTATCAGTCGTTCAGCAGTACTGGAATAACCATGTATCAAGTGAAGCATCTGTTAACACGCCAAACGCCACGTAGGTCACCGGTGACAGGGTAGCGGAGGATTTGCCTTCAATAGTTCTTGGTCGGCAGTCAATGGCCCCCACGCAAAAGGGATCCACGCGTAGCCTAATTCATTTCCATGTTACAGTATTTTTGTTACTCACAAACTCACTATTCGGTAATTCGGTTACATCCACACTTCCAGAGATACCCCTGAGATTCCTGTTCCTTCTCCTGCTCTGGGCCGAGGTCGCAGTGCCTCATTGCGCTTACCCCGCAACCCCGGCTGAACATCAGCCCTATAGGGGCCCGTCTGTGGTGGTCTTCCAGGGATACTCCTGTATGAGATAGAAAGCCCATCACCAAAATTTCTACGAGCCATGCGTCAACTCTGTTGATCTACCTAATATTAAAACCGAAAGTCGCGTAAAAGTGAAGTGTCATGAAGTTTAGAAGTAGCCTCACAATTCACGGTTACTGTTGTAAATTAACAAACGCCCCGCTAAGCCCCTTTATTACAGTTTCGAATCGTTACTCAACTTTATCAAGTTGATGCCTACACGATAAAAGTTGCGATAAATAGCGTGCTAACTTAAAATGTTTCTTCGATATTAATATTCTGAACATTTTTTTAGTGAGCATGGTTTCGATGTTTTTTTAAGCTCGTGTTGAATATAGCTTCTTTAATTGTATGATCTGCGCACTTTAATTGGAATGACTACTTTTGATGTAAAAATTACAGAAACAACATGGAACCTATCAGCATTAGGTATCACTTAGGTCTTGTTACTTAGATAATGTCGCGACCGACCCTCTATCTCAGATACCTTATTTGAATATTTTAATCTTGAATTTGAATAGTTTGTAATTTGACTGAAATTAGTTTTTTAGATGCGTTATGCTATGTTTTTTTCGTTTTAGGTACTTAATTAACTATATGTAAACAATCTCGTATGTCTTTTATCTAAAAGTTGCCAAAAAATGCTTACAATCAGGTATTAACTTAAATTGATGTTAAATTTAAATATATTTTACCTATATATATTTTATACGACTTCTTTAGTATACAAAGAAGTTTAGCGTTAGTTATCCACCTAAGCTGATAGACCATAATCCTTCACAGCTTGCAAGCTTACAGAAAAATATAATGATATGTATTCTATTTTTCTCCAAGCTCTCAGGGAAATGACGCTTCTCCAAGTTCCAAACCAAAAAAAAGGTTTACAATCCAATGTTCTTAATTCTAGGTAACTTAGGTTCAGCGTATGTTTAGTCTTAATCAGGTTAAGTTGAGCATCAGGACGTGTAGTTTACGAATACTCGTACAGATGATCCATCCATCATTTGTCTTCATCCAACTACAAGCAGTCAAAGGTGGATCCCCAAATAAAAAAGTATTTAAGACTTCCAACCAGAATTCTTACAAGACCTAGTTATCCATGGTTCAGTAGGTTACTACAAGCTATAATGTCTGTGTACGCCAAAATGAAAATACCATGAATTCTTTGCTGCTTGGCCTTTTTATTATTCATCACTTTGGATGTCTATCCATATAGAAGTTTTCGGTCACGCGACATATTTATTTTGCGGTTTTATTTGTACTTCGCTTTCGTAAGATTTATATGTATTTCGAAACATTTAATGTTTGCAGATAAATCCATATTGGATCAAGCTTTGGAAGATGTTTCGTTTTTGTTGGAACATCGCGAGGTAAGTAGACTTATACTTCTTATGATTATCAAAACCATAACATCTGTAATTCTACAGATTTCTCTTCGTGAACCCCCATAGATAGAAGACTAGTAAATGTTTTGCCAGCTACGGTCAAAGAAAAGACCTCTCTTACACATGTAAGATGCATTTACAGTCGCTCAGTGTTTAAGTTTGGGAGACCCATGTGAATGTGGAAGGGACATGTTTCGGCACAAACGGGCCCGCTTGACTGAAATGATACGACATCACAGAAAACTAGCGCACAACAACCTCTGCGTTGTATTTCGATGTGTGAGTAAGGTTACCAAAGGCCCAGTTCTTCCCATATCCACATGCCTCCCCGATCCTTAAATCCCCAAAATCTGTCACACCCAAAAGGCCGCACACTTTCAACTCCAAAACAACGTGCACAAGGCCTGTGACTTTTACTTTTAATCATATGAAAATCACTGCTGCAATCCCAAACGATTTTCATTGTAATGTCGTTCTTGAACTTGTAATTACGAAGGTCTCTGTTAACCATTGCGGTTGTCAAGGCAAGGTATATACAACCCTCATTACCGACCGGTAATAACTCCCAGTTAGGGTAGGTTCGACAAGATGTTACAGTAAAAAGTATGCCCCATCTAACTCGCATTACGACGGTCTCGTGACCAAAACCATTTCTTTTTCAAATGTTAAGAATGCTCACGAAATTGAACTCTATATTTATGACCTTTTATTCTTGTAAGGCAACCGAAAAAATCGGTATTTTGTTGATTTCGAGACTGATAAAATGGTTTCTATTAATAAAGACACGGATTGTCGTGTTGGGGACATTTGAGACGTTTTGGGTAGACACCTTTAATTGGTGTTTTAGCAAATTGTTAATTGTTTATCTCAATGTACCTATAGAAACTTTACAAATTGATAAATCATTCTTGAATCTTGGCCAAATGTATTTCTAGAATGTTTAATATGTATTGTCCTCTATCAATAGAATAAGAAGGTAATTATATAATAGAATATTTGCCGAAATGCAAATATACTTGTTGTGTTTACCCCATATCATTATTATTTCTACCAGTTTGTGGAACATCGTCACACAGTATGGCTGTTTCTGATGGAATTGGCGAGACGCAGATGGGGAGCTCGAACGCGAAGCGAGATGGAACGAGCCAAGCGACTCTTGGACGAGGCTGGATACCCTTTCAAAAACATTGAGAACCTTATATGGGAGGAAAGAGTCCATTTGGCTGCAGCTATTGCAAGAATCCGGATTAAAAATCGCGCTTTCTCGTAAGTCTCAACTTACATTACATTCATATCAAAGTAAGTGTAGGAAATAGTGTCTCGATTTTAAGCGATGTATTTCCTGAGAAACGAATCGACACGGAAAGAAATGACAAACAGTATATTTCAGGATAACTTTGCCCTTGTACAAAACCTTTTTCGTATTGAATATTTATCGAGACGAAATAAAAAGTGTACCATGCTTACGCAAATATCGAAGGCCGTAGAATGATGTATAAGGTCATTACAATGTTTTATTGTCTCCAGGCTGGCGGATTTATTGCCACCCCATCTGCGTGAAGAACGCGTGTCTGCGTGTGTCAACAAGGACAGTGTAACGGGATGGGTCAACACTTTCAAAGCCAAGTAAGTGTCATTTATACCATTTTGTACCGCTAACCTAAAACAGATAAGGTCTATCCTGTTGTCTTACCGTTGACTACCAATTACCTGAGGTAGCGGAAGATTCGCCTTCAATAGTTCTTTGTTGGCGTCATAGGCTTAATTTTGTTTTAGAAATACTTGTATGAGCCAAAGGAATGCCTGCTGAACAGGCATGCAAAACGCATGCACGACAATTTCCTTTCTCGCAGAAACGGCTCTGTAAATGACTTAAGATATTTGACAAGGAACAAACACTGAACTTTAAAAAAGGTCAGCGATCTAGTTTTACTAGGACTATTTTTTGGTACCAACTTTTAAGATAATCCATTTATTTCCAGAAAAGTTGCTCTTTTAGTGAAGAGGTTGCACGAGCTCGGCTACACGTACAGTAACTCTCGACAGCTGTGTGCCGGAGAGTACCGATTTGATCGCGTCTGTCCAAGGTACTTGGCACTTTGAACTTCATAAACGTTATATATATATACTTATACTTGTAGTTCATATTGATTTAATGGTCACTTTCAGATTCATCACTCTACGTCCACCAGAAAATAATAGCATTGGCCAATTGGATCTCGTGAAGGATGGAGTTATAGTGCTTCAGGTAGAAAATGTTATTCTCTTATTTAGTTCCTGATTGCTAATTAAAAACTGAATACTGCTTCAAATGCCGCCTTTTCCGTTTAGCCCTGTAATTTAAAACGGTTTATTGATTATTAGGAGCGCGAGTTTTGCGAAGGCGCATCGACGCTATGCCGTGCTCTTCGGGCAAATTCTCTCCGAGGAGTTGTGGCACAAACGCACGCGTCTTCTCCACGATGTTCGGCATACCTTGCTGCTCAACTACGTGAGCTGGCTGCAGTCCTTAAAGCAAAAGCGCCAGCAGCACCAGTCACACCTGAACTTGGGAAACTAGTCGTGTTTGGTGCTGGTGATAAGTACGCACAGAATATTGTATTGTACTTACCATTTTAAATTTTGTCTCCATTGTATTTATAAATGAATTGGTTTATGACTTTTCCCCAATCAAAATTAGAATTCTTCAGATGTAAATTCTGTTTTTCTATTTACAAACCAATGCAATTGCTACAACATTTTTTTCACTTTCACAAAGTAACTATATTATGTAATCTATATTACAGTCTAACTTTGCAGGGTTGAGAGCTATGTCTGTGCGCTTCGTGAACTCGGCATAGAAGCTTCAGAAGCACTTCAATCCGGGGCTCCTGTGTGCGTTATCAGTGACCCAGTACACTATGACACTCCTGTCGTCACTAACGCACTAGATGGAGTAGTTGCTGTGTTAGCCACGCCGCCTAACTCGTACTCAGCCGTCACAGATCCCATTGATCTTGTTTGCGGTCGAGGTGGGGATCTCGCAATGCTAGAGGTAGGGTGCACATATTCTGAAATATTGGTAAATGAGGAATGACTGGCAGGTCTCAAGAAACTAAGATCAAATTTCTTGCTTCAGATTTTAACAGAATCTGAAGTAGATGTTCAAGGCAAAGCTCGCGTGCAATCCATCTTGGAAGAGCAGAAGAAAACTTTGAAATCACTCATGTCTAAACCACAGGTACCTTCATAATGTCTTTTATTAATCACTAGCGGCCCGCCCCCGCTTCGCACGGGTCCGACTATCTCGCTATCAAAGGGTCACTTTTTATCTTCCCCTCTATTTTTCTAAAATTTTCTTTCATAAGAACCTTCTCCTGGCAATAACAAACACAACAAAAAAATTATTAGCAAAACTGGTCCAGGCGTTGTTGAGTTATGCGCTTACCAATACATTTTGCGATCCATTTTTATATATAAGATTTGAAGATACATCATATGAATCTTTAGTACAGAAAAGTTTATGTTTTACAGATTCAATTGATTTTGTATGAAACCCATTCGGCTTTGGAAGCTGAAAATCAAGCACAAATCACTAGGGCAGTGGCGGAGGCGAATAGACTGGCACGCGAACGACATGCGTTGCTCAAGAAAAAGCATCGTCAGCCTGTAAGCATACCGATTTTAACAATACTCTTGGATATCACATAATGTTAGTCGTATGACCAAAAGGAGGAATTGCTAAAATATATTTTGCTATTTTTTAGAGCCCACAAAAGCAAACTGCATCAGCAGCAGTAAATGAAACTGTAGTCGCCGATGCTAACGAGGCCAATGAACATATGGGAGCGAATGATTCCGTATCCTCCCTAAGCTCGATGTCACAATCCGGCTTAGACAAAGATGAGAACGACGACGATGAAACATCCGTTAGTGAATGCTCACTCACGAGGTCGCTTTCGGGTTCCCGGCCAAGTACAGCCAAGGACAAGCCTAGTACTACGGTACTGAATAAACGGGCGGAAAATTTGGATGTGCACACATCACCAGGGACGAATAAAGCAAGGCCTATCCCTGCAATGCCGAACTACGACATCCCAAAAGACCCAGATAAAGATAGCCCTGATGTAATTGTAAGTATGGCATGCAAATATAAACTTTAACAACAATATTTTCCATAAGAACATTTTCAATTTTGCGTTGCTATTCCAGGTGCCAAGTTGTGATCTATTTGAAATAAGGACACTACCGAATCTGGGGAATGGTTTGGATATCAACTACATTCTGGACAGAGACGGATGTTACCTCGGTTTAATTCAGAGAAAGGTTAGTTTTCTGTAACTAATTAATCGCGAGTTATTTTATTTCATTTTGCCAAGTCATAACGGCTACGCGACCGCTCTGAAAATGTGCTAGGTCGAGATATTGACGATGTTTTTATGAGCGTTACGTCGGAAATTATATAAGATCGTAGAGTCCTCATTAAGATGCCATTGGCCACGGTGGTTCTCGAATGTCAATGGCCAGGCCACAGCAACTGACGACGTCCCATAGCGTCATAGTGAAGTAGGCTCTTAGCGTGTTCAATATTCTTGTGCTGTGTGTTGTTATTGCTTTCGTATTGTGGTGCGAGACCTAGGCCTTTCACAACGGTAGGTTGACCGCAGGAGATCACCCGGCTCGACGCTAAATTTATGATCCGTGTGGCCGAGGACCGCGGGCTGTTTGGACCGGGCGCGGGCGCTCCACAACCGCAGCGACGCAAGCGGACTGAAACTGCAGCGCTGTCACCTCGCAGGAGACGACGCAAGGCTAGCTTTGAGGTAAGAATATGAAAGTCTTCAAAGTTATGTTGAATAAGGCTTAGAATGTTTGCCTCCAATGTTTTTCCATGGGAGGGTACCGGAGGCCCAATCCTTCATCCCCCAATCCCCAATCCCGAAAAGGCCAGTAAAGTACTTGTATCTCCTCTGGTGCCGCGGATGTCCATGGGCGGTTCCGATTGCTTAAAGAACAGCTCGTTTGATGTCTTGTTAAATAAAAATAAAAATAACCTCATGCTGCACTTTTCAGTTTTTGCTCACAGTTATTCTGTTGGAAAATATGCAGGTATACTTGAATTTTCACTCACTTTATATGGTAAAATGTAGGTGGAGCGAGTAGCGGCTCCAACATACGCGTCGATGTCGCGCGCGGCCCGTCGCGGCAGCGCGCCAGGTTGCCTGGACGCGTCGCAGTGCGGCTCCGCGGAGCACCACGTCTGCGAGCGACACGCGCGCCGCCAGGCTGCTGCCGCCGCCATCACTGCCGCCGCTTGTACATGTGATGCTAGACACAAGTAAGTAACTGCTATTTGATTACTTTTGAACTGATAGAACGTATTAAGGAGAAGGAACCTCCAGAAATTACACTAACTTCTTTAGTGTTATTACGGGAGGCCCTATCCTTCCTCCATCTAATCCCTCCCCATCCCTAAATCTCCAAAACCCTAATCCCCAAAAGGTCGACAACGCACTCCTTCGTTGTTGAGGGTGCCCACATGTGTACCAGAAAATCCGTGTGCTCGTGTGTTGTTTGTGTCCTGTCACATAAGAAAAAGAATAACTCGAAAGATAATACAGAGTGTAAAAAGACACTCAACAAAGCCGTTAACTACGCATACTGCAGTTCCAACTAAGTAGCTTTACGCTAAAATTATCACTGGGAAACGACTTTTATTTTTAAGTATCAAAAAAATTATAATTTTATTGCGCGCAATGTAAAGCAAACGGGCTTCGTGTCATTGTGTGCGTAGGTTTACAGCTTAGCATTAAAGCGCTGTGATAAGTACGTAGGTCGACGTTTTACTTCGCAACAACAAAACAATTCTGTAAAATAAAAATCCTACTGAGATGTACAATGTTTTTTGTGCGGGTCTGCATTTATTTATTACGTACATTACTGTTTTTAACTTCAAATGCGTAATTTATTTAGAAAAATCGAAAATTCAGATAATGTTTTGTAATAATGCTTACAATTCGACTGCGCAAAAAAAAATATTTAAAAATGCATCTTTGACCTTCTTTATCTCGAGAACCCGTGGAGTCCCAGCCATGGTCTTAAAGAAAAAAATGATCCAAATAATGGGTAGAATACGTGGCTTTCGGCTTCGTTAAGTGTCTTTTTACACCCTGTATATAGGTAGACAGACGATGCAATATCTATCCACTTCACACTGTTATTTTCTTTGTTGTACGTCCGATGCGTTAGAGGCTAGAAGCGTGTCTGCTGTCAAGCTCAAGTAGATACCATAATTATCACCAGCCAACTACGATTTAATCTAGTGAGCCACTCTGTCCTGTAGCTTAAGCTAGTAGTAATGTCTGCAGATAAGGCCCACTAGGGATGACATTCAGCCAAGGTAACTGGTCAAACGCTATAATGTACACCACGGACCCGGCCTGAAACAAGACAAGTCATGGGGTGGATTATGGGCAGTAAGTGTCTGACACACCCTCTCGCCCCACCCAGGGCTGGAGGGTGAAAAACAAACTAGCAAAATGCAGTACCTACTACTTACTTTTCGCGTATTCCAGACATCGTCGTTCGTCAGCGGCTGGTGTGGCAGGCGCCCCCGCTGTTTCAGGCGCGCGGCAGCCCGACGCTCCCTGCCGCCGGCCCTTTCCACTTGTGGTTCACGAGTTACAACTTCAAGCAGTCGTACAACAGCAAAAGATTTTCGCTTCCTGAATTACGAGTGTTTTTAACTATCTCTTGTTTATCCCTGATCTCAATTCAAATGAACTTATACACGAGTGAAATCCGTGATTTTCACGGCACAGGGTACAATACAAAACGTTTCTTTATTATTGTGTTCTTGTTTTCATCGCCTGGATATTTTGCTTTATGAAAAATTCTACTGACGTTTGTATAAAATACGCCAAATAGGTACTTAAAAATTGACTCTTAAAATATATGAATGGTACAAAAAATGAAAACATAAACCTTTTAATATAAAATATTTGTTTGTCTGGGCGTTATCGTCGCTTTTAGGATAGAAGTACAGTAGCTACAATGTACCTAAATTATCTCATATTAAACTGAAAGAGTTTACGCATTGGTATCAGATTTAGTTTTAGTTTAGCTAGTAGATAATAAAGATAAATATGTTTTGCAAAAACGTTTAGCTAGCGAAATCTTAGTTCATATTTTCTGTCGCAACTTTTTGTTAATTGTGGACTTTACATTTTATGGATCCTTTACATAATATTGCCATCAGTAAAAAGGATTTTCTACTGAAATGTACCTATTGATGTTGTATATTATAACAATAAATCAGTTTTACAATGTTTACATTTATTTACTTTGCAACAATAAATTCCGTTACCAATAAGTACTTCGGTCATATTATTTACCTAACCTGTTTCCGATTACTTCGAAGTTTTTAGATTTTAGATCGCAAAATCCATTGGGCATCTATATATGTCATGGCTGCTTAATTTATTCTGCTACAAATGGCCACGTAGGAAATGAATAACTAAAAAAATTCTGACCTTAATTTATTGAAAATTCTTTATTTTGGTATTCCAATAACATAATAAACTTACAACAAAAAACGTTCAATACTGTTACAAAGCTAAACAGCCCATTTTCACATTCAAATGAAACTAAAATCGTGTATAAATAAAACAAACATTTTATTCATGAATGTTACAAAGACCAGTAATGGTTTACAACAACTCTGGTTTGTTCAAAGGTATTAAAGCAATCCGAAGCCTTTGGAGTAACTTATAGCTTTCATCAGTCTGTCTTGTAATTTGTCCTTAGTTTCGTATTCTGGGAGTAGGAGGACATTGAAACACGTGTGGGCGGTGGGGAGACGGTCGCAGTCTGGTCCATTCCTGGCGATGACGAGTTTAAGGTGGCTAAGCCCCCCCACTGGCACGCGATCCGACCCAGTTGTGAACTCCAACAGTTTTCGTTTATCGTCTAATGGTAGACTGTGGACTACACTCCAGAAGTCCTTTATTGTTTGTGACTCTGCCGTGTACCCGCCATCGTACTCTGTCGATTTCTCCAGCTCACTGAAGTCTAAGTTCTGTAATTAAGCATGCTAATTTAGATATGTTTGCTAGTTATAAACATAATATGTAGAAAGGGCAAAACGGATGAAGATCATGCCACAAGATCATGCCACAAGATTGATACAATTAGCAAAATGTGTTATTACTTATCACAAAATAAAACAAAATTTTTAATTTGTGGTGGCCCGGAGCTAATGGCGTCCGTTTGTCATGCATTAGGGTGCGGGTTCGAAGCCTGACAAATACCAATGTGACTTTTTCTGAGTTATATGTTTTTCGATGATGATAATTTAAACACCACTGCCAAACGGTGAAGGAAAGCATCGTGAGGAAACCTGGGCTTATGATTTCCCATTATAAGTTTAAAATCGCCAATCCCCCTTAAGCAAGCCTGGTGATTAATGCTCAAACCTTCTCCGTGTGAGAAGAGGCCTTAGCTTAGCAGTTGGCACTTTTAGGCTGATTAGTTAATGTGATGTGATGTCAAAAAATTACACACAATTACTTTTCCCTACGAAAGGGAAACCACAGAAAAAAAAAATGCAATTTAAAATTACATTAGCGAATACTTAAGAATTGGAAAGGTGTTAAATTATGACAGTATTGAATACATACCTTGCTACCACAGACAAGCATCTCGACCTCTTCGGGTCGGAACAGCGCGGCCAAAGGGCTCTCATCAGTGACCATTAGGAAACCCCGCCTGAACGCCCTGAACTGCGTCTCTACAGACTCATTTAACAAGAAATCCGCATACATTTCCACAAACTCCTGCAATTTAAGGGAGATATGGTTAGTTACGTAGTTAGTGTAACATATAGGTTGTATGGCAAAATTTAATAATAAAAGCATTGATTAGGTTTATTGGTTTCTTTTTTTTGAGAGGGAGAAAATTAACAGTTGACTTCTCCAGCCCAGGGTAGGGCGGGAGCGGGGGGAGGTGACAGACTTACTGACTTAACCCCGCCCCTCTTCCTTCTCCTGCTCTAGGGTAGCAGAGGCAAAAAAATATAATTGTTGAGATATTATGACACAAAAATGTTCAAGAACTACATTTGGCATCAGAACCTTTTTGAGAGTTCATCTTACTTCGGGTACTACCATTATAAATGTTTCACTAACACTTTCATAAAAATATTAAAAACTTACCCTTTTATTTTCCTGAGTAACAAATATATTGTCTCCATCTTCTTTAAGATCGTGGAAAATGGCATTGCCAAATACATCTGTGTACCAAATCCTAAATGTTTGATAGTAAACTTCTTCTAAATCGTCGCCGGTGTAATCAAGCATGTCTTTCAAACCATTGTAGAGTGTCTAGAATAATAAAAGGAGATCACATTAAAACACACACAGATTAGACAAAAACATTATTATAAGAAGGTTGTATTTTTAAGGTTTTGAGTGATAAGTATTCGAATATTTTTAAACTCTTTATAACACTAAAAGCTTTATGAAAGAACTCTTTTTAGAAAATAATTTTAAAACTACAAACAAAACAATCTTGTTAATCGGGAGCAAACTGACTGCTTGCTCGTACTCCTTTTCGAATGAGGCATTTAGATTGAAAATGCAAGAATAAGGTTGTTAAGTAAATCTAACCAAGAATCTGTAAAAAAGGGAGACATCCACTACTGAACATTTCATTTGTTCAGTAGTAGGGTATAGGTTACTTACAGGATTCCAGTCAGCCAAATCTTCAAAAGATCCCTTCTTGCCCATGAGTTTCCTATACACAACCATAGGGAAGTTGACTGCCAATATAACATTATTGTAGATCGCTAAACCAAGTACTATGCCGATTAACGTGAACTGAGCTTCGGTTTCAAATGACGTCATGTTGAACCTAAAAGAGAATTGATAATCATTATTATTTTTCGAATTCATTGATTATGGTCCTTTTCTTACAACGGAACAGTGAGAAATATTTTTCCATATAGGATTGCGACATTTGAAACTTGTTGATCAAAAATGTTAGTCTTATCTTTATTCAAACATTACCCCTGCACTAGGATTTCCCCTTGTGCGGTTACAAAGACTACAAAATGAAATGCCCACATCTGGGACTACAATTTATAGATCACTTTAAGAGTTGTTCCGTGCGGGAACCGAACCGGCGACAAGACAACAGCCATTTGCTCCGCCACTGCGCTTGCCGTGCAGAAACTTATAAAGAATTACCAAAAAGTTTGTGCACCTTCCAAAAAACTATTTTTTTTCTCTTAAAACAGATCCCTTAGTTATGTTTATAAGTAGATTTAATGGTTAATTTGAATATTCCACCTCAAGTTTATATTAGAACAAGACTACATACCACACAGTTTGCGAGTCGGGGCGGTGAGTGAACATGCCGTAGTCAGGGTTGAAGATTTCTTCAACAATTAACTGGAAAAACTCTTTAGACACTCCACCCTCATCCACGCCTTGTTCACCTTCGAACTCCACCACCAATTGTTTTTTTAGATCCAAAGCTCGCTCCATTGCTACCATTTCCAACTGAAAGTTAACAAAACATTTGTTTACATTAAGATTAATAAACTTAGGTTTAGATAATGTGACTTGACTCTTAAGTTGTAATAATATAGTACAAAACATGACCTGACATATTTTTAGTCTATTTTTTAACCATTGAGTCAGGTTTTGTATTTTGTATCTTATTCTCACCTACCTTCAATTTAAAATACAAAAACCGGCTCAATGGTTTAGACTTAGACTAAAGAAAAACCTTAAACCGTATATCTCGTAAAAGTTCGTTTAGATTACAAAGAAAGTAAAAATGCATATTAATTTAAGACCTTATTATTATAGACCCAAAGATATATTTAAGATGGTATCTAAAACGATAAATATCAAAAATACTCACGCCAACTAAAGCATCGTCGATGATATGAGTACGTCGCACTTTGAGCCTAAGGAAAGGCATGGGTGGTGCGGCCCCTACTACGGCGTGCAGTAAAGAAACTCGACGTTCCGAATACATTCGAATTCGATTCTCATAGTAAAGGCCAAGAGATTTAGTGGCTACCGTCAATATAAACGGATACCTTAGGAACGCGAATTTTTTACCTACAAAGAAGAAAATAAGTGATTAAATTAGTTATAAGGTAATGCAGGTAACAGAAATAAACGTTAATTACGTTTAGGAATTAGGTCATAATATCCAAATATTGTATGGTTGAAACAGAAAATAGGTGGCGCTGCTGTCGATTACCATCATATCAGTTCAAAAATGAAAGTAACGAGGTATGAAGTAAGATTTCAGATATTCAATATGAATAAATGGAATAATTTTGGACAAAACGCTACAAACATAGCTATATTCTTATATTTGATAGTATATGTTTAAAGTTTATTGAATCAAAACTATAAAAGGAAAAATATAAAGTTATAAATAAACTCACCTTTATTTATTTCCGTCTTATAATTACCGAAATCTATGTCCATTTCAATAGTATCACTAAGAGGTTCGTTGTAGAATTCCTCAAATGGCAAGTATGGCTTTCTAGCGTCTAATACATTTACATCTAATTCAATGGCTGAAACAAAACAAAAACTGTGATAAACAAAGGCAAAGAAGGATCATCACAACACATAGACATTAAACATTGAAAAAAGAATATTACGCTAAAAAGAACTTTAATACCACTACATAACAGTTTAAATTTCAACCAAACGATTAAATGCCAAACATCAATACATTTTTATATGAAAGTTGAAAAAAATCACAGTAAAAAGAACTTTAATATCACTCCACAGAGTTCTAATTACAACAAAATTACTGAACGGCAAAAAATATTTACCTAGGGGGTCATCCGGCTGCGATTGTTTCGAGGCCTTCATGGAACTCGGTGGGTACAAGTCTAGAACATTCTCGAAGGGGTCTTGTTGACTTGCGATGACTATAGGCTCCTCTCTAAGACTATTTGACTCCATCGAACCGGCTAACATGTTTGCGTAGTATACAATCTGTGAATTTGAAAAGAAAAACATTCTTCAAAACGTCACGACACGCAATTACATACCAAAGTCATTGAAAATTATGAAAAAGAAACTACCAAGTATGTTTGTGTTACTTAGACCCTGGAGGGTAACTTTGATCCAAACCCCTTAACCAATAATAACCCAGAACCAAACGTATATTCGTTTTTCATTGGTTTGCAAAATTGGACCAAAATTACCTCCCAGTGTCCACCAGAATTCACGGTATTGTATTTGACTAGTTTTTAAGGATCCAATCGTGCCAACAATCAGAAAAACATTTGATCTGATAATACAGTACAATAATATTAAATAAAGAACTCTACTTTGGTACTAACTTTAAAAAAATGACTAAAACTAAACAAAAAAGAAAAGCAAATAGAACCTTACCTTCATAAACTTAGTTGCCATGGTGACAACCTCATCATCCTGCAGTTGGAACTGCCTCGTGTAGTTGGTGGATATGACCCTGAGCGTGATGAGCTGCTGCAGAGTTTCCAAAATATGGCGCAAGCTGTCCTTGCAGTCCTGGGCCCAAATACGTGCTAGACGCGCCTTACCTGAGAATATAACTCAAGTTAATAACAACACCACATTTTAGTTTACTGTTGTACTATCTACAAGAGATGTTTGGCAGGTAGGCTAGAAATGCGGTTTAAAGGGTCTGTCAACTATGTAATTCTTTAGTTGACTCTAACAAGTAGCAGCAGTAATCTTAAGCGGGCGGTGAAAGAGTGGGAATAGGTTTGCGCAGTTTACTGATGTTTTATGAGTAGGCTTGCTTTACATAAGCAGGTTTGGCAGATTGGCTATAAATCGCAGATTAGAGCCTCTGTCAACTATGTAGTTCTTTAGATGGCTCTTACATAAACTGACAAGAATCATGAGCGAGAGGCGAAAAAGTGGGAATCTGTTGACACATCTTGCACGTGCACTTTTTTATGAGACATTCTCGCCTTACGGCCTAGAAAACAACGAAACACTGAAATTCGGAACAGATAGGGGTGGTAATAAGTATATTCCACACCTAGTAAAAACTCAGTTTTTAAGCAAAATATTTTATGAAGATATTTACTAAACATCAGGATAAAGTCGCCTAAATCTTATCCCTGACTATCAACCTATGTCTGTACCTAATCGCACTCCGATCTTCTCAGTAGTTTTAGCATAACATACACGAAAACTTACATAACATACAATCTCACAAAATGTCCTTTTATAACATATGCAGGATATTTCTTACCTTTAAGAGGTAAATGCTCTGCAGCCTGGCACAGTGCTGGCAGTGCTATCTCGAGGTAGTCACTGCAGCCAAGATCTGGAACTTCGAAGGCGATAACAAAGCAATTGACTACATCTTCTATGCTCATTTTCTTGGTTATCCGCAGGTCTATACACATGTTGTCGGCTAACGTCTTCAGTGACGTCACTAGTGCTGAGCTATAGTATTCAGATGGCACCTGCAAATAATGTAAATATTAATATGTGTTAGGATAATAGACATTTTGAAATAGGTAGTATTTTATGAGACATACAAAATTTATTGATAATAACGACTTATTCACGTAAAGTGGTCACGAATCAGTCGGCTGCGAGACTTAAGTCGCGAAGCGCTCTTTGCTCTTTAATAAGAATCCCTCGAAATTAGGCTTTGTTCTTGTTCAGCAGTAGACTTGCAAACGCTACAACCGAATAGTTTTACTTTCACTAAGTTTACACTCACTTTGGCAAGGTATTGAAACGCTCTACGACATGAGGCCACGTCCAGCTCTGGCCCCGCCACGCTATCCACATCTTTATCTGGATCACTTGATAAACACATTGCTTTTGATTCTTTATCTGAAAAAAGGAAAACTCGGACTCAGAAGGCTAAAACCACAATCGAACATGTAACACGTTGCGCAGTAGTTGGTTCCCCAGCCACTACGCCAAAAGAGCAGACAAATTAGTTACTTAAATCTTAAAAACAAAAATTATGTAGGACAGCTAAGCTTCGGCAAGAATGAACCGGAATATCATGGCCTCACAGAAAAGGGTCAAACAACAGTTGCATTGGATCCCCCCAAAAAGGTTGGCAACGGACTTGTCACTTCTCTGTTGTTACTAGGATCCATGGGCAGTGTCAATTGCTTACCGCCAGATTATGAAACGCATCGCACAAAGACAGAAGAAAAAAAGACCAAAAGAACTCACCTTCATTCATTTTAACTTCCTCATCGCTATTCGTGACCGTCTTGCTGGCAAAACACCTCGCGAGTATGGCTGGTTGTGTGAACGCCTCTCCAAGAGCCCTGATCAGAGGCTCCCGAACTTTATTCTGGAGACACTCCTCACACAGCTCATACATACGCTCCTCCGTTAATGGGACACCATCTGTGTATAAATTTTCCAATTCTTCTAAAAACGCGGCCATTAAAATGTCGAGTCGGCGGATCACCCAATCTGCTCTTGTACGACTCATTGCGAGAAAGAGATAAACAGAGTCTTGATCAGAAATAAACAATATACAAGTAATCAAGTATACGGTATGAAAACGGGAACGCGAATAACTTAGATTAGGGCGAAATGATATTTATATAGGAATTGCAATTGGTAAGAAAGTAATTACTTAATTTCTTTTTTAATGTTATGATTAACTTTTTTTTAAAGACTTAATTTGAATGATTTGTGTAATAGACACTTAATAAATGAGCTAGGATTTTGTCATTACGGTTATTAGCCATCAATAAATTGATGCTCATTACAAGTTGATACTTTAGTTGAATTAATTGAGTATACAATTTTTGTGTTGATGATAGTTTATTATAAAATCTAAAATAATCATTATAATAATTTGTGCTCCAATTTCATTTAATTTACAAATAAATTATGTTCGTTTACTACCTCTTTTGCAAAATTAAGTCGCTCTAAAGCATTTACTTATTAATTTATTGAGATTCATGCACACATATTTTAGTACACAGGTGAACTAATTGCTGTTGGCATTATCTACCATTCTAACCTTTGAGTGATGCAGAGATGAGTAAAAAACGGTGAGTGCGAGCAGCAAACAATCCTTACACTAAATTTAAAGACAAAAAGACTCAATCCAAACTTAATATTTTAAATGCAAAAGTAACTCTGTCTGTCTGTCTTTTCTTCACGCCTAAACTACTGAACCGAGTTCTGTGATGTTTGGTACAGACATAAAAATAAAACGTACGCCTTCGTTTATCGTAATTTCTAAAACAATCTTTCCAAAATATCTTATCTATCTGCTTAAAATCACATGATTTATTGATTATAATCTATGGATTAAGTATAACTTACTACCTTACTTGATATAGTAAAATATTACGGGCAAAAATAGAAAAAGATCACCAAGATTAAGACTAGTAAAAGTAAAATTATAATCAAGATTTCCATGTGTTGGTATCTTTTTTAAAGTCTCCAAAAATGACTCCAAAATAAAAATATTGATCACGACGTGTTTGATGTGACGCAGGCACAAGTTATAAATAAGCTTACACATTATATTTCATTCATTATATAATTTCACGCATTAATAACTTTTTACGATCATATCGTGTAGCGGGTTGTATTGCGATTGTGTGTTTTTATAAAGTGGCAGAAGCAGAAGGCTTCGGCCACACTATGGAACTACTGTATATATTTAGCTACCGTAGCAGTTTCACCCGCGTGAGTTTGTGAAAAAAGAACTTCGAACGATCGACTTCCGACGATTGGTTAACTTGGAGCAGCCCAATTAGAGCGCCAAATGTCATCAACGTGCCGATCACATTGAGGAATAGTAGACTTGCACTAGGCATTCTGTAGTACGTCCCCATTTTCACAGTAAGGGCGGTTAACCGGTAGCGGAAAAACGATTAATATATAATCTTTTTTCTTGGGATATATAGTTAATCTGTTTAATATTGCATTTGTTTTCATGGTAAAGAGTTTATGTTTTATGTTTGAAAAAACTAAGGGCCTTGCTCCTAACTCTGTTTAGCTTCTAGAAGCAAAAAAAAAGGCTGGTTTGATATAATACTCACTGTTATGACTACGAATTTTGGATTCTTCTTGGTGAGATAAATTATGACTAGTTTGTGGTTCTTCTTCCTTGGATGTACTCTCCCTCACATTGGTAGAGGGCTTGGCCTGTTTCACCTTGTTATCATCCTTATTTTTTGAAGTGTTACATGTTGTGCTACAAACAAATATTATGTGTTTTCTTATTATTCTAAATAATTGAATTTTTTAAAGATGTCATTGATTATTGTAAGGAACATTCATTTGATTCGAAGTGACTGTTTTGTCATTGAGCAAAACTTGGGGTTTGCACAAAGACAAGGCAGTAGTTTCTACAAAAATCTAAAATACAGTAATAATATTTTAAACATTTTAAATAAAAATCCAGGAAAACTAACAACCCACAAAAGCTGTAGAGTAATTACTATATATAATTCTTGATCTTTTATGGTAAACAATGGTAATTATTTGTCACATCCAAGTACAAAACCAATGACATCACTTGGGAAATAAACTATTTATTGATAAGATGTTTACTTACCTAGCACTAGAGTCACAGCCACTTGCCTCAGTGCGAGGAACTTTGTTAGGCAATGTGTCACAAAGGCGAGCCTCTTTGTAGAACAGTTTTATGGCTTCTGCAGCTGCCTCATTTGGTGATAAGTTTCTAGCCTACAAATATCATTCATAGCGTACAGATCATATTATTACCACTATTCAATAAACATTAGGAATTTCCTTTTGTAATATTGCAAACGACAGATGCAATGCATGCATGAAATTTTTATTCCCATCTGGGTGTTAATATGATGTGTGCTGTAGGTTAAATAATTATATTATACAACCTTTTTAATATTTCACATGTATGGAAAATTTTATTTGTATAAAAAAATATCCATCTATGTAAAACCTATATTTACAAATGAATGAATGATTGTGATTATGTTTACATGCAAATGCACCCACAAGAAAATTAAAACAAAAAAGAATAATCACATGACAGGTTTATTCTATATTTTGGTAGCTCGCTCCCACTTCTAAACTTTAAATTTGTTTCAGTATTTTTTGTTTGTTACATGACAATAAAAATATGTCTGGCAACTTTTTTATTATCCTCTGTATTAAAAAAATTTTTTTTTCCCTGCTGGCATCACTAATGAATTTTTCATCATCAATATTGATTTATTGCCACACTTCATGTCACCAAAACAATATTATAAAAAAAAATTATAACAAATAAATATGTTGGTACATTTCTCAGTAAACCTAACAAATGACACTGACTTTCTACCAACAGCTAACTGCAACTGTTGTTGTTTATCAATCACTTAGTACCATATAAGTTTTGTATATATCTATGTGATATTGATTACACAATTATTAATGGCCAGTATTGATTATTGTGAAATTCACGAACAAAACACAAGAATGACAGAAAAAAGTCAATTCAAACGGCATTGTCATGTTTTACACTGCTGGTATTGTAACAAAAATAAAACTAAAATTTTATTATTTACTTGATTGAAACACCATTGCACAACACAATCAAATAGCTCTATAAATTAAAAAAAAGTTTGAAAATTTATATGTATAACTGCAGTTTCCAGAACTTCAGTAGCAATGTCATTATAAAAAAATGGATTTTTGAACTGGCTTTTTGCTTTTCTATTGCACTTATTGCGAATGTAAACAAACAAAACAATGGGCAGTAATGATTACCTCTCCACTTGATGCACAGTACTGGTTGTCACAGTTTGGATTGCCGCAGCCATCTAATAGCTGGTAGAAATACCTCTCGATCAGCTGTCTAGCGGCAGCACGCTTCATAATGTCTTCAGTACGGTTGGTTACTGCACCAGAGCATAAACTTGTCGAAGGCTCCTCCTCACTTCTATTTGGGGCTGGATTTTTTGACGATGACGCTTCGCTCCCCCTTCAAATACACACACAAATATTGTACTCGATTTCTCCTGCCGATGCGACGTAATTTCAATACAAAACAAAGAACGAAAATAGCAAGTAATGCCTAACCTAACCTTTGTTATTATTACGTATTATTTTATTGTATTCTCAAATCTAGTGACATTATGTTATTTCATTATGTATTAGCAGATTTGAACTGTTTTTTTACATGGAAATAACACAGCAAAATTACCTTGAAGCTTCGTCAGTTTCGCTTTTCGAGTTCATAGAAATTAATGCGCTCCAATTCAAAACAACCCCTAATCGACACGTTACATAAATGCAGTCGAATTATTATGTACATTCGCCAGATAACTGCTATATTTACTGTTTTATTGAGTTACACAGCAGGTATACAAAAATACCAACAAAACAACTGTTCTATTCTCTTCCATTCTATTCTTTTTTCTGTCAATTTCGTCTACCATTTTGGTTTTTCACTTAACATTACACGCAATGTGATTTCCAAACACTGTTGTAAATTTAGAAACATTTGGCTCATCTAAAAATACTGTCTTTTTCAAGGCTACAAAATTGTAAGGTTGGGATAACTAGAGTAATCTTTTAATAGACGTATTTTCAATTATTTATTAAACAATTAGTCGTTTATGTAGTGTAATTGACAGTTAAACATTTATCGTACAATGGAATGCACTGACAGATATGAAAAAGATTATTGTGTAAAAGCTTGGCTCAAAAAACTTGAAGTCAAAGCATGAAAAAACAGATCGTATTCTTCCTCTATGATTCTTCCTTCATTTCATTCATTTGTCATTTCATTTCACCTCTGACATTAAAGGGTTGAAGGCACTTGATTTTCTGTCATTTTTTGTTGTGACTTGTGTGAGTTTTGTTGTGTAAAAATCTAAATTACAATTAAATCAATATTACTGGTGTATAAGCAAGTTGTAAATAGGTTATAACAATGACGGAAGTTTTGCCAGTTGAAGAAAACAGAGAAGACCGTGTGGCATCTATTCTAAAGGGCTTTCAAGTGTAAGTATCCTTTTTCCATAGAAATATTCAATATGTTGCGTGACTATGGCCTATTATCACAACTATGTTCAAAAAGCCTCGTTAGTGAATATTTCTCGTGTCGTTTAATAAATAATTCCTTGCAGTCAACCATTTATGATCCAAAAATATTTTTTTTTAAGTGTTCTGTTGTAAACCCTGAATCATTGAGTGATTATCTTAATATCTAATGCAGTGTAGTTATAATTTAAGTATCACAACAATTAGTTTGTGTTTAACTTTTTTAATTGACTTGAATTTCATTTCATACTCACCATCAACAGTTAAAATCTAAACAATATCAATCTGTTATTCTATTCAAAAAAATAACACATGTTAAACAGAAAAATGATTTATTTTTTTAGCTTTTGACAATAAATCAAGTAAACAGTATCACACAAAATATGCTAAAGGGCTGTGAGATCCAATTTTGAGTTATTTTTTGAATTAGGTACTAAGGCTCTGGACATGTTTGCCTGTGTATTGAAATGTCATATAAGTTTATAGGTTACTTGCATGGGATTTACATTTATGAGAGGACAAGCTGTGCCCTCCATTTTCACTGGCCGTTGTTCACTGGGGATATTGTAACTGGCTTCGTAACAGTAAAAGTATTTTTCAATTTTCAAGAATTTTCACAGCCATTCAATAACAACAAACATATAGTCAAATTTTTCTTTATTTATTTGTGTTAAAAAGCAAGAGATCAAATGTTGCATGTGGTATTTTTCATAAATAATAAAAGTGTGGAACAAATACTGTTGAATGGTAAAGAGAGATCTGTTCCACAGTGAAGTGAAACTTCCACAAAACCAATTGTTTTTTCAATTCAGTCTAAATCTTAATATAAAATATTTTCTGTACAGGAACTGGATGAACTTGCGAGATGCAGATACTGGTGAGTAAAAGTTTTTACTTTTCATATGTTGACTTAAATGTAAATAATATGAATATCACTAGAAACTCTCACTATAGTTGTCAATTATTGTTTAAATATCATTTACAACTATAAGCTAATTTTGTGACGGGGAATATCATCAAATTACTACTCCCGCAAGGCTGAGGCAACGCAGAGTGTCAGATTTATCCTGCTCTAGGCGAGGCAGCAATACTATATTGTGCTTGCCCTGCAACCCCGGCTGACAACTATAAGCTTACAATCCTGAGTGCAAGGTTCTGTTGGCATTTGCTGTAACCTTACTTTAAAAACCAAATGCTTAGTTATATTATTAAGTGTTTAGTTTAGAAAAGCATTTAAATCTGATGGATGCATAGCTTGTGGGTAGCTGTCTTGTAAGGTACTACAGCTTGGGCCTAACTTATGAAGGTTCATTGTAGTTTAACTATTTAGTTAATCTATAAATTATGGTGTTGGTACAACCATCTAATTTCATATAGCTAATAAAATAACATTGTATTAATGCAATTGTGATAATAATTAGTTAATTATATAATTACACATTGTTAACTAATATGTCTTTTATAATAATATCAATTTGCTTAAATAAGTAATTACTGATACAGTAGTTTAGTGATACAGTATTCAAGTTATAAGAGTTTCGGAGGAGCAATACTCATTAACTCACCTTAATAAATATTTAATATAATAAATGTTTGCCATCCACTACATGCAGATGCCAGCGGGCAGAATAATGCTTATAACTACTATGAAACCCACAGAACAGAAAATTAAGTAGAAGTGCCCCTACACTCTTTCAAAAGGAAAACCAGTGTCGCCAAAATCACACATTCGCAAATCAAATTGTCCATTACACACATAAAAAACAGCTATGTAATTGGGTAAAAAGATGAAACGCAACTTTAGCAAATCATCTTCTAAATGTTGTTAAAAATTGAGTCTTATAACAATGAGCGAAAGTTGTTATCATTTCACATGTCACAATCAATAAAGGCGTCTATCGTGTAAAAAACTTAAATAAAACAATTTACAAACGGGTTCAGCCACTCAACGCTAGATGGCGCTGTAACAAATTCATTCTATTCAAAACGCTAACTTCTTTGAAATAGATGTCATATTTGTATGCACTTGTACCAATTGACATTACTATTTTGCTACTCAGATAGGGCAGGGTATCCCAATATATCGATGTTATTTATTGTATTCGTGTGAGCAATATATGTAATTTATCGACACAATATACCTACAAAATATAATCAGTAATGGAAAAGGTTCTAATAGAAAAAAAAGAAAAATATTAACATTTTTTGAAGATTTAATATTTTTTGGAAATGGTCAAGTTATTATTAAAGATTTCGATTTAAACATATCAAAGCACTACGCGCTCCTACAAGTTTTATCTCCTTTCCAACAAAAATATAATTATTAAAATCGGTTCATAAATAACGGAGACGAACGAACAAAAAAAACATGTGCGGTCGAATTGAGAGTCACTCTCCTTTTTGTAACTCTGTTAAAAATCATGTACAACATTATAAAATAAAAATTGTGATTAACCACCCGCACCTACCACAGACGGATGCACGCTGTGTGTGGTTAAAACGTTGATGTGTCTATGCAATCTTAGTTAAACATTTATGAATTATACTCAAAAATTGTCAAAAATCAATTTTCTGAACGATGATGATGAAAAATTCTCGATACGAACCTAATTTACGAATGTGTCCCATCCCTAAATGAGTAGCGTCGAAACTACTGGAATATATTGTATATAACGTCACATAACGAACAAGTAGATTTAAACTTAATTGTAATGAAAATAAGGCCCTTTATAGTTTGCATTGAAGTAATGAAATGTGATATTTACATTAAAATCAAATATATTTAAAATTAACAAAGGTTAATACTCAAAGATGATACGATACACCACCACAAGACTCATCTTTTTTTTTGCTTACTTTTTTGCAGTTGAAAACCGCACAACAAGGCATAATTTCTAATATATTTCGTGTTTCTTAGAGACAACCATGACAACCAATCATGACAACGGATCGAACGATTCTGACAACAAATGTGCCAAAATGTTGTATATCTAGTCATCATGTTGGTTAGCGCGCGATGTCTGAGCGGCACTTCCACTGTATTTTCTATTCCGTGATGAAACCAATAGTCTTATAACATAAGTCTCACATGTTATTCCCTGTAGCAGGTAATCAGAGTAACAATATACAGGTCTGATAATTTAATTTTTGTTGACAGGCAAGATCCTTTGGCAGAATAGCGAAGACATGTCAAACCCTGACATAGAGCATGAGGCACGCGTGCCTAAGCGCATCCTGAAGTGCCGCGTCGTGTCTCGAGAAATGAACTTCAGCTCCATAGAATCTATGGACCGGTTCCGTTTAGAACAGGTACTGTATCGCATCAATGTCGACCTTTAATAATAAATGTGAGACTGTGTTCATTCATGAGACATGTTAAATTCGACGAAAGTTAATCATCTGTTCGTGGCCCCAAAATGGTACTCGTAGTAAATGTTGGCAGCCCAGATAGTGGCCTGAGCTGAGACTAGTCGAGTTGTCCCATCGTGGGTTCATGAATCATGTCTTTTATATAATGTATTGGAAATAAGGCAAATTACACAAACTTAATGCTGAAACCAGAATACATTACTCAAATCTTTCCATAATATAATATAATAAGACAACAATATTTGCTAGAGCTAAGTAAATTACTTGTACCTATCCTTAAAACCAGAGAATTGAGATCTTTCTATCTGTGATTGACGGCCTTACGACGGATATTCTTTTAAATACTAATAAAAATATCTGTTTTAAATTCCAGAAAGTTCTATTCAAAGGTCGATGCTTAGAGGAATGGTTCTTCGAGTTTGGCTTCGTGATCCGCAATTCTACAAACACGTGGCAGTCTGTTATCGAGTCTGCTCCTGAATCTCAGATGATGCCAGCTAATGTACTCAAGTGAGTGGAAATTTAGTACTTTCGAGTTTCTATAAGTTCAATTTCAAGTAGGTATGGTCAGCTGGAGAGAAATTGACCCCCCTGAAGTACAAATATGTATGCAGCTATCTGCATAGTTGGATCCTTTTCTCTGCAGCTGACTGTACAATATTAAGGGCAGCTATTCAAGTGTCGAATGTATTGTACTGTATGATTAGCGCAAATTACTTTCTTTTAATGACATTAAATTTTTAACCACAATGTTCATTACTATATTTTTTATTTAATATCTATGTATATAAAAGAAAGCCGTGTTAGTTACTTCACTTATAACTCAAGAACGGCTGAACCGATTTAGCTGAAAATTGGTAGGGTGGTAGTTTAGAGCCAGGAGAAGGACATAGGATAGGATAGAATAGGTAGTGTAGGTAAGGTAGAGTAGGGTAGGTAGCGTAGCGTCACGTGCCGCCGTGCACAATGACGGTTATAGAGGTCACGTACCTCTGGATGGAGATGTGCCATAACAGGCGTTGCACCAAAGGGGCTCTGGAGTTGGTCTATCAAGAGGTCCCGGTGTCCCTTATAGGTGTTGATGGTGGCCACCGGGGAGGTTTTAGTGAGGTAAAAATCCCACACTCCCTAGTCTTTTTCCCCAAAAGCTAGGCGCCTTTAGAAGGTTTCCCCCCGTTAACACAAAACAAAAAGGTAGAGTAGGGTAGGTAGAGTAGGGTTGGTAGAGTCGGGTAGGTAGAGTACAGTAGGTAGAGTAGGGTAGGTAAGGGTTGGTAGAGTAGGTAGTGTAGGGTAGGTAGAGTAGGTAGTGTAGGGTAGGTAGAGTAGGGTAGGTAAAATAGGTAGAGTAGGTAGTGTAGGGTAGGTATTCAAATGACGGGAGCGACGCCGCGGGTAAGAGCTAGTGTACTATATGTTTTTGTGTGTTTTACTAAAATATGTTTGTTTATTTTCCAGTGGTAACGTCGTCATTGAAACAAAGTTTTTTGATGGAGATCTGCTGATTACAACATCGCGCGTCCGGCTGTTCTACATTTAATGTGTATGCACCACAAACAAAGCATTTACTAGTCAAACCTACTTTTAATGCATTTCCTCTACAACTCTATTTAGTTTGTTTATGACTCGTTACTATATGTCATCCATTTGGTTCAAAATCACAAGTGACCTTAAATTGGGTTTCAAAATTAGTCCCTGTTGATTTTTAAAGGCTTACAAGTAATTTTTAAATAAATAACGATGCATTCCTTTACTTAATTAACTAATAATCTCAAATGACCCATGTAAGCCTTTAAAAATGGAAAATGTCAATTGTAAAAGTATTTCTATACTTACTGTACCTACCTATTTGTAACTTTTGTATTATTTTTATAAGAAGCATTTCTCTATTGTACCTAAGTAATAGCTGCGGATTTTTGTACTGTTATAATAATAGTGATTAATTTATTGACCTAAAACACTTATGCATCTCAAACTTGCTTTGTCAAAGCACTTTTAGAATAAATGATATTTTGTTTAAGAAATTTTATGAGTATTTAGTAAATATCACAAAACCCGGTAAATAACGTAAATCGAGCTAAGGTGAGAAAAAGATCTGTTTTATATTCTTCTGAAAACGTTGAAACCTGTTTTTTCTAATGAGACTATCATCTGCATATTTCAAATAAGCCCAAAGTATCAATGTCAAAATTTTGTCTCCAGGTCCAACTTTCACTCCTGGGCCTCTCGACTTTGGAATTTTCTTCAGAAAATCACTTCTCTATGAACTTGCCTGGATCTCAAAGTTGTTTTATTTTGTTTGGACGTATTTTGGTGTCTCTTCTCAGAGCGAACTTTATTAATTTTGACATCTGAGAAATGTAGCTTTGTAGCCTATTTGCGTAAAACGATCAACAATAAATTATGTCGATATCTTTTATTTCTCATGTTTCCTTTTTTTTTATTAACACAAATTTATTTATTTATTTGTTTTAGAACTAGCTACTTTCGCGCGGTTTCACCCGCTGCTCGGCTCCATTTAATCGGACCGTGATGTTTTAGCATATAGTTTTGGTTTCATTACCCCCTTAGCTCCGTGTATGGTATTTATCCTCGATATCTCTATGAGTTACGGCCCATCAATAACCTTAGATTTGCTTATAAGAGAAAGAATCTTGATAATTTTTATAAAATACTATGTCTAATAAGCAAATCTAATAATACATAGGTCATTGAAACTGGTCCAAGTAGATACATTTTTAGAATTATGTAGATAAATCATTCGATTGTGTATTTAAATCTAAAAATAATAGTAATTGAAATTACAGGAAATTAAATTTAATTATCTATATATTTATGAGTACTATCGTTTGTTAGTATTTAAGTTTTAAAACACTTAGTAAGGTACGCATTTGTGGTCGTTTTATTTAAAAACCAGAAGTACCCTATATTATTCCTAAAATCCCTGAACCCTCCCCCTTCCCCCAAAGGCCGGCGGCGATACTACCTTATGTGGCGTTGCGTTTATTCAAGATTATGCCCTTACCTACTTAATGTCAAGCAATACCTTTGCTTATCGGCCACCTTGGCTCCTCTATCCCTAAAACTTTTAATAATTGGATATTTTCCTCAGTCAGAAATAAATTATTTCAACTTTAAATATTAAAAAAATAATTAATTTTAGGATTGGGAGATTTAGGGATTAGGGGTGGGGAAGGGTTACTGCAGTAACCTCACTTGTACGATGAAATACAACGCTGTGGTTGTTTCACGACTGTTTTCTGTGAGGCCGTAGTATCACTCCGGTTGAGCCGACCCATTGGTGCCGAAGCATGGCTCTCCCACACTTAATAGGTTCATTCATTGGCTCAAGTTTTACGACATATGTATTTCATTTTGATTAAAAAAGAACATGATTGCAATTTGACGTTATAGCTTAAAATGAATTCATAAGCCTGTATGGCGTGCAAAATTAAGTTGTATTTTGAGCCGGTCTTTTAAAGTGTACCTACTCGTAACGTCGCGTCTCAATAGCCACGACAACTCTTGTAGCAAAGGATAAATTGGTCACTTTCAATAACTATGTACCTAAAAGGTGTTATAAAATTAATCGCGACATCTATTGCCCAGTATTTGAAATTGAATACAATCGTAAAGAGTTTGCTTGGAGTAAATCTGGGGGGTATTTGTTGGATGTCTAGTTAATAGAAAATTACGATGCTTTTTTATGTTAAAGACCGAAATATAATGTTAACAAAACAATAATAATTTTGCAAATGCATTTGCTTCTAAGCAAAGACAGAAGTTATATCAAACTTATAAAATGACAACTTAGTTCTTCAGTAATGTGCAAGATGTCGCTGTATGACCGTTAGGATATTTTTCGAGAATTGTGTATATTTATAATTTTAATATTATTATTAAAATGGGCCTCCCATTATGTAATAATATTTACATTTCATAATAAATTTACAGCGCAATTAATCATTCCTTGGTAAGTAAACTATTACGTGGACTATTTTAGTTTTGCCTTGTTTCACTAGATGGCGTTGCAAGTAGCTTTGCGTATATAAAGTTAGTATTAAAACTACCCACATTATCAATTTCCATATTCATACGTGAGATTAGTTGTTCTTTTGTGTGGGATATGCACCATATTTGTAAGAAGGTACATTCAATATGAGCACAGTACTTTCAAATCGTATAATCTTAAATTTTCGATGTTTAGGTATTACCTCGAGTACCTAAGTACTTGTTGATTCAAAACTTTCTACTCTATTTACTTGAGAAATTAATCAAAATACTTTATAACATTACTGAAAAGTTAAAAAGAAGATACGTGGGTATATGAACGATTCTAATAGGTAAAGAACCAACGATTTTTTAGTGCACATTAATTTAAAACAGTAGCCGGTAGAGACCATGGAACAGTACGTTATTTTTTCTAAATTAATAATAGACACTTTATTTACACCTTCATTGAATAATGCAACATATACATTATATATAGATATTAGGCACTTTTAATTATGCATCAGTTAAATAGTCCACGCTTCCTTGTCGCACGTGACCCCACCTTATAAGAAACATCCTCCAATAAATGAATAATGCCATTCGTAGCAGTTATAACAATCAACGCGTGTTCTTTGGTAAATCGTGACTCGATCCCGTATCTCATTAGTACGCTGACACTTTTAATAATATTACCATAGAGGAAATGAAAAGCGCCTTACGTGGCCCGTCAGTCGCAGGAAAAGCCGACCGCGCACCGCAGTCAGGACGGGAACTTTTTGTAAATGAAATCATAGCTGGCGCGCCGTACATCCTCTTTCGTTAGAAGCGTTCCACGGATTTCTTCGGACAGAGGAAGCAGAGTCGTTTCAATGCACATCACACATGACACTTCGCATATAAATAATAGAAATTATCTAATTATGTGCCGGCGAGTACTAGACTCCGACTTGTTGGGAATTGTAATTTAACCAGCCGCCGCCGAACAATAATAATTATTACGATGACATTATGATAAATATTGAACGCTTTTTTCGATAGGAAGGTCGATGTTATCGGTTACAGCTATTACACATTGTAATGTAACGATAAGCTACCTAAGTATGTACACATAGGCTTCGGTTGCCGCGTTATTTATTTACAGGAATTCTTAAAATTAGAGCAACGTGGACTAAATCAACGTTCGTTTTTACTGATACTAGATAAGTAGGTAATATTGGGTGGGCATTGAAATTAAATAATAACGAACCTTTCGAGGATTATTTAAAATCTTTGGTACTATACGTGGAGCAGGAAACTTATAAGGAATTGAAGAGCAATGCTATAGTTTGGCGCTCATTATCTAGCACCTATGTGTTAATTAACCAAGAAGGAAAAGTAAACCACTTAGTTGGGCGTGTTATTCGTAATGTTACTGACAGGTAAGTATTAAATTAGTGTACACTTGTACAGTGAGCTCTAAAGCCACAGCGTCGCCGGCGCAGCTCCGCGTTCGCCGGATGAACACCAAATGTGTGATATTTTTAGGAATGTTGATTGCCCTCTTCCTGTTTCCGGCATAAACGAACCGCTCTGATCTACCGACTAGCTCCCATACAAAACTGCTAATTAGTGATGAATAATTAATAATAGTTACTTGATGACATGTAAATTGCTTGATAGATATGTAATATTTGATTTGAGCCGCCGCTTTATCGTTGTGCTTAATAAAAACCGTATCGTATGAGGTTTTGTCGTTATTTTCTCACACATACATTGGATAATATGTTTGTAATTACGTTTAAGTATACTTGCACCATAGGTATTATCTTACAAATTTCCTGAAGTCCACATGATTAGTAGGTAAGTACCTACTTGGTTTCTCATATCTACCTACATAGGTTCTAGATACATACTTATTTCATTCTAATAAAGAGATATTGAGCCTAAATGCGTGTGATTTGGATTTCTTTTGTGCCTAAAATTCTATCGTAAATCCATCGAATAAAACTTAGAAGACCAAACTTCATTTAGACTTAAACATTAATTTGGCATTAGATGGTTTCACCGTCGTGTATGCCGCCATGATTTGCTTCGAATCTTCGTCCATGCGAAGTTACTAGCTTTTGACCGCGAATCCGTTTGCGTAGAATAGCGACTTCCTGCAGAGTTTTGGTATAAAAACTCTCGTATGTCCTTTCTCAAGTTCCAAACTATGTCTGTACCAAAGTTCCAGGAATCGGTTCAGTAGTTTAGGTGTGAAGAAAAGACAGACAGACAGAGTTACTTTCGCATTTATAATTTGGATGAAGAAGTACCTAACTTAAGCTATGTTATAGGCGTTAGTCTATTGTTTAATTTTGAATTTCGTTTTTCTTTTGTGTTTTATATGAACCATAGATGTTTTAAATAAAGGAATAGTAAACAAAATAACGATATGACCCTACACAGCAAATTTTAAATAAACAAATCCATCTTGTGACATGTTCTTTAGAAGGGACTTAAAGGGTAAAAATAAATCGTCACAAACGAATCGTTCAGTCACCTAAAGATCTATTTCAGTTGTCCTTGTTCCTCGTCAGTGGGCCTGTGCCTGTGACCCCCCCAATTCCAACGTAATGATATCATCTAAGACGCGCCACCGGAAATTTTATGAACTTCCCATTAACATTTAACTGCTTCTTATGTATCATACGACCCAACCGTTTGACTGATAAATTTCTTTGATTACACCTAATTCCGACTATGAGTATGACTAGCCAGTTTGGTTTTAGTCATATCTTTTAAGCAACTAGATTTTGCCCAAGATTTAATATGCGTATCAAAATCTTATGTTTTTTCTGTTGGTTGTTTCCGCATTGGGCGTGAAGAAACATTTACGATGTGTTTCGGCCCGTGAGTGAGGTTACCGGAGGCCTTATCCTTCCCCCCATCCTCAATCCTCAATCCTCAAATCCCTAATAACGCAAAAGAGGCCGGCAATACACTTGTAGTAAAACTTTGGTACTACGAGTACCTACCCATGGGCGGCGCCCGGTTGCTTACCATAAGGTGATCAGTCTGCTCGTTTGCCGACCGAAGTTTCTTCTT